ATAAGAAAAGCCAAAAAGGAGTTTGAAGAACAGCTAGCCAAAATCTCAAAAGGTAATAACAAAATGCTTGTTTAAAGTACATCAGAAGCAGGAAGCCAGTTAAACAACCAGTGGGGCCCCTAGACGATCGAGATACAAAAGGAGTACTTAAAGACGATAAAATCATCGCAGAGAAACTAAATGAATTCTTTGCTTCAGTCTTCATGGCTGAGGATGTTAGGGAGATTTCCAAACCTGACCCGTATTTTGTAGATGACAAATCTGAGGAATTGTCACAGATTGAAGTGTCACTAGAGGAGGTTTTGGAATTAATTGAGAAACTTAACAGTAACAAGTCACCTGGACCAGATGGCATTCACCCAAGAGTTCTGAAGGAACTCAAATGTGAAATTGCGGAACTATTAACTATAGTTTGTAACCTGTCCTTTAAATCAGCTACTGTACCCAGTGACTGGAATATAGCTAACGTAACGCCAATATTTAAAAAGGGCTCTAGAGGTGATCCTGGCAATTACAGACCGGTAAGTCTAACATCAGTATCAGGCAAATTAGTTGAAACAATAGTAAAGAATAAAATTGTCAGACACATAGAAGAACATAAATTGTTGCGCAGAAGTCAACATGGTTTCTGTAAAGGGAGATCTTGTCTTACTAATCTATTAGAGTTCTTTGAGGGGGTCAACAAACATGTGGTCGAGGGGGATCCGGTGGACATAGTGTACTTAAATTTCCAGAAAGCCTTTGACAAGGTCCCTCACCAAAGGCTCTTACATAAATTAAGTTGTCATGGGATAAGAGGGAAGATTCTTTCATGGATTGAGAACCGGTTAAAAGACAGGGAAAAAAGGGTAAGAATAAATGGTAAATTTTCAGAATGGGGAGGGATAACTAGTGATGTTCCCCAAGGGTCAGTCCTAGGACCAATCCTATTCAACCTATGCATAAATGATCTGGAGAAAGGGGTAAACAGTGAGGTGGCAAAGTTTGCAGATGATACTAAACTGCTCAAGATAGTTAAGACCAAAGCAAACTGAAGAACTTCAACAAGATCTCACAAAACTAAGTGATTGGGCAACAAAATGGCAAATGAAATTTAATGTGGATAAATGTAAAGTAATGCACATTGCAAAAAAATAACCCCAACTATACATACAATATGATGGGGGCTAATTTAGCTACAACTAATCTAGAGAAAGATCTTGGAGTCATCGTGGATAGTTCTCTAAAGACGTCCACGCAGTGTGCAGCAGCAGTCAAAAAAGCAAACGGGATGTTAGGAATCATTTAAAAAGGGATAGAGAATAAGACGGAGAATATCTTATTGCCCTTATATAAATCCATGGTACGCCCACATTTTGAATACTGTGTACAGATGTGGTCCCCTCATCTCAAAAAAGATATACTGGCATTAGAAAAGGTTCAGAAAAGGTCAATTAAAATGATTAGGGGTTTGGAATGGATCCCATATGAGGAGAGATTAAAGAGGCTAGGACTTTTCGGCTTGGAAAAGAGGAGACTAAGGGGGGATATGATAGAGATCTATAAAATCATGAGTGGTGTGGAGAAAGTGAATAAGGAAAAGTTATTTACTTGTTCCCATAATATAAGAACTAGGGGCCACCAAATGAAATTAATGGGCAGCAGGTTTAAAACAAATAAAAGGAAGTTCTTCACTCAGCACACAGTCAACCTGTGGAACTCCTTGCCTGTGGAGGTTGTGAAGGCTAGGATTATAACAGGGTTTAAAAGAGAACTGGATAAATTCATGGAGGTTAAGTCCATTAATGGCTATTAGCCAGGATGAGTAAGCAATGGTGTCCCTAATCTCTGTTTGTCAGAGGGTGGAGATGGATGGCAGGAGAGAGATCACTAGATCATTACCTGTTAGGTTCACTCCCTCTGGGGCACTTGGCATTGGCCACTGTCGGTAGACAGGATACTGGGCTGGATGGACCTTTGGTCTGACCCAGTATGGCCATTCTTATGTTCTCCTGTAGTCCCAGAACAAAAAGGACGTGTGAGTGGGTTTCAGATTGTTGTAACAAGCCATAAATCCAGTGTCTTTTAGACACTGATTTCAGTATCTAGAAAAGTTGTGAATTTAGGCTCCAAAGGTCATCTCTTGAAGGTGTTGTGAAGGTTGTCTTTGAGGGTGATTACTGAGAGGTCAGAGTGATCATTCTCACGCTGGAACCCATCCATACAGGGTATCATTAAACAATTACAACCATACTCTATAGGGACCACATCCTGAAATAAATCTTTCCCAAACCCCCTCTTCTGGCCTTCAACCAACCCCCCAACCTCGCCACGCTCCTCATCAGCAGCAAGCTCCCCATAGACAAGGACACCCCACCTCAAAATGGTACGAGACCCTCCCAGAACAACAAATGCAAAATCTGCAGACATATCTCCACTGCTGCAATGACCAATCCCCCACTAGGGTGACCAGATAGCAAGTGTGAAAAATCGGGACGGGGCTGGGTGGTAATAAGAGCCCATATTAAAAAGAAGTCTCAAATATTGGGACTGTCCCTATAAAATCGGGACATCTGGTCACCCTCCCCCTCCTCCCCACAACTCACCTTTCAAGATCCCTGGGTCCTTCATATGCCTATCACAAAATGTGGTGTGCTTCAGCCAGTGCACGAAATGCCACACTAACACCTACGTGAGTGAAACCAGATAATCACTCTGCTCTTGAATGAACTCTCACAGAAAAATAATAAAAGACAAAAACACCATATCACCCGTGGGTGAACACTTCACAAAATGATCACACCATATCTGACCTCTCAGTCTTTGCCTTCAAAGGAAACCTGCACAACACCATCAAAAGATGAGTCTGGGAGCTTAAATTCATAACTTTGATTGACACTAAAAATGAATATGTGGTAACTACTTATGCTAAACATTCTGTTCCACCTTGTATTTAGCTGTGGCATTATGAGTGCTTTTCCCAGGCCTGAAGAAGAGCTGTGTTTAGCTTGAAAACTTGTCTCTTTCAGTGACAGAAGCTGGTTCAATAAAAGATACTGCCTCACCCACCTTGTCTCTCTATCCCAAGTGGTAAAAACATTATTTATTTTGACAGTGATGTAAACTGGGTGTGGGAGGAGACTTCTAATTTCAAAGTTACAAATTACAGTTTCTATTTTTAAACATGTTGGCTAGACTTTTTCAGAAGCCCCAAATTGGTCTAACTCTCTAACCTCTGAATCCAATCATAAAACTCCAATTGAATCTAATGGGAGCAGAGTTAGGCCAATGCTGAGTGCTTTTGAAGTCCTACCTGTTAAATATGCAGACAGAAAAAAGAAAGATTGATCGCTAAACAAAAAACAGACAGGCAATGTAAAAAAAATCACTTAGCAGGGCCCAACCCTGTCAGGAGTCCTATCTATTTTGAGGCCATAAATTGTGTAATTTATTTGCAGTTCACTGGAACTTGTTTGTATTTGGTTGTTCACCTTATTTGTACTGTTTGTACTTCAATAACAGTTATTCACTTTCTATACTAATATTCAGAATTAAGCTTAAATCAAGCCCAAAAGTAAAATTGGAAAAATACATATGACACTGAAAAGTTTACGTTATTACCAAATAAACCCTCAACATATTCATGAGGGCAAGCACAGTGTCTTTTAAAATGGGGCATTTTAAATCAAATTCAGCTAAGATAGGTATCATTTCTCCCTGTTATGAAAAACAAATTTTCAGTATGTTGGGACACATATGAACAAATTTTGCTTGAAAAAAATTAAGGCAAAAATTTTCAAACTTGGATACCTAATGTTAGGGCTTCGGGTCAAATTCTCTGCTGGCATTAATTGGCAGAGCTCTGCTGAAGTCAGTGGGGTTACACTGATTTATACCACCACAGAATTTGGTCCACCCATGTCTAATTGCTGTCAGCACAGAATGTGCTGGCCTCCATTTCAGCAAGCCTCCATGAAGGCATCCACACCTGTGTCACCCAGGCAGAACAAATCACGATGCATGGAAATGCTGGTGTATATGTGCCCAAACTGGCATTTTTGTCTGTAGTATTTGTCTGCATGCTGATGTAAGCAGCTTGAAAATTTGGCTCACTGCTCTGGGAAAAGTTTCAGCTGGAATCTGTTTTATTTTTTGGCAGTTATACAAATTTCTGGATAAAAGGGTTTCTAATGAAGTAGGGAAACAGACAGTTAATTGTAGCATAGCGCAGTGTGCTGTTAAATACCGCCATAATAGATAAAGAAAAACACAATGTCAAGAAGAGGCTGTATGCGTGCCTTGATTTGCATACATATGTGTATATTTGTCTATGTTGTCACGTTATTTGCAAAAACCAATAAAATTGCTTCAAAAGAAGTGATCATTAGTGAGCAGGAGGGACTGGGCAGAAAATGGAAGTAAGTTCTATTATATCTGTGTGCACAGAAGTGAGAATTTATTTATTTATTTATATTACTGTTATTCTCTCCCTTCTAGGCAACCCAAAACATCTTAAGCATTTATATTGGTGTGTTGTAGATGTAGGGGCCAGACACATAATTCACATCCGGATCTGAACTTTCCCAAGATTCAGGGGTGTTCAAATCTAGGGGTTTGATTCAGACACATCTCAGTTTATTTCACACTCTTAGCCAGCCCATCTTATCTGTCTCCATTATGAGTGAGGTATACCACCAGTTACAGAAAACAAGGATGTCATTAAAGATGATTTGAAGGCAAGAGACACCCATTATTGTAACCACATTAATACCAGTGTGGATCTTGCATTCCTCTAGTGGCTGAACCAGGTATAGAAATTTATACCTGGTCTTGCATCCTAAGTAATAGATGCAGAGGTCATGGGTTTGATACTAGCAAAGAACCTACCTAAAGGATAATCACACTAACTGTGATCCTCCAGAGATAGCTGCTTTCCATTTGCAAACCAGTCCAGATAATGCCACCTCTTCAATTAGATTGGTTGGTTCATAGTTTTTAATGTAATTTTGCAAACATTTCAGGAAGCTCCCGTAGTGGCAAGAGCAGCCCTGTTTCTCGAATGTGCTCGCTTCGTTCACCGCTGCAATCGCGGCAACTGGCCAGAGTGGATGAAGGGGCACCATGTGAACATCACTAAGAAAGGCCTGTCCCGTGGACGTTCTCCAATAGTGGGGAACAAACGGAACCAGAAGCTGCAGTGGAACGCAGCCAAACTCTTCTACCAGTGGGGAGATGTAAGTTTTCACCTTTTTTTTTTCTTTAAGCTAAAATAATCAAATGGCAATCAAATCAAGAGGAGTGGGGGGGCTCAACATTTAATGTCCTTCCTCCTAGCATCCACTTTAGACATGTAGGTCCAGATCTTCAGCAGGTGCAAATCAGCCTGGTTCCATAGAGGCTATGCCAGGATATACCTGCTGAGTGCCTGGCCCTTATTGGAAGCTGCATCATGCAGCTGTTAGTTTGAAATGCTGGGGAAAACTCATTTTTACTCTTCTCATTTATTGCACTGCAGAGGTTCCAGCACTTTGAAGCCTGGGTATCTGGCTTTAAGTGAGTTTTGTGTTACCTTTCTGTTTTAATAAAAGCAAAGATATACCATAATGAGTGTCAGGCCAAACAAAAAATAAATACATAAATTGGAGTTTGTAAATAAAATGTTCCCCAGCCTAGGGTCTTTATGTAAGCCTCTCCATATGGACAGCCAAACCAATCCATAATCCCCTTGGTTACTTCAGATTCCTTTCAGGGGCATCTGCCTCAAAGATCATTAAAAACAAATCATAGGCTTAAAAAAGTACAGGCACTTGATGCAATTGCTCTGCACCTTCCAGGAGAGATCATCAGCACAGCCTTGCTCCCTCTATGTCTAATCTACCCTATTTGTGGAAAGGACAGGGATTATGTACTCCTTTTATTTCCCATCATGCCTTATTCCAGGATAGGACTGCTTACATGGCTGCCTTGGTGGACTGCATCTCCCAGCTTGCTCTTTTCTCAAGGTTCTGAGAGAGGGAGACAGAGGTTGGCTGTAATCACCAGGAGCTAGTTTGATCCCTCCCCATGGAGCCAGGGTCAGCAGCATTATGAATTTCAAACTGTTTCCTCCTCAGAATCCGGGCATCCGCTGTCCACAGGAATTGCTAAAAGCTATGCTGGAATGGAATATTGCTTGGTCCACGAGGGTTCCCTTCCCAAACCTCAAAGGGCCTGTGTGTACTGCTGCAGCAATTTGGTACTTGCACTTTTTTTCCCTAGGCATTTTCATCCATCTCAAGGTGGGCTTTTCTGGTTTCACAGTGACAGACTGAAGGGAGCCTCCAGATCTGTGACTCTGGAGAACAAGATTCCAAAGACCCAGTGTCCATAACGTGAGAGCCGCAGTTCATGCCAAGGGAACTAGTTGGTGCTATTGCCAATGAGCAGACACTGAAAACGAATAATTGATTACCTCAGTACAAAGGCTCTTCAGTGTTTTGAGATGCTGGGCTTTCTCCTGCCCCAAGGTAACAAGGAGGGGGCCATGAAATCCTGATGGCTCTGGCTTCCATTGGCATTTGCTGCATCCCTGCTGATTTACTAGCATAGCTGAGAAGGAAATACACAGAATTTGCCTCTGTGTAAATACTTTTATTTAAGCACGTAGTTGTGTGAGTCAGAACTAGCTATCCTGCTCAAGAAAGGTAGAAAAACCTGCAGCAACAGAAATCAGTGGTACGTTGCAAGAGAGAGTTCAGGGACACCCTTCAACTCAAATTGAAGACATTTCAGGGTTGCTCCTCCATCCCCCTTCTCCCAACTCTGGCCCACTCACCCACAAAGGAGAGCTGTGAAATACTGAGGAGGGAGGGGCCTGTGATTTACCCCCTTTCTTTGTTTCTAGTGCCTCCTTTCTCCTCACCCTGTAATATTAATTACAGATACGGGTTACAGTCACCAAAAGTGAAATCTCCCCCATGTCATCGGTGATGTTCGTGAAGGGCACAGTGTATAAAGACAGCAATTACTCTAAAGAGAAGCTTTGCAATGGTGAAAAGCGGTGGTTCTCGCTAGCCTTCAGACACATTCTGTCATCACACTAGGTCATAAGGATATTGTCAATGTTAGGGGCTTGGGGATTTTTATAGCTTTCAGTTTATTATTTTTTAGCTTCTGTTTTATTTCTAATTTCCTTTTGGAGGCTTTTACATAAAATGTCTTTCCCTGCAGCAAATATTGATTTTTTTTATCTTATGGGTTTCAAATATAGCAGGTGCCAACATAGATCTCTTGTGTTTACTTCTTCCGGCACCATACCACATGTTTGTGGAAATGGGCTCAGCTCTTGGAGTTGAATTTTTGAGCTAATTGCTTAGCAGCAGTTGTGCAGAGGGAGCACACTCTTTTATTATTATTGTTAATTATTACTTGCACCTCTCCCTCTCTTTTTTACTTTATTTTAAAGTAGGGGAAAATTCAGAGCCAACTCTTGACAGTGCAACGTTTTCCCCATATTTAACACCCGTCTGGTGCTCTTGGAAGGTGCCATATTGACATGCATCCCTGGAGACTTAAGTCTTCTGTTTATCTACAGAGCCAGGGCAGCATGGTCAGCACCTCCCTTTGGCCTAGGACCATTTTCTTGGTGATGGCTGAGGAGCACAAAACACGTTTCAGGAGGGGGCTCCAAAGACAGCTTTTGTGTTGTCTCAATCCTGAGCTAACTGTATGCAAGGCTGGTCCTCTGGTGTAACCTGTGGCCGCAGCTTAGAAGGCGTTTTAAATTATGCTGGCTACTAATGACCTCAAGAGGCCACTGTGCTAGCTGGGGATTGCCTAGGTATAAGGAAGCTCAGGTCATATTCCTTCACCTGACCTTCCCAACTGTGTCAGCATCAGGGAACATAAGAGCCACTACACTCAGCTCTGTGCCACCAGAGGATCCCTTTGCAACCCATAACTTGCAACCCTGGCTCAAGAGCCACTTAGCAGTGGGACATGAAGCTTCTGTACCACAAGGGAGATTCTGGGTCAAAGTCAACAGGATTGAGAGGGCAAGTCACTCTCGAAGCCCATTTAGTCCCTGGCCTCTTCCTTCAGATTGCCAGCAAGGTTGCTGAGTTATGCTAACTGTGGTGATGTTTTTTCTAGGAGGTACACTTGAGCACTGAGAGTCATTCAGATACTGCGGTGGGGGTGCCATTATAAAACCCTGGGTTAGATAAAGAATTAGCCTCAGGTCACCAGACCTAACCTACCAAATAGCCCTCCCATAATAAGAACTTTAAGTCTCTACTGACCTGGGCAAGATTCAGAAAGCCACTAAAAGTGATGGGCCCATTACTGATCCCCTGAATCAGCTAATCCAATCCCACTAGTGACATTGTCTTTTTAAATGACAGACTTTTCAGTCTGTTCTGGTCAGTCTAGTCTATCATTGCCTGTGGCTTCTTTTGTTAAGCTGCCTTCGTCTACGTGGAGATATATTGCTCTATCCATTATCTAGGCTAGCCCAGGATAACTCTGGCAATCAGTTCCTATTAGGAATTTAGTACAAATTAGCATTATTAGTTAGGTTGCTGTGTAATTATAGCTGATTGTTATATCATCAGTCAGGGTAGACAACAGCAGTAGTAATGAGTGGTAAATTTATTGCATCTTTGAAAACCAAGCAAGACATTTCTTCCTTAAATAACTGAAGTGAGGAGAGAGAAAATAGTATGAAGGATTTTAGAGTTTACTCAGCGATGTGTAACCTCACAGACAACTGAGATTGACAACCGTCCAGATCAGCTTGCAGACCACACAGTTCCACATTCTCCTATCCCATACAGAGTCTATCATCTCCATTTTAATAGCAGCTGCTTAGTAGCAATAGGAATGAGCCTTAATCATACCTATTTGTGACTGCTTTTCTTTCTCTGCTTCACTTCAGTTTAGGCAGATAAATTATATGATGCTGGTACGTCAGTTCTGAGATTCAGGGGGTCAGAAAATCAGCTTTAGCCTGTCTCTCAGGAACTCCCTCTAAATCCAAGAGGGCCTCAGTGCCAAATTGTTATTAAAACAAAGAAATGACTCCCATTTGCTATCTTACAAAATGATGCTATAGCAAAGTAAAATGTTCCATGTGATTTTCCATGTTCTCTTAGATGTACGTTGCTTACATACAGCATCACTTTGGGAAAAAAACCTCAGGAGTTCTGAAATGGTCTTAATGTTAAGCATTCTGCTTGCTAATTGACCCAGCTGTGGCATTGCCCTCAGAACCTCCGCTACCCTAACATTCGGTAACGAAGCCATTAGAGCGGTTTTTGTTTGTTTGTTTGACTGGAGAAAAAAAATTTTTAGATTTTTTTTTCCTTCAGTGGGAATCTCTGTCTCCTAGCTGCTTACATGTCCCACCTCACTATCTGAGCGCCTCACAATCTGTAATGTATTTATCCTCACAACACCCTGTGAAGTAGGGCATTGCTGTTATCCCCATTTTATAGATGGGAACTGAGACATAGAAAGGCTAAGGGCCAAATTTTTACAGGTATTAAGGTGCCAAACTCCCATTGAAATCTATGGGAGTTAGCTGCCTAAATGTCTTTAAAAATCTGGGCCTAAATGACTTGCCCAAGGTCACCCAGGAAGTCTCTGGTGGAGCAGAAAATTCAACCACAGTCTCCTAAATTCCAGGCTGTATCCTAACCACCAGACCATCCTTCCTCAGCAGAAAATCTTCAGCAGAAGGATGGCACGTGTCACTGCATAATTTTGATGAACAAAGAGGCGGGGAAGGAGGAGAGGCAGGGGTGGGAAAAGGCGGGGCTGGAGTCGGGCCCTGGGGGAAGGGGTGGAGTGGGGGTGGAGCCTGGAGCAGGGTTGGGGGTTGAGCACCCCCCAACAGTATGAAAAATCAGTGCCTGTAGTTTCAACCAAATATAAACACTTTTTCCAAATTTTGATAACTGTTCAAAATTTTGACCAAAAATAGAAGAAAATATTTGCAATTTGTTTGGTGGTGATTCCGGCCCTCCCCCACAACCAACAGTTTTCTCGATTGCTCTAGTGATTTAAAAAAATGACAAAATGTTTTGTTCTTAACATGAAATTTCCAGCTGCCTCAGAATGAGCAAGATCCAGGTGAATCCCCTCCGGTCCTCATTCCCTTGTGCTTTCTTTTCCTTCCTTCTTGCCGGCAGGCAATTGGCATCCGACTCAACGAGCTGTGCCACAGTGAGAGTGAGAGCCCGGCCAACCTGCTGGGCCTCATTTATGATGAGGAGGCCAAGCGGAGACTGAGAAAGGAGGATGAGGAGGAAGACTTTTTAGATGACAGTAAGGAGACTCCCTTTACTACAAGAACCCCCGCTTGTAAGAACCTCTGCTTTAGGAGCACTTAATTTTTCTTCTTCTCTTTCATATTCTTGCCACCCAACTGTATTCCCCACCAATTCCCTTCCCTTTCTTTCTGTGCCTGATGTAAAATATACCATATGAGTAGGAGCAATAAGAGACAATGAAAATAATAGCATCTAAAACACAGGCAAGTGAGTTGCAATTACTGTAGATTGCGATTATAAATAAATCCGATCAATCTTTTATATCTAGGCTCAAGTGCTTGTACACCATTCTGACTCCCCTTCTTCAAAGACATCCTTACCAAAACCTAAAAACCACATTTTTTGCAAAATCAGCTACATCTAAATTTTCTTAATATTGAAGGACCAGATCCTCAGATGGTGTAAATTGGCATAGCTGCACGAAATGCTTTGAATTTAAGCATTTTAATGTCCATGTATTGATTCTAACACAAAAATGTAGTGAGGTGGTACAGAAAGTATCATTAAAAAACGTACAATGTACCAAATCACTGAAATAAACACATTTTAAGGACGTTGACAGATTCTAAAATTGTGATGTGATGTGTGATCAGAATAAATAAAATCACATCACATACAGACATAGGCTACAGGTGAAGATAGCAATGAACATTATATCCTCTCCAAACACCATTTGTATATGTGTGGTCTGTAATGTACTGGCTTGTGTGTACATGTACTACTGTTTTTTCACTGAATGTAATATATAAGTGCTGTTTATGTATCTGTTGGCTTCCTTTTTATGGTTAAGGAGCTGCTCTTTTCACTGCATAACGACCACTCTGCTAGAGGCAATTGAATTGTACTCCTGTGAAATCACTGAGAGGAGAATCAGGTCCTCAGTATCTGAATTTCCTTCCCAGCGCTTTGTAATATGCCATTTGCTCCTGACCACAGTGCCTTAGCCGAAGTGGCCATGGATAGCTGTACTGGGCCAAATTCTGCTTTATGCTGGTACACATGAAGGGGTGGAATGAACAAGGGGTGGAGCCTTCCCCTACATACCTTGAATGACCCATGAGAGGCTAGGCAGAACTGCAGTCCCTGTGTTTGAGAGTGCCTGGACTGTTCCATTCTTTCTCCACCGGGTGTGCCAGATACTCCAAAAGGACAGGTGGGTAGGAGGCAGGGCTACTGTGTCGGATAGGTCCATGGTGGAAGCTGGCAGACCGCACCCCATGAAGCAGTGTAGAAGCAGGAGTGCTCCCTCTACATGCCAGGGAGTTCAGAATGCCACTCAGCCTCCACACTATGGCTTCGTCTACACTGGGTGTTTTGCTGGCATAACTGTGACGGCCAGCAGTATGAAAACAAATCACACCCCTTAGCTGAATGTCGGAAGCAACTATGCTGACAGAAAAGTGCTTCTGTCCATTTAGCTAATGACCTTTGGGGCAGAGGCCATTATGCTGGCGAAACTCCTTCTGTTGGCTTACACTGCGTCCCCACTAGGAGGCTGTGCCGGCGTGGCTCTGCCAGCCAAGGCTCTGCAGTGTAGACAAGTCCTAAGACAGAGTACTTCCTCGAGTTTCCCCTGAGAACCTATGCGTACCTCAGTGTATCTGCCTGTTCAGATCATTTTAGTTCCTGTGAACTCCATCACTCGTGACAGGTGAAATAAACAAGGAGCTTGCAAGCGAGGTAAACATAATCAGGCTTTGTCTGGTAGCCTATAGCGTCCTCTCCATTCCTGAAACATTCCCTTGTTGGTTCAGTTTCTGTGTGCTTCTTTGTGCAACACGACAGGATCAGACGTGAGAAAAACCAGGGGGAACATAAAATATCTCCAGAAGACATTTGGATGGTTCATTAAGTGACAAGCCCAAAGCATTCCAAAAATATCAGGATTGTTAGCAGTTTCAAGGGACCCCAAAATAACTACCAGCTTTTTTTCCTTCTGTATGTTAGCCCAAAAAATTCTTTGCAAGTTGGTCAAGGCCACAAGAACACTTCATTGTCTTCAAGGTTTGGATGGGTGTTGGACCAGTTGAAAAATATCATGAACATAGATTTTAAAGCTGAGCATATAGACTCCATTTCAGCAAAGCCACTTGAACATGTGCTTAACTTTAAGCATGTGAGTAGTCCCATTTGTGTAAAGTCAAGCATGCCTGTAAATACTTCGCTTTGCTGAATCCCTCTTTAATGGAAATTTGTACCTTACTAATTTCTAAACACTTGATGGTGCAATAACTGCATGTTGTTGTCCCATCTCTAAATGACATTTGTATTCATTATGTAGAACAAAGTTGCAGGGCTGCTGTCTTATTTAGTCTTCTGGACAGTTATTAACAGTTATTAACAGTAACAATAACAGTTCTTGTATGTTGACTGTTCACAATGATGTGTATGATTTTAAAAAGAACAAGCGTGACGATGCTACCCTTTCCCAAGATTATTGCCCTGATAATCTCACTTAAGATGGCTGCTGATTTGGTATTGGTTTGAGTTCATCTTCATTTAGGACACAAGCTTAGCCATAATGGTAATCTATTTGGCTGGATGCAAAGGTGTAAAGGACATAAGAGTATCTGTTTCTAAATCTGTATTGTGCTAATATATAGTATTGTATGTAGAGTTTATATTTTGAGATCACTTCGAGTTAGCAGATGTTTTGATAACAACGTACCACACAGTATATGGGATTTGTGCTGACAGATAGATATGTGCATGGATCTGTCCTTTTAATATTAGAAAAGTAATATAGGAGTCTAGAATTTAATCATAACACTTTTTTCATATGCACCTTGCATCGTGCACCATGTGTGTCCATCAATTCTTGGTTCCAAATTTTGTATCATGTTTTCTCTTACCAAGCAAATCTCATTTCCAGGCACTGTGAACCCTACTAAATGTGGTTGTCCTTTTGCCCTGAAGATGGCAGCATGCCAGCTTCTCTTGGAGATCACCACCTTTCTTCGAGAGACCTTTCCCTACATGCCCAGACCACGTACTGAGCCTCTCCTGGTAAGTGAGCCACAGGAATTAGAGATGAAGAAGTTCCCATGAGGTTATTTTCCTCATACACCTGATGAAAAGGATAGATTGGTGGCAGGGATTTAACTGCGGTGAAGTTTCCACAGAAGGCTGAACGATTAAGACACACCATCTCCATTAATGTTAATGAGAGTCTTAGACCCAAATCTCAGTATGTCACTAATGGCAATATACCTGACAGGCTGACATGATGTGGCATCACAGCAGTTAGAGTTTGAAGTTGGTTGCTAAAATATTTTACAGACCTCCAATGGAGTGAATCAGCCAAAAGGAGGAAATCAGCGTGGCTCTTTGTTGACATTTTCACTATGTAATAAATGGCAGCATTATAAAACAGCGTTACAAAACTACAGGGTCTTAGAGGTGGAAATGCATCTTACTAAAACAGATATGTTGAAAGTAAGAACATCCTGGGTAATTAGGATCTGTAGGGATCTGTGTCTTTGAGCCACACAGAAATGCTGCCGATTAAGAAGTTTTCAAACTCTGCTATGGGAGAGGAAGAGGAGGACTTGTTTTGTAGTGTGAAGCTGGAAGGAAACTTAGTCTCACTATGTAAGAGTCTATCAGAAATAATAGCATTAGCCTGACAGTTTGAATCTTATACAAGTGCTGAACAATTATGGCCCCTAACATTCAGGAAATAAGGTGAACGGAGTGTTGTGTTTTGAGTTAGAAATGGGTTAATGGGGGTTTCTTTGCACAAAGAAAACTTTCTGGCTTGCTTGTGCTTTTAAAGAGAACTGGGCGTATGAAGATTTGGTTCCTTTTTGTTGTTGTTACTGATAAAGCCAAGTTTCTAGTAGAGCAACTTTTTACAGACATCAACCTGGACAAGAGCCTGACTCACGTCTGCAGTGAAACCGGTCCCTAAATGCGCGGTTGATTCCGAGATGTTCTAAGCATTTGCAGATTCCACACATGTCAGTGGGGCCTTGTCTAGACTAGAGGACTAGAGGACTAAACCGTTTGTATCTGAACCAATAATGATGAGCCAGGTTACCCACCAACAGTTCACTCCACACCCTCTGGCAGCCAACCTCCCCACTCCTCACCTCCTTCTCACCCGCCTGAGCACGCCGCGTCCCTGCTTCTCCCTTTCCCACCTGCCTGCTGCCTAACAGCTGTTTGGCGCCACTTAGGACTTTCCGGGAGGGACGCAGCACGCTCTGGGGAGGAGGCAGAGAAGACGCGGGGAAGGGGCAGGGCGGGGCTGGGTGGGAAGAGGCGGGGCGGGGGAGTCAAGCACCCACTGGGCAGAGGGGAAGTCAGCGCCTATGGGCTGATTTGCTTTAAGTTTTGCCTTGTATTCCAAAACCATTTCAGTTGCAATGTGATCTGAATGATCACAGTTCCTGGGTCATCTACCACAAGCAGTATGTTGTGGGAATTTTTGTAAAGCCAAAGGTACACTGGGGGGGGGGGGGGGGTCAATGAAAGATTAATTGAACCCTTTCAGCTAGTCTGCATCCACATTTGTTCAGATTAAACCAGTTAAACTGGGATTTTCAGCACTGCCTAATGGAGTTGATGTGCCCAATTCCCAGTGAACTGAGGTGTCCAACTCCCCAAACGCTCCTTTGAAAATCCAGCCTTAAACTGATTGTTAAGCAAGTGGAAAAGTCATCTGTTCTTATCGCTTATTATATCATCTGTTGGACCATTTAGGTGGTTTTCTGAGGGGCTGCAAAGTGTTCTACAAGTGTTCTAAGGGCTGTAACTGGTCTAATTTCTCTCATGCAAAGCAATTACACATGTTCAGCACCACTAAGTCTGTAATGTTTCTATTCTTTTGTGTGTTTGTGTGTTTGTTTTTGTGTTCGGGAAAATTCACTTTTTTCAAAGCAGCTTTTAATGTAACAGAACGTCACACACTCCTATTAACTCCCAATAACTTCAGTAGGAGTTACAGGTGTACAGCCATGGACGAAATCTCCTGAGTGTGAGATAAGAAACTGATATTTCCTCATGATTAACCTTTTTGATTGTTTTAAGACAGTTTACTGCAGGGGTAGTGTGTAGGCAGACCATGTGCCAAATCCGGACCACCAGATGCTTTTGAACAGACCCAAAAATCTTTTTATTTACTTATTATCGTTATTGTTATTGTTTTTGTATTATTTTCTCCGGAGTCTGGACCTTGACTATACCTTGGCCAAGAAATTTGGATCTTGACAAAAAATAATTGATTACCCCTCATTTACTATAACACCTCTTCCTCGGTTAAGCCTGACAAATAGCTCTGCCATTTTACATTTCTATACCCTAGTGGTTTTCATGCGGAACAGTCTCCAAGATATCAGTGTCATCAAGTGGATGTTGTATATAAAATTATAAACGAGTGAGGCTTTTTAACTGCACTCACTGTATGTGCTTCTCACCAGCCATTTTGAAAACAGAACCCTATGTGTCTAACCTGCCTTTTTTTCAGTCTCTGCTAAGGGAAATGGATGTGTATATCTGAATACTGGCATAATTGGGTAATGTTGCCGCTTTGGAACGAATGGTTCATCAGTGTTCAGGGCATTGCAGGGCTGTTTCTGCCAGGAGGAGAAATGGATGATCCGAGTCGGGTGCTGTCCTGTTTGTTTACCAAGAAAGAACACACAGTCCTGTTTTCTTGAAAGCAGCAGAAACAAACAGCAGGCAGTTTCCTTGCTCGCTATTTACAGGTCTGCCTCTCTAGTCAGTTCTGTGCCCAAGGAGCTCTGTCTCTCTACTCTCTTTGAGGGCCATGCTCACGACTTCTTCTCTTGCTGTCTGCTGGCGTTTTCTTTGTTTTTCTGCCTCTGACGCATGCGTGCGCACATACACACGCACACATAGCCAGCTGCAAGCAGTCCCCTATCCCCGCTGTGTTTGTCACCAGTCCCAGGGAAATCCCCCTGACCACACAGTTCATGTAGCCTAGTGGCTCAGGCAGTACCCTCCTGGTGGTTCCAAATATCAGTACATACAGGGGCATTATATTGCTCTATCCATTTAGCCTGAAAGAAGGGTGATTAGCATACCCATTGTCTTTAACCAGATCTGTGATCGTCTATAGATCAGAGGCCCAGTTGATGGCAGCTATTAATATCTTCCAGCAGAACAATATCCCCTTGCATTGAGTATACAGTAGCTGAAAGCCAAATTCAATCAGGATTTGAAAATGTGTCAGTGTAGGTTAGCTATGAAGGGATTAGGTTAACTGGAAATTTAGTTCCAGATGGTAGAAGTAGGATTTCCATTTGAGGGCAGGTCTTGCTATAATGATAATTCTTTGTTGCTGGAGAAAAGTATAAGAGCTTATGCTATTCACATGTTTCTGTGGTCCACATGATGCGACAGGACCTGGAGAGCTGCAGGTTGCGTCTGGACCCTGAGCTGGACAGGCACAGGTATGAGAGGAAGATCAGCTTTGCTGGGATTCTGGATGAAAATGAAGATTCAAAAGACTCCCTGCACAGCAGCAGCCACACGCTCAAATCTGACACTGGCTGCGAAGAGAAGAAAGGTTTGTCAGTAGAGTGAAGCTTTTATGTTGTCAGGGCTTGTTATGTGATGCTGTATTTTATGTCTCTTCATTTCCATAGGCTGTGTTAAAAAGCAGGAAGCCATAGAGCCACATGGCATGAATAATTTTTGAGCTACCTTTAGACTGCCATGTTGCATATGTTATGTGTGGAAAAACAAAGATTTTTAAGTCATCCAGGTAATGATATTAGCAGAACCAAACAGTGGTTCTGAAAAGCAAATGGTGTAAATTCAGTAGTACCTTTTGGTGCAATGCTTAGTTAGAAGTAACAGTGTTTGATCTGATTTTTGTATTTTCTTATACTATTCTTCAATGTGGGATAAAAACCACACATGGGCCAAAAGATAGGATCCTTATGTAAAAATCCCTACCTGTGTTCAGAGGTCACGGCATTTAACAGAATTATTGGTTTAACCCCGGACCTCTTTTGGTTCTTTACTACCACATGAAAAACACCTACCTATGTGGCTCTTGATGGCTAGCAGGTTAATATTACCGGCATATTGCGTACTGTACAAGCAAAGCTCAAGCTCACTGTGTTTGGTGAAGGCAGCAGAATGTTTTCCATTTTAAAACCATCTCATGCAAAATCCCCATACTATATGACGGTACAAGTGTTGCAATACAATATGCAGTCAGTAGTTACTTGACATTTGCTATTCGAGACTGAATGCTCTGGACAGTTACCTGTAAATGGCAGTCGAGTTTGTGTGTTTTAGTGTAGAACATTTGCAAGGCACACTGTTTAAAATCTCTTTCATAACAGACATGTAAAGACATAGACTTTCTGTAACAATTTTTTTTAAAGGGATGGGATTTATGGTTTGTGATCTTGTGAAGAATTATACTTGTGTGCTAAACAATGCAGATCATCGAAGCATATCCACAGTTGTAGCTTGCCTTTGAAGTCAACCATGAGATTTCCCTTGACTATGAAGGGCTTTGGATCAGGCCCGTATTGCATTCACGCTCATGGTTGAGCTGTGATTCCATTCACAAGTAGATACATTCATATATGAAACGTTTCCAAGAATTACTTGTAAAACTGCTTCAAAAAATACATGGAATGGGACAGCTACTGATAGCGAAGGCAGCTTACCATCAAACTGCAGAGTCATCTTGAAGATTTCTCATATAACCCACTTCCTTTTCTTCTGACTCTTGGTAGCAGCCATGGAACGCACAAGTCTCCAGAATTTGACATTGCCAAATAAATCAGGATGAGAAGTCCCTTATGTATTAGGTGGCCACAACTTTTAAATTTTAAAAAGGCTTCCATAGCAACTGCCTGCAACCACCCTGTGCTGTGATGCCATCAGATCTTCTGAGGATAGCAAGGTTGAGGTGGCAGAGTACATGAACAGGAGGCCTCCTTGAAACATTAGGTGTTGCAAGAAATGGTGGTGGTGACAACATGGAATTGGGTTCCCCCTCCCCCCCCCCCCGCATGGTTACTGTGCTGCACACTTTTGGATACAATGTAAAATCTTTTTTTTCTCAAGAATAGTTCCAGCTCATTCTGCTTAACTAAATTCTCCCTGCCGTTTCAGTAAAGCATGGGGGTCCTTCTTCACTTCTTGCCCCCAGGTTTGGTGTAGTATTGCTGTGCAAGTTTTACAAAGCTGCTATGTTGCATCCAGAGGCAGCTGCATTTTAGTGATGGGAAAAGTGATCCCTATGTGGAGGCTGTATTTCAGTTTATACATTAGCAAAGTGCTTTGTAATATTTTGTTCTGAAATAAGCTAAACAAATACAAGATATTATTTTTTTAACGTGTTCTTTGCTCTGGCTACAGCCTACTCTACTGGGAATTTACCTGGGCTAAAACATAGCAGATGCAAAGGCATCTTTCTGAATCTATAATTGTCTAGCTGAAAATTGTTGTTGTGTGACAGTAATTACGTTTTTCTCACCTGCAGTGACAAAAGGACAGGCCTCTTTACTCCAATCTCTTTGACAAGTACTAATCCATTTCTTTCCTTTCATCTCCTCTTGAGTGGTAATTACTTTGCTTGATGGTCAACCCAGGTTTGTCTTAACAGCTATGCAAAAACTATGATTTTACTGTGTCTAACCTGCTACAGGTAGGTCCAAAGCATAGATGTACTAATTTAGATTAACAGGTAGCCCCCAGAAAGTTTTATGTACTAATTGTGTGCTAAGAGGTTTCTACAGACTTCATGAAATGTGGCGAGGTGTGCCAAAACAGCTGTGCATTTAGCCAGCTGTGCTGAGGTTGAACAGAATCTAACCAGCTGTGAGTTAAGTCTCAGTTCAGACACTGGGAGGGAGATTCTCAAATCACTCAACAGTGATCTGTCCAGCTGATTAATGAGCAGCACTGATTAGTTCCAAAAAGGAGACCCATCCAGCCCTATTCTGTCAATAGGATGTTAGTCACAAAAATGGGTTTGTGGGTGAGGGTAGGAGGATATAAAGCTGGGGAAGTGAGAGGGATTTTCAAGACTCAGAAGGCTGATTTTTCAAGTCCAAATATAATTACCTTTATATATTTTTCTTACCTATTTTATACCAAAAGGTGTACACCAGGCCAGTCTCTACAGTGCACCGAAAGGTGATCTTGTATGTTCTTCTCTGAATAGATCAACAGTTTAATGACTGAGTGTTGCAACATTTGGACTCATGTGCTGCTATTGTTTTGCCTTTGAAATAAGAGGAGAATAAAATGCAAATGATCGGTGCTTTGAACATTGAACCATTTCATGTTTGTGCTCATCAGAAACGCACAGTGTCAATAGATGTATTTTTAGTGCCTGAAAGCTGCTGCCTTGTCTGCAGGAGAGGAACTACATGCTGGTTTTCCTTTAAAGCATTCTAATTATGAAGAGTATCATGCAAAGACAGGGATTTATGCAAATCTAACTTCAAAGAAGTAACATGTACTGTGCTACTAATCTGGCGAATCAGGCTAGCTATCTGCAGTCACAAATGCTGTGAGAATGAACTAGGTGATCCCGCTACAGGGGCAGATCTGGGTTTGCAGACCTGGAATCAGCAGGAAGATAGGTTTGTCAGAGAAGCCATGTCTGCACTTGGCATTCAACCACTGGTGGACAGCAGCTGTTGTATGTGCACCAGTGCAAAGTCCAACGGTGAGCAAAGAAAGCCACAGTTGGCACCAGTTGAGTCTACTCGAGTTTCAAGCAGGAATTAACGCTACCAGTGCCACTTGTGGTGTTCCTTGTCTCTGCTTGGGGTTTCTACCAGTGCAGTTTACCCATTTGCTGGACATGAGTGGTCAAAGCAGGGTTAATCCCAAGTATAAACAAGCTCAGATCTGATGTTACATGTCTCCAGGAAAGAAGATTCTGAGTACATTTCTGTAAAAAGAATCCAACACTGAGTGATCGATAGAGCTGCATTGGCGCTGGCTTTGGAGGGAGCCTCTTGCCCATTTTCCTTGACAGAAGTAAAGGTGCTGCAATATAGGCTGACAATAAGGAGTGGAGGGGGAAGGGTGGGCTAGGAGTTTTTTAAAATGGGGGAAAATTAAGGGGAAAAAAGTCCTCTTTTATTCTTTTAATACAGTTCCCAGCAGGAAGATCAGGATAGGAGGCTCCCGCTTGCTCCAGATTAAAGGAACCCGCAGTTTCCGGGTGAAGAAGGGGGGTTCCCTGTCCAGCATTCGCCGGGCCGGCAGCCTAAAGAGCACCAAGTTATCACGGCAGGACTCAGAGTCTGAGAATGAGGAGCTGCAGCTGTCCCACAGCAGGGACACTGTCACTGACATAGGTAACATAGATGAGATGGTCTAAAAAGGGAGCGGGGCTATTAGGCAGCATCCAGATTCTGAAATGATTAAAGCAGGTCCAGAAACAATAAATAAATATAAAGATTCATTAGAGTAGGAGAAATCTCCATCTCTCTGAATTAAGCAGCTGTCTTTTCCTCTTCATGGATTGCATAAGCTAACACCCAGGAAGGCCAGAGTTCAAATCTTGCCATTGATGCACACTGGAATGTAAATTCTGTTCCACACAAAGGTTGTCAATTTAAATCTCAGTGTTAGTGTATGAACTCTTAAAATACTGGCATTTACCAGACTGGCAGCCAAATTCATGCTGTGCTTAGGAGGAGGTACACACACACAAATCATATGATATAGATATATGACATTTACAAATCATATTATATATATATATATATATATGCCATTATATGTAATATATATATATAAAATATCATTACATTATATATGATATTTTATTATCCATGACAGTAGATATTGTATATGTATACATGCACATTTTATATTGTATGATATTATATGTGTGTACATTTTATATTCTATATTATATCATATAATATTCCAGACATATATGTCATTTGAGAGTGTAATAGATATCTATTAATATATGTAGAATGTAAAATTATTTTATATATAATGGCCTCCGTCTTCAAAAAATTAGTCCTTATACATTTATTTGATGGAAACAAAATGGACTCCACATCACAAGAAATCTCCATTGCAATTGGCACAAAGTGATAGGGACATCAACAAAGATGTCAAGGATTGGATAAAGCCTGAGGGCTGAACTAATCTCCCAATCTCAGAAGCCCTTCTGACCCTGTCTGCTTTGCTCATGCTGTACCTCTTGTGGATAAATAGGAGAGCTAGTTCCTAATCTGGATACCTTTGCAAATCATAAATTCACTTGAAAAAGAAAAAAGAAGACAGGACGAACCTGAGTTAAACCAGAGCTACCCCCTAATGATATTTATGGTAAAATGTTTCCAAACGCAACTTCTGTTCTAAAACGTGGGCATTATGGAAGACCCCTAAGCAATAAGTGGCTGCCGGAAACACTGGGATCAGTTCAGTGACAAGTCAGAGTTCTCTCCCTTGCCCTAGTTCTCTAGAATTAGCGTGCACAGAGTGTGGATTTTTTTCCCCTTTCATCCCCGTTTATATTAGTGTCTTCTCATGGGCAAGTAACGGTGACATTACCTGGTGGTGGCAACAGCAGCAGGCTGATTCCACTTCGGGCTGGATTTTTGTTGATGGTTTTAACCACAGAGCCCAGTCAATGCAGATCATTGAACCGACAATTTGCAGCATCTTAGTGATGCAAGGAATTTGTTTCCATTGTTTTTGCTCCTTCCCCTCTCCCAAAAATGGGAACAATGCTCACCACTGACTAGTTGGCAAATTAAGAGTGACTGAGAATGGTGCTTGTAATTGCCAGTCCAGCTGATGACAAGAGGGAGGAGGGTTCCAAAGGCAGTCTATGTCATACAGCAGGTTCTGTATACTGTGATTGGTCTCAGCAAGGCTGGCCTGTCTTACAAGTACTTTCCCTAGCTTTTAAACACATGGGTAGCAGTGAAAACCACCACATTTTGGGGTATTTTTCTTTTGAAGAAGGGAGCCCTTGGAGTGCAAGTGAGCCCAGCATTGAGCCTGAAGTGCTGAGTAACACAGGCACGGAGGAGAATTACCATCGGAACATGTCGTGGCTGCATGTAAGTACAGGACCCTCATGATGCTCTCAGACCTAGCACTTTCAGGTTTCAGAATGAATGATTATGATACAGTAGTGGTAAACTGTTCACAATTCATGCTTAGTTAGCGTAGCATTAGGGCTTTAAAGTGTCTGTAGGCTGCAGCCATTAAAGGGTGGCTGCTCCCCATCTGTAAAATGGAGATAATACTTCGTTTCTCCCACCATTTGTCTGTCTCCTTTATTAAGATGATAAGTTCTTTGGCCTGGGATCACCCCTTGATATGTGTGTGTACAGCACTTAACACAGTGGAGCTGCAATCTCAGTTGGGCCCTATCTCTCTACCGTAAGAGTTCCTAATCTGGGTACCTTTGCAAACTGTAAATTCAGTTAAAAAGAAGACAGGATTCACCTGAGTTATATAGCCCCCATGACCATAGCATCTGAGCTTCTCACAGTCTTCAGTGTATTTATCCTCACAGCATAACAGTGCTATTATCCCCATGTTGCAGATGAGGAACTGAGACTCAGACAGACGCAAGTGACTTGCTCAAGGTCTCCCAGGAAATTGAACCGAGGTCTCTCCAATCCTAAACTGGTACCCTAACTACTAGTCCATCCTTGCTGTCAGGCACTACTGTAGTACCAATTATGATCACACCCACCTTCGAAATATCAGTACATTTGTTTGACTCCTAGTATGAGACACTAAAGGATGCAGTCACTGGTGGACGACTTGATCATATGCATCTGGCCACCAAGGTGTAGAGGGCAGTAGCACATTTTCCCATTATGGGAGGATAGACACACTCATCAATGTAAGGCATAGATTGGAGGGAGCTAAAAATATTTCTGTGCCTGTGCCTGTCTGGTATTTAGTACACATAGATGAAAGCCTGGAGAATTTTAAGGAGCGTGTACTGCAATTAATGTCATGCAGTGATCAGCATCTCTGATAAGCAGGAGATATTTTTGCTCTGTGGAATAAAACCAGGGTAAAAAAAAAAACCCAGACTATCTGAGTAAACCTGCTTTATTTAACAGTTATTAACAATTTTTTCAAAGGGAACACCAGGCTCAAGCCCTTTTCTGTACACAACTGTGTTGGTATTCATTTCACCCTACAACTTGTGTAAGGCAAAATTCTGGTATTCTTAATGCCACAACTGGTGGAGTAAGTCACTGCTCAAAACGAGGAAGGGAACAGACTCTGACCCGTAGCAAGCAATGAGATGCCGATCTCACTCCAGTTTTACACTGGTGTAAATACACTGACTTTAGTGGAGTTGCTCCTTATTGACATCAACATAAGTGAGGTAAAAAGCTGAAAAGCAAATTAGAATATATATAATTTAAAAACCCATGATTTTTGAGTCCACCTCACGATTTCTGGGGGCCTGATTCATGAATTTTGAATGTTTGGGGTTGGCAGTGCTGGAGCTGTCTTATTTTGGGCAGGGGGTTTGTTAATGCACAGCACCTCCCCTCTTGCAGGCAAATGTGTGGTGAGTGCCCCCCCTCTGTTGGCTTTGGGTATTTCACTGCTAGGTACTTGGGGTTCACTAGTGCATGTCTTGACCCACAGCGCAGGATCTGAAAGTTCCCTCCAGTGCCCACGTGCCGCAGGAGCTGCTCCTACCCTTCAGAGGCAGCAGCTGCAAGGAGCCCCTAGAAGGTTCTCTCTCAGATGTCAACCTAGGGGGCTGGGTTTATTCCTATTTTGGGAACAGGGGATACCCTAATGCTCCCCACCCTGAAAGGAATGGACTCAAATCTGCGGTGGGGCTGCCAGCGTTTAATGATGGTCACATATATGACAGTTTCTAACCCTGGCCCTCCCCTTTTATTTCACCGGTGTCAGTGACAAAACAGTCTTCACATGAAATGAGGGGAACGCTGGTCATCTTGGGCATTCTCTCACCACCAAACTAGCGCTCCTCAATTTTGAGTAACTCACCACTCCCCTCTTTGGGTTCCAGGTCATGATCCTGCTGTGCAACCAGCAGAGTTTCATATGTACCCACATTGATTACTGCCACCCGCACTGCTACCTCCACCACAGCCGTTCCTGTGCTCGCCTGGTCCGAGCCATCAAACTGCTGTATGGTGACACTGTGGACTCGCTCCGAGAAAACAATGTGCTGAACAATGTGGCAAGAGGCAAAAAGCAGAAGGAGGTGAGAAGGCCAGTAAATACCACCCAGACTATAGCCCCAGTTCAGCAAGGTACCTAAGCTTGTGACATGCTGAAGTACTTGGGTCATTCAGGGCCCATAACTGGCTGAATGATGATCATAACTGGCTGAATGATGATCTACATGATGATCAGCTTGGTTTGACTTTCAGGCAGCCGTAAATTCGTGTCCAGGTACCTATTGCTGCTTATTCCTGAGCTGAAACAGACCAGATGCAGATTTTCTGAATACATGTAATATAGGAGTCTTGTAGGAGTCATTCCAATGTTCAAGTGATAATAATACCCCTTAATTGGAAGCAGAAGTATTTGTATCCTTGGCACTGTTAAATTCACTTCTTTATCTCATCAGTGCAAAGATTTCAGCATCCCCGTGGGTGGAAATTTTTGCTCTGCAAGTTCGTAACATTTCCCTGTCACAGAATAGGTGATTAGATGTCCACTTGGATTAATGGATATATTGATACAGAACAAAGCAGAGAGGAAACAAATTAAAGAATGCAGAAATGCTGCTCTTCAGAACACTAAACTGTGTTCATATGTTCACATTGCCTGACACAAACTGCAATGCTGCAGTTAAGCACCAAGGAAAGGAAGCAACCTCTAGAATTGTCACCTCTGTCACCTCTGCCAGCCGAAAGGCCTGAGATGAGCATATGGCAGAGTAAATGAACAGTAGCTAAAGAGCTTACTCTGCACTCTTGGGTGTTATTTCAGCTCAAACACTGAATTCCAGTGCAAAATGTTAAGCTATACGATTTCATAGCCCATGCCTTACGAGTAAAGGCTATCAAACAATAGAGATAAAGAAATGGTCACTGGACAATAAGGCATCTGTGCATACACACACAAAGATGGGGATCTTTACATAGGAAAAAACCATATGCCATTTATTTCTATCTAATCCATTTCTTTTTATGTGTTAGCTCAGTGGTTCTCAAACTTTTTCATACTGTGACCACTCTGGCAACTCCCAATCATCTAGCCAGGATCTAGCTGAAACTACGCTTTCATTTAGCAATAAGAGACGCCCAGGATGGTTGCAATGCTTAACACCTGTTTGCGACCTCCTTGGGGGTCACGACCCCCCAGGTTGAGAACCCCTGTGTTAGCTGATAGGTTACCACCATTAGAAGGAAAAGCTAAAGCCACACAATACACAGGAGAAACTGTGGTGCTCTGGATATTGAACATATCATAGCTGGCAACAGTAGGTTTGCTGGTAAATCCCGTTTCTCATTGTCACTGGGCTACATGATGATCAGCTTGGTTTGACTTTCAGGCAGCCGTAAATTCGTGTCCAGGTACCTATTGCTGCTTATGTTTCCCTGAGAGGAAGAGAACAAACAGTTGATGTACTGGTGCAGTGGGTCACAAACTCCCTGGCTAGAATGGTTTTAGATTGGAATTTGTGGACTCTTGACTTTGAACTATATTAAAACACTTGTGTTCTACAGTGCACACCGTTGTAACCTTTTTATGAGAGTATTCTGGGGCACTTTCAGGGAACACATTCAAATTTCTGACTTGGCTTATTGGCCTTGATCTTATTAAGGAAATTAACATTAAAAATAGATTTTTTTTAAACCTTTAGAATTAGGGTTACTTATGCCAGCTTGCTGGCTGCTGAACACTGTCAGAACATAAGGCCTTATGTGGACAGCTTCAGAACCATGGCTTCAGAATCCACTTGAATTAGATTTCCTGGCTTTACAAATTTGGTGTCTCAGAGATTGTCAGATAACTGAACTCCATTTCTTTTTCAGTGCTTGGACAAATCATGCCTGAGAACTCCGTCTCTGAAGAAGAGAGTAATGGATATCAACTTGGAAGGAAAAAAGGACTCTGGAATGTTGAAATACATCAGACAGCAGGTACTACTATATCTCCTACCACAGTGACATGCTGATTAGGCTAGGTTCTGCCTTGCCCTTTAGGAGGGTTTGCAGTGAGTAGGGTGACCGGACAGCAAGTGTGAAAAATTGGGAGAGGGGGTAGGGAGTAATAGGCGCCTATATAAGACAAAGCCCTAAATATCGGGACTGTCCCTATAAAATCAGGACATCTGGTCACCCTAGCAGTGAGAGGAGAAAGGATTGTGGAACCTTGAGCCTGTGCAGGGAGTGGGAAGAGTTGGAGTGCGTGACTACTCCTGAATAATACCCGTGGAAGTAAACGGCATCCCCAAAATGGGTAGGACGTGCCAAAGAGTGAGCTGGAGCAGCAGTTAAAAGAACCCCAAGTTGGAGTCTTTACCTTTAAGCATGGCCGAATTAGTGCAGGAGCTTTGGTGGCTGCAGCCCAGGGCCCCAGCGCAGCAGGGCTCAGGCAGACTGCCTGCATGCCATGGCCCAACGTCGCTTCCTGAAGCGGACAGCTACTGGCAGGTCTCTGTGGCTTGTGGCAGGAGGGGGGAGACCGGAGGTGGCTCTGCGCACTGCCCCATCCCCAGCACTGTCCCCGCAGCTCCCATGGGAACCAGCCTATGGGAGCTGCAGGGGCAGGACTTGCGGGCGTGGGCAGTGCATGGAGACATGCTGTCCGCCTCCCCCCAGGGGTGCGCAGAGAAGTGCCAGCAGCCGGTTGCTTCCAGGAGCAGCATGGGGCTATGGCAGGCAAGCAGCCTGCCTGAGCCCAGCTGTGCTGCTGGCCAGGAGCAACCTGTGGTAAGTGCCTTCCAGCCGGAGCCTGTACCTCAAACCCCCTCCTGCACCCCAACCCTCTGCCTCAGGCTGGAGCCCCCTCCTGCATCCAAACTCCCTCCCAGAAAGAAACTAATATAATAGCTTTTCTAAGATAAGAAGTAGGCTATTTTGAATTAACTTAACTATACTCTACATGTTTTAAGACTGAAATGTAACCACAGAACAGCTTTATGTTAATCAAAAGGCAAAGTTTAGAATAGCATTAGTAGTCTTGATGCCATAATTGTGATCATTTTGTTTGAAATTTGGAAAAAGACTTCTATACAGAGGCCCCACAAAATCTAATAGCCCTGGGCCCACAGGACAGTTAATCCAACATGACTTTACGTGTCTGGGTATTTTAATACCTCAAATAATACGGGTTAAAAAAAGCAAGTGTTTAGATACCAGTTGTGAATTTGCTGCAGTAGCAGTTTGTGAAGACTTGTGTGAATATTTATAGCAGCATGTGTGCTGCCAACCTGAAAAGCCTTTGCTTTCCCTTCTTGTAGTTTATCAGAGTTTCAGTCACTGCGTCAGGGAGCAGCAACAATAGCCCAGGGCTTGGGGAACCAGTCGCACACCACAATTAACAAACAGCAGATAGTCAAGATGAATAGTTTGCTAACAGCATGCAGGCTGAAATATGTTCACATCGAAGTGTGATATGTTCATATCAGGTTAATTTAATTTGCTAAAACCAGACACTGTGGGTAATTCGTGATCAGATAAAAGGGTAAAATCAGTGAATATGTTGTTTGCTAACAATAGTTTACTCAACTCTGCTATGAAATACACTTTCATTTTCTTTAGGTAATGAGCCTGTCCCCAGCACCTTTGTCACTGTTAATCAAGGCAGCTCCTATTCTAACAGAGGAGATGTATGGGGACATTCAGCCCGCAGCATGGGAGCTGCTGCTCAGCGTGGATGAGCACATGGCTGGAGCAGCAGGTAAGAGAACCTGAACCAGAGATTGGTATTGTTGCCCTGCTGCCCATCCATAACAGATATTGGGGCCTTGCAGGTCAGCTTCCTGTTGGAGGAGGAATCAGTGACCCTACCTCTGGGTATGTTCTTGGGGCAACTTGTTTATTTTACACTATACACAGCAGTCACAAACAGCAGGCAGGCAATCCCCTCCTTTGGGTATCCCAGCCGAGATGCCAATGCCAGATTAGAAGGAAACAGCTCTGCTTCACGAATTGACTCTAGTTAGAGATATTAAAGGAGAGAGCACACACTCCTGCTGTGTGCCATAACCCTTCCCCAAAAAAGAAACTGCATCACAAAACTTAACAATAATACATTGTTTCTTCAATACCTCCAGGCCTCCTGGGGCAAACCAGCTCCAGGCAGCCAGCCACACTTTGGAGACTGATATCTGTGGAAATTAATGCTGTTGGCATTGATATTTGCTTGTGGGTAAACAGGTCTCTAATTTTCTGACTGTTTTCTTATCTGGCAGCTACAACAGCAAAACACAACCTTTTGCATCCAGCTCCATTCCCCTCAAATCCCTGTGATAGGGGGCCTTTGTGAGAGAGGAAGCCACTTAAGATCAAACTTGTCATACCTCCAACAAATTTTGCCCCATTTAATTTTAATGCCTCCGGTTTGCAGCCCTCTATTTTCTCTTGTCTTATATTTACTTTGTAAGCTCTTTGAGACAGGAACCATGTTTTGTCCTGTGTGTTTGTACAGCACCTAGCTCCTGGTCTGTAACTGGTGCTCCAAGACATGACTGCAATGCAAATGATGATATAAATTTTATAAAATTTGAAAAATCACATTTGGAATACACCAGTATTACTTCTGGCTTAAAGTCTGCAAAGTAATTAAGGACAAAGGGCCCAACCTTGCACTGGGATCCACTAACATGGACCCGTTTGAGCCCTCATGGGATCTCTTAGATACATAACATAAGGTACCCAACTCCTTCTCATTTATGTTCTCACGTGCCCAGGAGGCTGACTGTAGAGGTTAATTTAGACACCGTAATTTAAAAATCCTTGGCATTTTTGTACAGCATTATAACCGCATTGTGACAGGACCAAAGGAAAGAAAACACAAACAACTATTTCTTAATTAACACTTGTATTGTTTGCCCAAAAGCCACTTACTTTCAGATCAGTAGTGCTTGTGTGCTGAGCTCTTCTATGAGATGCTCAGCACCCTTCACTCCCCCTAACTTCACTTGGAGATGAGGGTGCTCAGCACCTCCCAGAATTGCTCAACACCTTGCAAGATTGAGAACCAAATCTCACTGTAAAATCTTTTTTTCATCTAAAATGTAATGAAATTCCATTGTAAATATTTGGATTCTGAACCTGTCTGGTCTTTTGGAGAGTTATGAAGTATTCATTCATAGATTTTTTTTTCTTATTTTCTATTTTTTAGCATGGGATAATTTACCAGATTTTAAAAAATTAATGATCTTTTCCAGTGCACTGAGACATTCTCAATAATTTAGTCACTGTCTATCTACAATTGGAATATCCCTCTATGCAGATCTATACAGTAGGATAATAAGATCCTGGACTGGGAGTCAGAAAACCTGATTTCTCTTCCCAGCATGCCACTGATTGGCTCTGTGAACTTCAGAAAGTCACTAAAACACTGTGCCTCAGTTTCCCCCTCTGTCCTTTGTAAAGTACTTTGAGTTGGAAAGTCCTGTAAAAGTGCTGCTGCTTCTTATTTATTGTTATTGATGAATGAAGCCTGGACTTACTTTTTATTCTAAACTAATCGTTGCTGAGATTTTCATGAGAACAAAAGCATTCTCTGTTTTAAAAAACAGCTTTGCTAACATCTTTTTATGAGCAGTTGTGGTGGCTATGAGAGGTGGAGTGACACTGATTCCATTTCATGAAGCAAAACACTTTTTGCTGGTGCTAGTATATTGCTGATCTCATTTTCTGTGGAGCATTTTTTTTGGTAGGGTTTTGGTTTTTTTACGTGACTGCAATTTTGTCTGCAAAACAAATACACTCTGAAAACACTTCGCTGATAAAATGTTCACTCCCTGCAGCTGCCATGTTCCTGTTGTGTGCTGTGAAAGTGCCTGAGGCTGTTTCTGATATGCTGATGTCCGAATTTCATCACCCTGAAACAGTGCAAAGACTGAATGCTGTTCTCAAATTCCATACCCTCTGGAGATTTCGGTATCAAGTCTGGCCTCGAATGGAGGAGGGCGCTCAACAGATCTTTAAGGTAGATGAGAAGAACAAACACACGGTTGTCTTTTGCAGTTTTGGCTTGTAGGACAGATGTATTGTGACATGATGACAAGGAATTGGCGTTAAGTCATTTCAGAAGAGGAAAAACTAATTCTGTACGCCAGGTTTGTAGGGTGAGGAACTGTATAAAAAAGAGACAATCCCACAGAATTCTGGGTGAAGTGAGAGAAAAATACTTAGTAGGAAAGAAACATATTGCCATAGACAATTGTCACAGTATAGTAAGATGTAGTTCAGCAGGGGGAAAAATGAATGGAACTAATTAGTGTCTCTGACTTTTCCACCAATATTAAATTAGAAGATGATACAACATTTCCATAGTTATTAACAAAAATATCTTGTGCCTGTTATAACTAATTGCATTGAGCTAAATATATAGGACCTGATTTGGCCGTTACTTGTGGAGTCGGGTACTTCTCGACCCGAGCAAGGATGGCAGAATCCATTCCGGCAATATTAATCATGGTTTTCTTTGATTAATGGGATTGGCCTGTCGAGTTGTCTGCTCACTTTTATAAAGATTCTATACATCCCAGAAGATCATACAGTGTTCTCCTAACCACTTTAATTTTCAATTATATAATGGATGTATCTGGGAAATGGGCTACTTCACTGCAGATTGATATACCAGATACCTTCTGATGTCTAGCTTAAAGGAACAGATGTTCTTCTTTGAGTGCTTGCTCATGTCAGTTCCATTCTAGGTGTGTTTTGCCTTAGTGGTATCCATAGGGTGGGCTGTAGCGCCCCCTTGAGTTCCGCACTCATGATTTGGTATATTAGGCTCTGTCAACCCTATGCCCTCTCTGTTCCTTCTTACTGCCCATGATGGTTGGTGAGAGCTCCTCGTCTTGCTCCACAAGAGCATTAGCGGTTCTTCACAGCCCATTGTCTGTCGTCTTTGTGTATAGTTTGTAGGTACTTAGTTAGACATTAAGTGTTAGGTTAGTGTGGTAGTTAGAGTCCTGGCTGGGACTTCAACCTGGAGCAGGGTGTGCCTCGTTCCTCAGGCTTTTAGCCATACTCATCGTGCAGCAGGCCAATGCCTATTAGTGACCCCCATGCCAGATGTTTGAAGTGCTTGGGGAGCAAGGACAAGGGCAGAATATGTAAGAACTTTCGCCCTAGAATCCAGAAGGAGCGGGATATCCAATTGAGGACCCTCCTCATGGAGGCTGCGCTTCATCCTGCCTCGGACCCCTCCCGTTCGGACGCCATGCTGAGCACCTCAGCGTTGGTGCTGAGCGTGCCGCCAGCACCGGGCTCTGCACAGCACCATTCCCCCTCACCGGTGCCAAAGAAGCGGCAAAAGAAGAAGAGCCCCCTGGCATTGGAAGGGAAAGGGGCCTTGGGCAAAGGACCTATGTCAGGTCATGTGTCCGGTTTGATGGAGAGTACTGATGAGGTTGGACCCCTAGCCCAGCCAGGGATTCAACTGCCAGGAGCAGCAGGGGAACCCAGCTTCTCCTAGGGCCCTCATTGCCCAAAGCGGCCCTGGCGGCTAAAGAACAAGCCAGCCAACTGGCACCACAAACACCACGCCAGACTTGGCTAAGGCCCCAATACCTAGGGCAAGCCAATCATGGGACTGCCCAATAGGGCAGTGGAACGCCCTCAGTTTCCGAACCGTAGGTGTAGATCCCCATCTCCATGGCCTAGGACCCCGGCACTGCATCCTGGTCTCTGGTCAGAAGACCCAGGTCCCCAAAACCACGCTCTCTCCCTACGAGACATGGGACACCGGAGTTGAGGCACCAGTCCCCGTACCACCGGTACCGGTGAGCTTCCCTCCAAAGATTGCCACAGTGCAGGTCACCCTCGCCCAAACGGTCTCCCAGACATCAGTCCTCACTGGGGCGGAATTGCTCCCTGTCGCAACACCGGTCTCCATGCCCCCATTACTGCTCATCGGGCAGGCACCGATTCTCACCCTTACCTCGCCAGTCGCCAACCAGGGTCAGTCAGCAGACGCAGGCCTTGACGGCTCTGCCCTGGTCACTGGAAGGGCAATGGTCAGAATCAGACCGGGAGTTCGGCCCCTTGCCAAGGAGGGGCGATTCGCTGCCAACCCACGAAACTGGCGCGGCACCTGCAGTGATGGCATGGCAGCAGGGATAGTGTTCCGCTCAGTGGCCATACTGGAACCTATGAGGCATGCCCGTAATGCCCGTAATGCCGGTCCCATATTCCCATCAGTCCTCCCTGGCCGCCTCGGACAAACCGCCCCCAGCACTGCCAGCACCAGAGTTGGAACATGGTACCAAATCTGACGCGGGGGCAGCTCATTGGACTCCAGCACCTAGGGAGCCATCCCCAGAAAAGGAAGGAGAACCTGCCCCTTCCCAGGTGGTGCAGTCATTGTCATAGTCTCCAGACGAAGCGGTGGTGGATCCCTCCCAAGCATGCAGCCCCCACGCTGACTTCAAGGGGCACCAGGCCCAGGCCCTCCTTAAAAGGGTGGCTACCAACTTGAACTTAAAATTTTGGTCATGGAGGAGTCCGATTACCTCTTTAACATTGTATCCTCCTCCACCCTGTCCAGGTCGTGCCCGTCCACCCAGGGGTCCTTAAGATTGCCAAATCACTGTGGCAGACCCCCTCTTCCATTCTGCCTACTTCTAAAAAAGCGGAAAAGAGGTATTATGTCCCTGCAAAAGGGTTCAAATATCTGTGTACACACCCTCCAGCGGTGTCACTGGTCGTGTCTGCTGTTAATGAAAGGGACGGGCAGGGCCAAGTCAGTGGCACATCAAAAAACAAAGATGCTAAGAGATTGGACTTATTTGGCAGAAAGATTTATTTGATGGTAAGCCTGCAATTTCGGGAGTCTAACCACCAGGCCCTGTTAGGCCGGTACAATTTTAACCTGTGGGACTCCCTTAACAAATTCAAGGAGGCCCTCCTGCAGGACCGAGCCCAGGAGTTGAGATGTGTTACTCATGTCCATTCCATTACCCGCCCTCCTACCCCTATGTCGGAGTTGCCAGCAAGAAGGAATTGAGAGGGCGAAGGGTCAGCAGCGCCTAATATACCAACGCATGAGTGCGACACTCAAGCGGGTGCGACAGCCGACCCTACGGATACCGCTAAGGCAAAAATCTTCGATGACTGTGCATATGGGCACGTGCACACCTAGAACGGGATCAACATGAGCAACACCTCTCAAAGAACAACAGTTACGAAAAGGAAGGTAACCATTTTTTCTTCTTCAAGTGCTTGCTCATGTCGATTCCATTCTAGGTAACTCACGAGAAGTATCCTCTGAGGTGGACTCGGAGTTCCCAGTCTAGCAGCTTTTTCTCTTGAAAACCACTGTAAGGATTCATATATTGACCCTTTGGTATACCACAAATAATTGTTATGTGGACTTTGAGGAGTAAAAGTGATGAATTTGGAAGATTTTCTCCCTCGCTTATCTGTTTCTCATTGTGGTTGAAGGGTCTTTCCTTTATCTTTTGAGAAGTTATTGTTATTCATGATGTAACAAGAGCACAGATGTGTGAAAAGAGAGGCCAGCTGTAAAAAGTGGTCACATAGTCTGGATGGTTGGCATCATGTTATGCAAAAGAATCCATGTTCTATAATTCTATGGGATAACAGTTCCTGGTTCCTTGTTTTTCGTCTGGGATTCAGTTTTTATAATGGACAGTGCAAAATGATTTCAGATGTTTTATCTTTTGCCTAAAATGCTTTATTGTTTTAAAAAAATATTGTTGATACTGAGCACAGTTCCCCTTCCTTCTGTCCCAGGTTGCAGGAAGAGGCTGGAATCCCAAGGGAAGTAATCAATTGGCATTTAAATCCACCACCTAAAATTTCTCTTTCCCTCTACCTGATTTTCTCTCCTTGTGTTTTCTTGCAGATTCCTCCTCCAAGTATAAACTTCACCCTGCCCTCTCCAGTACTGGGAATGCCCTCTGTGCCAATGTTTGACCCCCCGTGGGTTCCACAGTGCAGTGGGAGTGTGCAGGACCCAATTAATGAGGACCAGTCTGTAAGTTAAAGAGCTCCCTAGAGGGGATATTGTTATTACTTAGTGACAGACTATATCCAGGTGGTGGGGGTGGGGGTGGGGAGGAAGAGGGAGGGAGCTAAAGAAGACCAAGTAGTCTAAACTCTGAATTTCCTTACTTGTGTCAGTTTACAAGAGATCTTTGAGTACATTGTTAGTATAGTGCATAGACATCACATATACAGTGTTAGTATTTTTCCTATTTTTCAACAAGAGACTTAAGACAAGAAATCCAACCAAGAGCATCCTTGTGAATCTTTATTCCGTTAACACCTACTTGTTGTGGGTGTGTATGTGTATAGATAGATGAATGGATTTGCTCTTTAGTGGGTTAAATGTTAAAACACATGCTGCATGAAAACCAAACCAATTGCTTCATGTTGGTTTCTTTCTTCTTGCTTTTCTGGCAGAAGTCGTTTTCAGCCCGGGCAGTGTCACGTTCTCATCAGCGAGCAGAGCACATCCTGAAGAACCTGCAGCAGGAGGAAGAAAAGAAGCGCCTAGGCCGGGAAGCCAGTCTTATCACTGCCATTCCCATCACCCAGGAGGCCTGCTATGAGCCCACCTGCACGCCAAACTCAGAGCAAGAAGAGGAAGGTGCGCTCCAAAGCCAAGAACTGCTTGCCAGGAACCAATAAGCACATGCCTCCAGCATGGAACAGGTCTTAGGGATGCAGTGAGGATGGAAAGTCATCATTAGTGATAGGGAAGACCCCACTTTAACATCTTCACCATTTCGGATCACTCAGAGGAACTGGTTTTTAATCACTTTACGAACCTAACAGCACCATACAGATGTAAGGCATCCATGTCAAAAAATAAAAGATTCAAAATGAATGAGAAAAAAGTGTTACCAATAATTACTGTAATAAGGGCCCAAACCTGTGAAATGTTGAGTGCTGCCTGCAAGAAACTGGGTGTTCTCAGCTCCCACTGACCGATGGGAGTTGAGGACTCTCTGCACCTCACAGGAGGCACTCAGCACGTTGCCAAATCAGATCCTTAGTGTCTGAGAATAAAGGAAACTGAAAACTTAGCCTTTGGGTTGAGGATTTCATTGGGTCAAGCTAATGCAATAGAGTTAGTTAAATGTCCTCTTTTTGCATATTGCAGCTACACAAATATGCTGATGTGTCCTGAGCTGTGTATGCAATGGAAAATCTGCAAACAGAATAGTGGCATTGCAAGTGCACCCAGACAGTACCTGGAGGAAGGACAACAAATTACCTAGCAGTGTGGTTTGTTACGATGTAGAATAATCGTCTAACTGAAGCTGTGGAGCTGCATCACCTGAGTCAACTGAAACTTGACTCAGCAAAGCACTGGGTAATATATGTTAAGGAACAGGCCTGCTCTAGCTCCCAGGGGATCGACGAGATTGCCTAAATCATCTTTTTCGTTTTTTGTACATTTCACAAGAAGTCTGACTTGAATTTTTCTCTGTTCCAATCTGGCAGCATGATGCTTCTCTCTGGGAAATGCCTTGAATTGTGGCAGTCGAATTTATAAACCAAAATTCACATCCCCTGTTTTCTTTGTCAGTAGAAGAAGTCACCAACCTGGCATCCCGCCGTCTCTCTGTGAGTCCCTCCTGCACCTCCAGTACTTCTCACAGGAACTATTCCTTCCGTCGTGGCTCTGTCTGGTCAGTGCGTTCAGCCGTCAGTGCAGAAGGTGGGCGTCGACTTTACATTTGTTTTTAATTCTCCTTATACAATGTATAGATTCATTCTGTTGACTCACAGGTCTCATGTCTTCCTTGGTCTTAACCAAAGCTACACCTGCCTTTTGTCAGGCCTGCTTGAAAGCTCAGGAAGTTCTGAACTAGTCAGCCCCATGCATTATATACTGCTGCTCATTCCCATGTAGCTTCTCTTCAGTTCCAGTGTTTCACTGTGAGTTACCGCTGAGTTGTGTCACGTGAAGCACTCCGGGTGGAGAACTGTAATTGAAAGGGATTTTACCAACAGCACATTGGCTAACGCATGCCTTTTACTCCTCTCTGCTCTAGATGAGGAACACACTACAGAGCACACTCCAAACCATCATGTGCCACAGCCCCCACAGGCAGTGTTCCCAGCATGCATCTGTGCAGCTGTGCTCCCCATTGTTCACTTGATGGAAGATGGAGAAGTCCGAGAGGATGGAGTAGCAGGTGCTGACCTAGATTAAACATTCATGGGCTCTTAATCAGAGGTTACAAAAATCTCTAGCAGTTTGAACAATGGCTCAGATTAGTAAGAGCAGCTAGGCCAGTAGCATCAGAATCCAGTTATTAGTGGCACCCACGCTTTTTTTAAAAGCTAGGAAATTGCTCACAAAAAATAACACATTAAAAGAACAGTTTTAAGGTTGCAAAGTCAAGCCCTCAGAATTTAAGAAATGCCAGAATCAGGGTTGCCTGCGCAACCTTAATGTGATCCTCTTGTGTGAATGCATTATAATACAGTCTGTAATTACCTGAGCACATTTTATATTTTCCACAGGACCTCTGCCTTATTCAGTGCATAGAATGGATGCTGCATACTTAATGAGCAGCTCTTCAGTATTTTATTTTATCCTTATGATTCAGTGTGTGGGTCCATGCCTTATTTACAGCACACTGTTCAAAACCTGCTCTGAAGACAGAACTGTTAATTTCTTCATGGGCTTTTCTATGGTGCTCATCACTACAGTATGTGAGTGCTTGACAAACGTTAATGAATTTATCTTCACGTCTCAGTCTCCCATACCCAGCCACGACTTCTTGTCCCAGGTCCAGTCTCACCCCCACGCTTGCCTCCCTAGCTCACAGATAGGTCAGAATCCCAGTCCCCTAACCCTCCCTGGCTCCTCCCTTTAGTTCTCCACCTCACCTGGCTCCTCACCCCTCTGCACTTGAATCGAGCTGCTTCCTCCTTTTCCTTCTCATTGCCTGGGTGTCTGCAGGAGGATCACTGAGAACACAGAAGATGCAGTTCCCCTGTTCTCAATTCCAGTGCCCAGTGCCACACCAGCCCCTGGCTGCCAAGAGGAGCAATTGGAGGGAAAGTCCTGCTCAGCCCCCACAGCCCTGAGATGGAGCATGCTCCGTGCAGACAGAACCTTTGGAAAATCTAACTGCTAAACTCTACTGAGCTTGTGAAAACTGAGCTTTTCAGAGGCTCATAACTTGGCAAAATTTGAAAAAAAAAATGAGGATGCTAGAAGACACATCTCTGGCACCTGAGTGAAGCACCTGCCTAATTTTAAGTCCCTGCTCCAAAGCATGGACATGTCAGAGCTTCTCAGTGAAACAGTTCATTCTCAAAAGTGACCATCATTTTTGCTTAAATGTCCCAGAAATATTCAACCTAAGGCAGACACTCAGCATGGAAAATGTCAACCCAAACAGTTAAAAGTTTGGCAAAGTTGTGAACAACTGAAAAGAGGATCTTACAATGGGAAGTGTCAGGCAATTTAACTATAGGCATCACTAGCAGTGCTGTCTCTAATTCCACTTATAAATAGTGTATAAAGAGTTTATAAATTATTTGACTTTATAATCATGTTACGGACATAAACAGTGTGTGTCATTGATGGGTATAAGCCCATAGAAAGTTTTATAAACTGCTATTGACAGGCTCTTGGTTCTGGGCCGTGAGTCCTGGTAGTTGGAGTAGTGGTCAAGAACAGATACCAAGGGTCAAAGCTAGCCACAGAGTCAGGACTGGGCAGAGGGCAGCACTTAAACCAGGGTCTGGGGACAGGCCATGGGTCAGAACCAAGGTCTGTGTCCGTAAACAAGCCAAATCAGGATTGCACTCAGAGTCTGGAAGCAGGCCAAAGGTCGAAGCTGGGTTGAAGTCAGTCCAAGGTTCTGGGGGTCAGGAGGCAGGTGCAAGGCTGGAGCAGGGTCAGAGTAATGTACGGACAAGGCTGAAGCAGGCTGGAACAAGTTTTGGGCAAGGCTGGGGCAGGAACAGGGACAGGATCAAGGCAGAGTGGAAGCCTAGGGAGTCTAACACTGTGAGGCAGCAGGAGAGTTCCTAGTCCAGTGGTGCTATTGCATAGACTGACTTGTTGCTCTGGCAGTGAGGGTGAAATACTTGTACCTGGGGGTCATCAGACCCGGGCCCTGCCCAGGGATAGGCTGCTGCAGCATGCCTGAGGGGTGAGTCAGTGCAGGGTTTGCTGGAGGCAGGAGTCATTGTAGCTGAGTGAGCAACCCTGGTTCAGCTGTGGGTTTGCCTCACAGTTATAAGCCATGATGATAAGCAACGTACACTATTGGCTTGTCAAATTCCATAACAATTACTTATTTATTAAAACATCTATTAATCATATATTAACCTCTTATAAACCATTTATAAATGGGTCCTAGATATAAATATGTGTAACTATTATTTTATGTTTTCTTTCTTTGCGATGCTCTCTTTTGGACAACTAAAGCGCCTGTCCTACTTGGTCAAGTCTTTCTTTTTAGATTTGTGAAATAGTCACTTCCTTTGTAGCTTCCTTTGTGTTTATTATTCCTCAGTATTCTCAGATGAAGGGGTTGATGCTATTCTGAAATATTTCAGACATTTACAAATGGTTTAATTTACTATTTGTTATTCATCGTTTATAAGGTGTGGCTGGCCCCTCAAATCATGTATTGATTGAGCTTCTTCCTGGTTAGATGGCTGAATTACAGAAAAACAGTGAATAATGTGCTGCTAATGTAAATTTGAAGATGAATAATCATTTATGCTAAAATTGGTGACATTTGGGGGATTTAGTAACCCTTTCACAAACACGCAATATCTGTCCAAATACTAGCCACAAACAATATGATTTAGTGAATAACAAAAAATTCACAACAATATTTGCAGTTTTTAATTAACTGACCATATGTAATCATGCATCTGAGTGTCACTTCTGTAGATGCACATGGTTCTCTGGTTTGCTGGTAGACGTCAAACATTTTAATATAAATATACCCCTTTAAGACTTCTCCTGAAGATGAGGTTCTCACTAGTTCTTTTTCTTCCTCCTGTATAGTGAGTGCCGTGGCCCAGCAGGTCTTATGGAACTGCTTGATTGAAGATCCCTCTACAGTTCTACGGCATTTCCTGGAGAAACTCACAATAAGCAACCGACAAGTAGGTTCTCCTTTTCCCAGTATAGACATATTTTCCCAGAGCATATTAAAGGAGAGCTTAGCCATCACTTAATGCACAAAAATACAGGAACAAGTAAAATCACTTAAAGGGTAAAACAATCTTTACTATAAGATGGCTTAGAATACTGACAACCAGATCCTTGGCTGGTGTAGATCAGTGTAGGCCCTATCAAGTCAATGGGGCTATGCTGATTTACACCACCTGAGTATCTGACCCTGATTGTCCAAGGTCCTGTTCTGACTCTGTTTAGGTCTCTTAGTTCTGAATCCTACTGAGCTAGGTTTCCTCAGCTCGTGCAGATGAACCTAGCTTCATCGGAGCCACTCTGTTTAACCCTCCCTGAAGTACAGGCCTGACATTCAGCAGCCTGTTTGCAATGTTGTAGCCATGTGGGTCCCAGGATATTAAAGAAACAAGGCGGGTGAGGTAAAACCTTTTATTGGACCAGCTTCTGTTGATGAGACAAACTTTCAAGCTTACACAGAGCTCTTCTTCAGGTCTGGGAACTGTACTAATCAGAGTGTCACAGCTAAATACAAGGTGGAACAGATTGTTTAACATAAGTAGTTAATACATATCATCATAATCCTTTTCTGTGCTATGTCTGGTTTAGACTGTAAACTCTATGAGGCAGGGATCTGTCGCTTTTGTTTGTATGAAGAGCACCAGGTACCCCTGTAGCGCTATATAAATAATAACATAGACAACACCGTGCACACCAGGACACCATATAAATAAGAACATAAGAGCAGGCATACGGGGTCTGACCAATGGTCCGTCTAACCCAGTAGCCTCTCTTCCAAGAGTGGCTGGTGCTAGGTGCTTCAGAAGGAATGAACAGAACAGGGCAATTTATCAAGTGATCCTCATCCCCTGTCATCCAGTCCCAACATCTGGCAGTCAGAAGTTTGGGAACACCCAGAGCACATGGGGTTGCATTCCTGATCATCTTGGCTAATAGCCATTGATGGACCTATCCTCCATGAATGTATCTCATTCTTTTCAAACCCAGTTATACTTTGTCCTTCACAACCTCCCATGGCAATGAGTTCCACAGCTTGACCGTGCATTATGTGAAGAAATACTTCCTTTTATTTGTTTTCCACCCGCTGCTTATTAATTTCAGTGAGTGACCCTTGGGTTCTTGTGTTACGTCAAGGGTACATAAGACTTCTTTGTTCACTTTCTCTACACCATTCATGATTTTACAGAGCTTTTATCATATCCCCCCTTTCGTCATCTCTTTTCTAAACTGAACAGAGTCTCTCCATACGAAAGCTGTTCCATACCCCTAAACATTTTTATTGCCCTTCTCTGTACTTTTGCCAATTCTAATGTATCTTTTTTGTGGGATGGGGTGACCAGAACTGCACACAGTATTTAAGCTGTGGGGGTACCATGGATTTATACAGTGGAATTATGATATTTTTTGTCTCATTATATATCCCTTTTCTAATGTTTCCTAGCATTCTGTTCGCTTTTTGGACAGCTGCTGCACACTGAGCAGATATCATCAGAGTCCCAGTAATGATGATATCACTATAGATAGCGATATCACCATCCTTCTCACCTGACCATCACATGTATATCAAAGTTGACTGCTCACACTTGCTGCGTTAATGAGACAATGAATAAAAAGAAAACCGGGAGAAAGGATGGTCAGATACTTTTTGCCCCTGTTTTTAATGGCTGTGCACAGAGGCCTAGCCACTTTTACAGCTTCTCACTCAGGCTAGAGGGAAGACCTGGAAGTTTCCTTTGAATTCAGCCCAGTCAGCCACTGATGCTTGTTAAACATCCAGACTTGAAAAAGTAGCTCTTTCCCCTGCAGCCCTGATCACCAGTAGGAAGTTGGAATATGCTGTGGGGCCACCAATGGCTGTTGAAGGGGATTCTAGGTGAGGGGCTGGGGAACCTTTACAAATACAGGTGATGTCTACACTGCAGTTGCATATGTAGACATACCCGAGCCAGCTTTGATCTAGCTACCTCAGATAACAGTAGCAGTGAAGCTGCAGCAAAATGGGCGACAGCACAGGCTAGCCACTTGAGTATATACCCAGGTCCCAGGCAGGCTTGTACACTATGACACTGCCAGACTGTGATGTGCTCTGTCTATCCTCAACTGGTGGGTGATCCCTATGCCAGCCTACACACATTAGAGCTGCCCACAGGAGAAAACAACAGAGAATCTGGCCCAAAATGGGGACTGTAACCAAGAAGTGACAACGATCACAGTAAAGTGAATTAATTTTCATATACTCTCTCCAATACTGTCCTAATAGCACTTTTCCATTGTAAGTAAGAACTCGCATTGCTGCAGGGAAGGTACGGCGACAGGATTAGGAGGTTGCCAGGGCAGATGTCCATGGTGATATCTCTAGGTAAGAAGGTGATCCACAGCGCGAAACAGTGAGAACCACTGACCTAGATAATACATTCATTGTGGCCTTGGACTTGCACTTAGAATTCTAAGTACTCTTCTCCTAAGCATATGGTTCCATTTCATGCAGAGAGAGAGAGAGAATGAGAATGAGAAAGGAAGGAAGGAAACTGTAGGCCATTTTGTGATGGAAATTAAAAACTCTTGCTCTTCTTCCAGGATGAGTTGATGTACATGCTGAGGAAGCTCCTACTGAACATCGGAGACTTCCCTGCCCAGACGTCTCACATCCTGTTTAACTACTTGGTGAGTAGCTCCCAGTACCAGCCTACAGCCCATAAGTCTAATCTTTGGCTGCTCATTTCCTAAAGCACAAGTGTTACAATCTAGAAGGAGAGAGTGCCCTGTGGTTTTGCTCACACAATTTATGCACATCAAGCCTCTAGCTGTCAGTGTAGATCACCTGGCTCAGACAGGCTTCCATTTCCCCCCCTGCCCACATTTATTAAAGAGTGAAATAAACTGTTACCCTGTCATGCCAAACCCACAGCTGCACACAACCCTTTTGGAGTTCTGCTGTGGGAGACCGTGCAACGTGTTTACCCCCTATGCTGCACTCCAGGAGAGTCTGTGTGAAGGATCATGGGTCTCAATCCCAAGCCTATAGGTACCCAGGCAGTACTCAGACTGCAGCCACCACCAAGCAGCTCACCAGAACCAGTAGGGAAGGGGGCTAGTGGAAGTCTAGCTCAACAAGAGCTCTGCCCGCAAAGCTCCTGATTGGGGGAGACGTCCAGCCCCACCGATTGGCTTGGACATGCTACTTAAGCCAGAAGGAGGCACAAGAAGTTGTCAGACCAACTAGGTGAATGCTTGGCTGACTGCCAGTTTGGACCCTGCCTGCTTGCTTGCCATTTTCCTGGTTCCTGCCTCCCAGCCTATTCCTGCCCTCCTTATCCCAGATCCTCCTCTGCTGCAAATTCCTGCTTTCCTGTCTTGCTCCAGGTCCCCTCTCCTCCACCCTGCCCCTCACTCTGACTTTGGCTTTGCTTGACTCCTGATTCTGTCTCCAGCTCTAATCTCCAGCTCCAGTTTCTGGCACCTGACTCCAACCACTAGGCATGACTGCCTGTGCCCTGGTCCTCATACACTGCTGCACAGATCCTCCCTTTCCTCCATTCTATAGAGATAGGGAATAAAGGACCATGGTGGCTTCTTCCCTACCCACCCGTCTGCCCAGTGCCCATCCCAGCTATTATGGCTGTTCTGGATCAGCCCCTCAGCACACATCAGTGGCATCCCATACTCACCCAGAACAGAAGGAGTTAGAAAGTTGACATTGGGCATAGTCGGACAGAGTGACATGAACTTTCAAGCATTAGGTTTGACAGGTTGAGTCTTCTACGAATGACGAATAACGCTACAGGAACCGTCTTTTTATTTTGTGTTTGTACAGCACCTCGCACAGCAGGGTCCTGGTCCATGACTGGAGCTCCTAGGTGCTACGACAGTACAAACATAAATGATCATCACAAATTCCTCTGTCTTACTGAGCAACGTAGTTGACTTGGGTTTGTCACAGTCTGAGTGCTCCCCAGAATAATGGAGTTGGCTGAAGCAGGACTAATGCCAGTAAAACTATGTGATGTGTATACAAAAGCAGCTTGAGTGCCATTTTTTTGTTTCTGCCCTGCAGGTGGGATTGATCATGTACTTTGTGCGTACTCCATGTGAATGGGGCATGGACGCCATTTCAGCTACACTGACCTTCCTGTGGGAAGTGGTGGGTTATGTAGAGGGCCTTTTCTTCAAGGATCTCAAACAGACTATGAAGAAGGAGCAGTGTGAAGTAAAACTGCTGGTGACTGCCTCAATGCCAGGTAGGGACATGTACAATCTTTTAAGACGTAGCTGGGATCCTTTACCTATCTTCTATATTTGCTATTTTGCTTACTGCTCCTACACCCCTCAAATATAGAATTGCCGGTTTGAGATCCATTGGAAGAAGGTCAGTGGAAGCTCTCTCTTAATATCACCAGACATTTTTAAGCCTGTCCTCCTTGAATTTGGGCTCTGTAAAATAATTCTTGAACAGTTCACAGCCCCTTCAGAACTCTGTAGGCAAATAAACAAAACATGACAACAGAAGAGTCTGTTCAGTCTGGAGCCATATGCCAATCAGTCCCTGAAGGACTGCCACGTCTGATCATTTGAAGAGTCTGCCACTCAGGGATAGCTCAACTTGAAACCCTCCAGTGTAAATAATGGCAATGCCTGGAGTTAATAACCAAGAGTGTACAGTGGTAAACCTACATCTTCACGAGCCAGACAAGAAATTGCTCTGTGAAAAACGGAGTTGTCATTTTATATGTATTTCTTCCTTGTGTAACTGTTACAGTTAAAACCAATTGTAACTCCTTAGAAAAGATAAGTTCTCATTACATGGGAGTATAAGTATTCCATAATGGATTCCAAATACCTAGGACTTGTGTTGGCTCCTCACAGGGCGAATTTCACCCATTGGCCTTACTCTGTGAATAGTCCCATTGGAATAGCATATGAATTACGTGAGAATGGACGGGAGAGAGAATGACAGCTCTTCTTTACTCTAGGCACAAAGACCCTGGTAGTGCATGGACAGAACGAGTGTGACATCCCAACCCAGTTACCAGTGCATGAGGACACACAATTTGAAGCTCTTCTGAAGGTGGGAATGAGGTTTTTCGGTAGAGCTGTTTATTGATACATTTATATTGATAGCTGCCTGTGCCTGTCACATCTAAGTTTTAGAAATACAGTCTTACAAACACCCCGATTTCAGTATGGTGGAGGAATACTGCTCTGATATCCACTTCCATCTCAAGATGGGTGACCACTACTGTATAAACTGGGAAGTGATCTGATGGCTAATGTGGGGTACTCCCCATCCTCAGTACCTAGGGTTATAGGAGATCCCATTGCCAGCCAATGCCCCACAAGTGGAACTCTGGGGCCAACAGCGTGCTGCAGATCAGATACAATTTGCTAAATAAATTAGTTAACAATTCACTGACATACTCGTCCGTTCATTTTGTTCTGGTGTTTGACCAGCTCTATTACCTACCCAAGAAATGAACCAAACAGCTGTTCCCACTAAGAACTCTTTGGTGGCCCAGGTAGTCCTGATTCCATCACATGATAATTGCAGATTTGTTTTTGCCTCAGTGGAGAAATCAGCGTTTCAAGGAGAAAGAGGATAATCCAGTGGTTAGGGTGCTAGCCTTGGGACTTGGCAGACAGGGTTCAGTTCCTTGCTTTGCTAAAGATTTCCAATACGACCTTGGACAAGTCACTTAGGCCAGTGGTTCTCAACCAGGGGTACACATACCCTTGGGGGTACGCAGAGGTCTTCCAGGGGGTACATCAGTCCATCTAGATATTTGCCTCATTTTACAACGGGCTCCATAAAAAGCATTAGCCAAGTCAGTACAAAGTAAAATTTCATACAGACAATGACTTGTTTATATTCTATACACTGAAATGTAAGTACAATATTTATATTCCAATTGATTTATTTTATAATTATATGGTAAAAATGAGGAAGTAAGCAGTTTTTCAGTAATAGTGGGCTGTGACACTTTTTGTATTTGTATGTCTGATTTTGTCAGCAAGTAGTTTTTAAGTGAGGTGAAACCTGGGGTATGTGAGACAAAGCAGACTCCTGAAAGGGGTACAGTAGTCTGGACAGGTAAAGAGCCACTGACTCAGGCCATGTCTACACTTACAAGCTTACAGTGCACAGCTGTACCGCTGTAAGATCGCTCGCGTAGCTGCATTATGCTGATGGGAGAGAGTTCTCTCATCGACGTAATAAACCAGCTCAGTGAGTGGCGGTAGTTCTGTTGGTGTGAAAGCGTCTCCCACTGACATAATGCTGTGCAACCGAGTGCTTATGCCGGCAAAATTTATATCGCTACGGGGGGAGTTTTTTCATCCCCCTGAATGACAAAAGTTTTGCCAACATATGTGCTAGTGTAAACATAGCCTAAGGCCATGTCTACACTTGCTTCGAGGTGTAGAGTACAGGGACTAGTACTGTACATGTAGCTGCATACTGCAGTGAAAGGCAAGCTGTGTCTACACACTGTAGAGAAAGGTGAAGCTGCCTTTCCCTGCTGCCTCCCTGCTGCCAGAACCTTTCATAGGCTTTAAGGCCAGAAGGGACCATCGTGATCATTTAGTCTGATCGCCTGCATATTGCGGGCCTGCATGTTGCAGGCCACAGAACCTCGCCCACCCACTACTGCAATAGTCCCCTAACCTCTGGCTGAGTGACTGACATCCTCAAATCATGATTTAAAGATTTCCATTTTACAAAGAATCCACCATTTACTCTAGTTCATACCAGTAAGCAACTCGTGCCCCAGGCTGCAGAGGAAGGTGAAAAACCATTAGGGTCTCTGCCAATCTGACCTGGGGCAAAATTTCCTCCCAACCCCAAATATGGTGATCAGTTAGATCCTGAGCACGTGGGCGAGATCCACCAGCCAGACACCTGGGGAAGAATTCTCTGTAGTAACTCGGACTTTCTCTGCAGCCGCGAGGCAGCAGCAAACGACGCTGCTGAAAATAAGCAGTGTAGACGTGGGAGGCACTGCTTGGGTGTATAGGGCACTGGGGGGTCAGGCGTGCCAGGCACTCTGCTCCACCCACCTAAGCAGTGCCTCACCATCTACGCTGCTATTGATACCCATGCTAGGTGATCGTGAAGTGTCTGTTGTCTACACGCTGCCATAAGTGTAGCTATAACCTCCGTCTCTCTCTGCCTTAGTTCCACGTTTTGTAACACAGCACTTCCTTACCTCATAGGGGTGTTGTGAGGATAAATACATAAGTCTGTGAGGTGTTCAGGTCTTGTAGTAATGGAGGCAATGATACCCATATGATGATGAGGCTATAGAGACAGAACAGGTCTGGAGGCAGAAATAATTGTTCTGTGGATAAACACAGGTAACATCAGTCCCCACGGCTGTCAATCGAGCAGATTTTAGGAATGCTGAAATGGGTGCGTGTAGATATATAGATATATACATTTTAAACAAAGAAAGAAAAGTGTTAAATGCAAGAACAATGTGCCGGCGTCAGCAAGGCATTTGGGAATGGTCCCTGTATAACTGGTTTTAAAACGCTTTGTCTCTGTACAACCTACTTCATGAATAACAAGCTGGTCTTTGTTTCTTCCCCCTTAGGAGTGCTTGGAGTTTTTTAACATACCTGAAACCCAGTCTGCTCATTATTTTTTAATGGATAAACGATGGAACCTTATTCATTACAACAAGGTGAGGCAAAGGCCTGGTCCAGCTGATTTTGTTCTTTCTTCATCCCTTCCTAAATATTGGGAGTGGCCAGAATATAGCAAGAGGGCCATATGTGGCCAGAATTGTATCATCATTGATACAGAGCTGTGGCCTGTGGAAATTACGGGTCTTAGTGTCCCTGAAGAGAGATGGAAGTGATCCATGCCCTGTTATCCAGTCCCAGCTTCTGGCTACAGTTACAATGGTATTTTTAAAAAAACTTGATTTGTTATTCTCTTCCATTGCAGACTTATGTCCGGGATATTTATCCTTTCCGGAGGTCAGTGTCTCCACAGCTCAATCTGGTACACATGCATCCAGAAAAGGGTCAGGAGCTCATTCAGAAACAGGTATCTCACCACCACCAGGGCATCTCCAGCCAAAAAACATCCTTGGAAGTGGCTCTTCTTTGTCCTTTCAAAGGGCTCCCCTCATACTGCGAGGGGCACGCTTTTCCAGAGGAGCAGCTTGTGGCATGAAAGCCTCCTGGTTGTCATTTCACCAGGCATGCTGCATATTCAGGGACAATCAAGGCACTGAAGAAGGCTGTGTACATTCCTTCCAATTGGATCCTTTTAGCTGTATTGGTCTGCAGATGTTCTTATATGTGTGGCTGGGTAACTCCACATACTTCAGCTTCAAAGGCAGGAATATCCACATTACTTCTTTCCAGGCACCAGCCCCCGGCCTTTGGGAGCCTGCTCGATGACTTTCCCCCACAAGTCTGCCTGTCTCTGCAATAGACGCTACCACTTGTGGTTTCTTCTCCCTCCTGGGAGCGTCTCCTCTGCCCCTTCCTTGCTCTGCCTCTCAGATATTCCTTCCTGGGACAGGATTCTCTGCTCCCCGTCACCTGGGGCACAACTGTAGCAATTGGCATCGATTGCCATGCCTCACAGTGTTCCATTTGCTCCATTAGCTCTCACCTCAGCTTCCATAGGCTCTCCCATTGGGTCTTGATCCCACATAATGGGGCAGTGACCATCCCATCATGTACCAGTGGAAGTATCAGCTCCTTGAAGAATAAGGTGTCATCACCCAGCCCCGGGAAGAAAGGTGAAGGCTTTGTCACTGGGCCCACCTGCCCCACCTACTGGAGTGGCCTCCAATCCATCCTCAGAGTCCCTGCTCTTCTGATAAGCCAGGATGTATCAGTAGCACTCACGGAGAGTTAATCCAGGGCACTTGCCTCCCACTCTTTCCACTTTGTCTTTGCACTTAGGTGACAAGATTGATCTTTAAAGATGTCACACTCTTTTAAAACCCCTTCTGATTGGAGCGATTCTGCTGTGTGTGTCTCCTTCTCTGCTAGGTATTCACCCGCAAGCTGGAGGAGGTAGGACGGGTGCTGTTCCTCATATCACTGACCCAGAAAATCCCTGTGGCCCACAAGCAATCCCATGTGTCTATGCTCCAAGAGGACCTTCTCCGCCTGCCTTCCTTCCCTCGGAGTGCCATTGATGCAGAATTCTCCCTCTTCAGTGATCCTCGAGGTACTGGGAAAGCACTTGGCAAAGATTTCACTGGCTTCATTTGCATATTGAACTTGGCGCCAGCAGCTTCATTCAGGCAATCTTATTACTCTCTCAGAAAGACTGAACAGAATAGAGGTTTATCTCATCTCAAAGAAAATACCCTGCCCAGGAACATGATGTCCAGACATTAGGACATAAATGTGACTGCAGTAAAGGTGCTGCAGTATAAAACTGTTCATTTATTAGGAACCCACAAGAAAGGCTGCTTTCCATTGATTTCAGTGGGCTTTGGATTAGTGCCTCAGTTACAGGCACTCTCTACACTCTGATTACTGACAATCACTGCTAAGGCACCTAAAGATGTGCTCACAAACTTTGTATGGAGTGTGCAAGCTCTGCATTTGTGCATGCAACATTGCTCGTGGAAATTAGGTAACTGCATATCTACAGGGGAATATATGTGCGTAGTTACACAACTTGCATGTGCAAATGTGGGGTCTCCTGCCATGATGTGCAGATGTGCAAAATTTTGCAAGAGGAATTTAGGAACTGTCCCATTTCGAAGGTTAACCCTGATAGTCAAGTAGGTTTTCTAATCAAACTCTGGGGTGGATTAGACAGACCCCTGCCCTGGAGTGCCCTTTTCACTGTGTGGTAAGCATTGGCAGGTCATGCAACTGGACGTCTGCTGGCACTGAAAGCACTCTGTTTCAGAAGCAGCAGTGTATGTCCTTCTGGGATAACCTGAAGGGTAAAAAAATAGATAGTATTTATCCATAAAGCCGATAAACTGCCAATGGTATGTGCAAGATTTGGTCTGCTTTAACTTAAAAGAGAAATGAAAAATCAAATGAATTTTAAACATATAGGCTAAAGATTAATAAATCCCTGTGATAATTCATCACATTCCTCCAGTGCCCCTTTTATACTTCTCTTTTCTATTGTTTAAACGCAATTGGCCAAAATCTATTGTCCTCAGTGGTGTTGCACCACAGATTAATTTGCTTCAATCCTCCTTTAAAAAGCACCTGTAGCCAAAGTGGTGACTGGAGAAAACTTTGTAGAGGCCATTGCTCAGCAGATCCCTTCCATTGGTCTTCGGGAATGTTACCCGGCTGGAAATGCCTTGCTGGGCTAAGGCGATTAATTAGCTTCTATGTTGCCTGCATTGTTCTCGCAGCTGGGAAGGAACTCTTTGGCCTTGATACTCTTCAAAAAAGCCTGTGGATTAAGCTCCTGGAGGAGATGTTCCTCGGCATGCCCAGTGAATTTCCTTGGGGGGATGAGATCATGCTGTTCCTAAATGTCTTCAATGGAGCCCTGATCCTGCACCCAGAGGACAGTGCCTTGCTGAGGCAGTACGCTGCCACTGTCATCAATACCGCTGTGCACTTCAACCATCTCTTCTCTCTCAGTGGGTACCAGTGGATCCTCCCCACCATGCTGCAGGTGAGTGTCTTCCTCCCACTGGTTAGCACTGAAGACTGAAGAGCTGCTGTGAGTCATCATAAGCAGCAAATCAGCAAGCGATGCAAGCATTCTCCTGCTTCATCAGAGGTCTCTCTGATAAAGCAACAATAATAAACACACCGAGTACTCAGTAGTTTCCATTGTTAAGAGTTCTTTACCAGCAGTACATACCTCATGGTGCTGCTATGAGGTACATAATTAGCATCTCCCATTTTACAGGTGGGGAGACCAAGGTGGAAGGTTAAGGGCTTTGCCCAGGGTCAGTCACAGAACGAGTTGTAGAAGAATCATAGAAGATTAGGGTTGGAAGAGACCTCAGGAGGTCATCTAATCCAACCCCTTCTCAGAGCAGAACCAACCCCAACTAAATCATCCCAGCCAAGGCTTTGTCAAGCTGGGCCTTAAAAAACGCTAAGGAAGGAGATTACACCACCTCCCTAGGTAACCCATTCCAGTGCTTCACCACCCTCCTAGTGAAATAGTGTTTCCTAATATCCAACCTAGACCTCCCCCACTGCAACTTGAGACCATTGCTCTTTGTTCTGTCATCTGCCACCACTGAGGACAGCCAAGCTCCATCCTCTTGGAATCCCCCTTCAGGTAATTGAAGGCTGCTGTCAAATCCCCCCTCACTCTTCTTTTCTGCAGACTAAACAAGCCCAGTTCCCTCAGCCTCTCCTCATCAGTCATTTGCCCCAGCCCCCTGATCATTTTCATTGCCCTCCGCTGGACTCTCTCCAATTTGTCTGCATCCTTTCTGTAGTGGGGGTTCTGAAACTGGACTCAATACTCCAGATGTGGTCTCACCAGTGCCGAAAAGAGGGGAATAATCTCTTCCCTCGATCTGCTGGTAATGCTCCTACGAATGCAGCCCAATATGCCGTTAGCCTTCTTGGCAACAAGGGCACACTGTTGACTCATATCCAGCTTCTCATCCACTGTAATCCCCAGGTCCTTTTCTGCAGAACTTCTGCTTAGCCAGTCGGTCCCCAGCCTGTACCGGTGCATGGGATTCTTCCATCCTAAGTGAAGGACTCTGCACTTGTCCTTGTTGTACCTCATCAGATTTCTTTTGGCCCAATCCTCCAGTTTGTCTAGGTCACTCTGGACTCTATCCCTACCCTCCAGCGGTATTGTATTTTGATTGTATATTTTTACTGTATATTGATCTCCATTTGCATTGGGGATCTGCCCACAGCATGCAAGGTGTTGTCCAAACACATAGGAGAACAGTCCCTTCCCCAGAGGACTTATAATCTAAGACCTTGATGTCACTAGCTGTGAATCTACAGTGCACTCACGTGTCACGCACTAACTGGCCGTATGGACACCAGCAACCTGTTAGCCACCCAACCAACCTCCTCTGGGCTATGCTCACCCTTAATTTGCCTTGCAAGTTAACAGTAGGTGCACCCCAGTCCCCGATCCCCTTTGAAGTCTTCCCTTGTAGTGTTCAGCCCCTTATCCACTGAGCACTCACAATAATACCAAGAATGCAGTGTACACACCAGCTTGAGTGATCAGTTCCTCATACAATACCACAGCGCTGAGATATACTTATAGTGAAAACAATAATCAATCTGTTATCAAAGATCAAGGTTTAAGAGAGAGTGAATAAGGATAATGGAAACAGAAGAGTTACATGTGATTTTTGTTCCATAACACAATTTCTAAAGTTAAGTTAACAGTCTAACCTTCAGTCTCAATAAGTTTCTCTCACCCCTTTTTGGAGCATTTCAACCAAGCCTGGTTGAGATCCCATTTCCATGAATATAAATATTTTGTCCATTTACTTCCTCAGGGGCAGGACAAGGGGGTATCTTTTTATCTTCCCCAAAAAGTTCATTTTCTGCCCTCAGAAACTGAGCTCCTCTCCTTGGTGTACACCTCAGCCACTTTGTCTGCACCCCCTGCCCAAGGCTACCCATTGGATTTCTATGGCATAGAAGGTCTTATGTGGGCTGTCTGTAATGGGGTGAAATCCACCCCAAACGCAGGAATTTAGTGGGGTTTGTTGCCTGACTACAGCAAGAGCAATATCGGTAGCTGTTTTTCAAGGAAACTTGTTATATCAACAGGGAAATAGAGCAGGCAGGCAATATAAATAGAAAAGAGGCTACTAGCTAACTGTATTGTTTACAAAGCTCAGAGAAATTAACGATTGCTGAATCCCACATCTAATCGAACACACCTGCAGGGCAGGATTCTGGGGGCCAGTTATGAAGGAAATGTGGAAATACTGTTTTCAAGGCCCACAATGTCTTGCAGAATTCACTGTTTTGCTGTTTTAATTGGATTGTCACTTCTGTACGCTTCCTCTTCCCTTTCCCCCCAGGTGTATGCTGACTACGAAAGCAACCCACAGTTACGCCAAGCGATTGAGTTTGCCTGCCGCCAGTTCTACATTCTGCATCGCAAGCCCTTTGTTCTGCAACTGTTTGCCAGTGTGGCTCCTCTGCTCGAGTTCCCTGTGAGTAAAACCCGATCCTTAGATTCACACTGGGGAGCATGGATATGCAGACAGGCTTCCACATGGGAGAAAGCAAGGGGAAAGCAGCTGGGAAAAAGAGGAGCTGTATGCTTGGAATTCTCATGGAAATCAAGAGCACTGTACTTGTTACACTAATCCCCTTAGGATCTATTAACTGTTAACCAGGGGGCAGGGCTACTCAGGGAGAACAGGGATTTATAAAACCAGCTCCTCAGTGACCAGAGGAGCTAGCAAACAGGAGTTTAGAGAGGGAGCGTGAAATCCAGACATACCTAACCTACTCTAAACTTATGCCAATAACCACCTGCCCTCCCAACAAAAAAAACCCTCCAAAACAAAACAAAAAAAGCTGCAGGCGTAAAAACAATGCCAGAAGCACAAACCCAGAAGCAGAGTGGGGGGCTATCCAGTTCATTTCACTGAATGCAGCATGTAGCATTACCTGCCCTATGGCCAGGTGGCGTATGTGTGAATTTGGTGCAAAGAGCTTCTGGCCCTCAGAGACCGAGTACGGGCTCTGGAGACGAGAGTGGCTGAACTGGAGGAGCTAAGGGAGACAGAGAGGTACATAGATGAGACTTTCCAGCACACAGTAGAACCGTCTCACACCCAATCTGACAGCCTCTGTGCTATTGAGGAGGATGGAAGTCTTAGGGAAGGAAAATATCCAACTGGAGTTGAGGAAAATGATCCCATAGTTGGAACCCTCCTTTCAGATGATGTCATGGTATCTTCTTGCACTGAGGATACTTCTGAGGGAGAGAACCCCAGTTACTGGGAAGAGACAGGCGGCTTGGTTGAAATGCTGCAAAAAGGGGTGAGAGAAACTTATTGAGACAAAGGGTTAAACTGCTAAGTTAACTTTAGAAATCGTGTTATAGAACAAAAATCACATGTAACCCTTCTGTTTCCATTATCCTTATTCACTCTCTCTTCACTCTGCTAGGTAAGAGATTAAAGTCCAGAACCTCCACTCTCTTACCTAGCAGCCTAAATGTGGCTTCCAGAACTTCTCTCCTGCCTTTCCTGCAGCAATTCACTATGCAGTTCTCCCAGTCACTGCAAACCCAACTATCTATATTTCTAATGATCTGATCCAGTATGATAAATTCAGTCATACTTTATATTAAATTCCTTTTTTAAGTGGTTTATAAAGAGTTAATAAATGATTAATAGCTGATGTAAGCATGGTACAGACATGATATATGGTTATAAGCAACCTATTCACCTGTTGGACTCTAGCAATTGATTAACTGTTTATTAACCTTTTATAAACTATTTATAAATGGAACCTTAATATAAAGTGTGACCATCAATTCTATAATTTTATGTTGGAAAAGAAACAATGAGCTTAAATTGCAGCAAGGGAGATTTAGGTTAGACATTATGAAAAACTTCCTAACTGTAAGGGCAGTTAAGTACTGGAACAAGTCACCTGTTGTGGTTTTGGAATCTCTGTCACTGGAGGTTTTTTAATAACAGGTTAGACAAACGCCTGTCAGGGATGGTCTAGATAATACTTAGTCCTGCCTCAGTGCATGGGACTGAACTAGATAACTTATCAAGGTCCCTTCCAATCCTACATTTCTATGATTCTATGATTGTGAATATAAAGGCCCAGAGGGAGTTAGGGACCTTGAGTATCTGTGACACCATTACTTCAGAGGGCAGCACTTGAATGAACCCTTTGGAAGTAAAGATATACAATTTCCAGACTCAATTTCCAGACCACGTTACCTTTGTTTGGAGAATAAAGCGCACATATACAGCGCACATATTGTTTTATATGATTACACTCCTGAACTGAACTTGTAAATGCTATGAACTCATGATTAAAACTGAACTGTTTCTGTCTGCAAATGAAGACACTTGGGATGCAAATAAAATAATAAAAAAATCAATAATAAATGGGTGTCATTTAAACAGGATGCTACAAACAATGGACCCAGCAAGGGAGTGTCAGCTCAGTGCCTGTTTGACCTGCTGCAGTCCCTAGAGGGAGATACACCTGACATTTTGGACATCTTAGAGCTGGTGAAAGCTGAAAAGCCTCTCAAATCATTAGGTAATAGCAATTCTTCCTTTTGTTATCCCCTGTATTCAAGAGACATAATTATTTATTTAGTATCTAATATGTTGACTCAGTAATATTTGCTGTAGGCTTTTTGTTTTTGAGTGCAGCAGTACCAGCTTCTTACACTTTACCCAGCTGCGAAGGTTAGGTTTGTCACAGTCGTCCGTTAGGTTATTTATTATATTTATTTATTTATAAAGGGTTATTTATTTCATTGAAAAGCATTTTCTGTTGTGCTGAGAGAGAAAGTTTGAGACCAGCCACTGGCATTTTGAATTTTGTCAATGGGGAGTAAAGAACAAAGATCCCAAACAGGCTGCATCATGCAGACAAAATCAATGCAGTCCCCTACTCTGCTCCATGCTGGCAAGAAACAAAGGCATCAGATCCCCAGGATGGACATGGACACCAATCAGCAGTTCTCTGGTGTTCAGCTCTGAGGTTTTGGTTCTGGCCCATCTCTAAAGACATTACTTAGGGCTATTCAGAAACATGAAGGATCCTCCCTTCCTTCAGTAGTCGAAGCAATGGGATGCTACATTTAGCAATGCAGCTGCTTTGCTGTTTGTGGGGAAATAATGTTTGCTGCTACTGTATGGATCTTTCAGCTATTTTAGACAGTTAGTTTCACCTTATACACAAGCTTTTCATTACTGGTATCCCGGTAATATGGGGTTCAAGGAACCATGAAGTCCTCTGAGATTTACAGGAAAGGTTGGTTATATTCTGGGATTTAGCAGTATTGTACAGCAGTACCACTAATTACCATATGAAATAATTAAGGGGTTCTGATATTGTCTTGCTCTTTCAGGAGCAAATTGCACAATACAGCATCTCTCAACCTGTTAAGTTTTAAAAGAAATTTAGACCAGAAAAGCTCTATAATTCTCCTTGGCTGGATTTTCAAAGTTGCCTAAGGGAGTTAGGCACCTTATTCCCTTAGGAACCTTTGAAAATCCCAGATTTATTGTTTAAAATGAGAATATAAGGCAAAAAATTCAAACTTGGTTTCCCAATTCAGACACTTCTGACCAGATTTTCAGTTGCTCAACACCCACAATTGGAATTTGATTTTCAAAAGAGTTCAGAAACCTAAATGAGTAGTCAGATTTTCAGAAGGGGGCATTGTGTGCTGAACTTGTTTGAAAATCTGCCCATAAGTGTCATAATGGGAGTCCCAGGGTACTTGAGCACTTGTGAAAATCTGGCCTTCATATAGGTGCCTTAATGAAAGTTGAATTCTTGAAAATGCTGGCCCATAAGGCCCAAATATTCAAAAGTGACCAGTAATTTTGGTTGCCTCTATTTTTGGGTGTCCAACTTGGGACATTCTAAGAGAATTTCGGAAAGTGCTGAGCATCCACACTCTGAAAATCTGGACTCTTTGCAGTGTCTTGAGTTGGGAACCTAAAAATTGAGGCACTGAAAGGTAACATTTTCAAAAGCACCTAAGTCCCATTTTCAAAATGACCTGACCACTTAGGAGTCTAAGTCATTGGGCTTTCAATGAGATTCAGGTTCCTAAGTGCCTGAGTCACTTTTGAAAATGGGACTTAAGTGCTTTTGAAAAAAAATATCTAAAATTGCTAGCTTCTTTTGAAAATGTTGGCTGTAAATCCATATGTAGGCACTTAAATAAAAGTGACCTGATTTTCAGGGGGTGAAACAAGTCCCACGTGGTCAGTGTCACATTTGATGTCAATTTTTAGTAAAATGGCAGTTAGCTGAGTAACAAAACTTGTTATTAAAACCTTTATTTTCATGTGCAAATCAGAGTACATTGACAGTGGGTGAAATTCAAACTAGGACCTAAGTTGTGTATAGGCCTTATGCTCGCCCTTTGAATGAATTCCACCTGCCTCCATTTCCATTTATACCATTTGCATAAGTTATTCTCATCCCCTCAGATTTCTGCTATGGGAATGAGGATCTGACCTTTTCTATCAGTGAAGCCATCAAACTGTGTGTAACTGTGGTGGCATATGCTCCTGAATCATTTAGAAGGTAACATCTCTTTGGTTTCTGTCTTAGTTTATGCATGCTTGGAAAGGAAAAATAATAGCTTGGGGTGTGAGGTAAAGATTATGCAAGAGGATTCCAAGCATGGCTGCTTTTTGGTTTTTAGAAGGAAGTGTTGTCTGTTCACAATCTTCTTCTGCTTAAAAAAAAAAAAAAGAGTTTAAAGTTGGTGAAACGTGCTGTATTTGTAATGTTCTTTAGTGAAAAGTTTGGGAATTTAAATAAAACCTCTGTGTACTCAGCACATCTCTGGCAATTATCCAGGTTAAAACTGGCTGTTAACTCATTACAGCCCTATTCTTGCAAGAAAGCTTTAATAAATACAAGCAGACAAGACTTTGTTTTCGTATCTCATTTGAAAGAAAGCACCTCCAGCAGCAAGCACTGTCCCTCCCTTAACACCTTGCTGGGGCACTGGTACAGAAATAATTTGGGAGTGGGAGTCAGGAGACCTGGGTTGTTCCTGACTGCCACAGACATGATGTGTGACCTTGGGCAGGTCACCTAGCCCTTCTATGCCTCGCTTTACCATCAGTAACATAGGCATGATGATAGGAAACTCAGCTGTGTTCAGTCATCCTGGGCGCCTGGAACATACCTCAAGCATCTGCTACTGTCTAACCACTTTCACTGGTCAAGGAGGGCATCTGTATGGGGAATATGCTTTGTGGTTAGGGTCCTGGATGTCTGCTCTGGGACTCTAAATCATAGAGACCCCGAAGAGTTCTCAACCCATAGGCGCCTTTTGTAGAGCACAGCTCCCAGGCTGCCAACAGCCATATGACTCAAGCCCCGGGCAGCGTGATGGACAGAGCAGCACTAGAAAGGCAGTCACTCTAGCCATCTATCTATAGCCACAAGAAGGTTGGGGACCGCTGTCTGGTTTAGGGTCTCTGTGGTCATGGAGGGGGAACGTGAGGGAAGGAGCAGAGCCAGAGAGAAGAGGCAGACAAACACAGAGGGGAGGAGAATTGGGGAAACAGAGGGAAGCAGGTATGGAGGGAATTCAGGAGGGAAGCCTGAGAGAAAAGGAATCTTTGGGAGGGAAAATGAGTGTATTGGAATGAGAGAATGCATATGAACCAGATATGCAAATTAGGGCGTTACACAATTGCATGGCATCTCTAGGCCTATATTTGAACAGGTATAACTCAACCACCTTTGTAAAGGGTTTCAAGATCCTCAGACTAAAGGTGCTGTCTTGAAACCAAGTAATTGTATTATATTCATTTCCTGCACCACCTGGATTTCCTTCAGCGGGGTCTCCCATCCAAGTACCTCTCAAGCCCAACCCTGTTTAGCTAGTGAGATATGAAATCACAGCCTGAGGTGAGATCCAGTGGCCCTTGGGTTGCCTTTGGACTCTCAAACCTCTGCCTGAAGTGAATTTCACTCTGCAGCACACTCCTGTCTAGCAAGGTTGTGTGGTTTCTATTGTCCCAGCCTCCAGATGCTGATGGTCCTGGAAGCACTGGTTCCCTGTTACCTGCAGAAACTGAAGAGGCAGACCTCACAAGTGGAGACGGTGCCAGCTGCTCGTGAGGAGATTGCTGCTACGGCTGCTCTTGCCACTTCCCTGCAGGCCCTCTTGTACAGCGTGGAAGTTCTCACTAGGTAACCCCTGTGGCAGTCAGACTACAGACTGTACTTTGTAACTCGCTGGATAACGTGAGTCCAGGGAACTGCATACTGTGAAGCTGTGATGCACACATAGCGTGCTAGTGTATAGTGGCCGCGCTCACCCTCGGTAAAATTAGCACTGTGTTTTACCAGGTCATGGCTGAAGAGCCAGTCTGGTTCTGAGAGATTGTCTTCAATATGTTATTGATCTTTTTTGTACAGGCCCATGACTGCCCCTCAAATGAGCAGGTGTGACCAAGGCCATAAAGGAGCCACAACAGCCAACCACACCATGTCAGCTGGGGTGAATACTAGGTAATTCCATTGGGTTTTTTTTTTTCAATCCATTGCTCCCACTAGCCTCTGTTGGAGTTTTGAAGTGCAGGGTCTGTTCTGTGTTCTGGGAACAGTTCTGAAGGCACTATGTGTGGGAGAGAGCAATCAGTCACTAAGGATGACAAGGCCTGAAGAGAAAACAAAGCCCCAAAATGAACTGCTAAGTAAGCAACTGCTAAGTAAGAATCTAGTCCAGTCCTGGATTCTCATTTTAGGACAATGTGACTGAACCGTACTGCATTTCCAGTTGAAATGAATGGGGATTTGCATTTTCACTAGTTTACTTGCTGCTTTTCCTTTATGATCATCTTCTTACAGTTGCCTTTATCTGGTTCCCTTTGCTGCTAGGCAGAAACAGCAAGGGAGAGGGTGGCACAGAATGCAGGAGAGAGCAGATATTGATGTGTTGTTTTTTCCCTACTTTGTTTGAAAACACCAGGAAGAAAATAAGGAAAGGAAAGTCTGAAGGGTTGTTTAACTAAAACCCAGTGGAGGTGTCGCCCATTACACTGCTCTATCACTCATGGCAAGGCAGTTCACATGAGGCTGCTGTGAGCACAAAACCTCTGGATATTACATTGTAGAGAGGCACAAAAGCACAGGCACAAAAGCCTGGTACAAATCGTTGGATTTTATGAATCTGTGTGGAGTGCACAGCTGGCTAACGTATCTCTCTGTTGGATACGTTACACGTTTCTGTGGTCAGATTCTATTTTGTCACATTGCTAGCCTACAAAGAGGTTACAAGTCCAGGTATTACCAACAGCTAAGGAAAATTCTCCTTTAATGCAAGCGGTAGAAGCCAGTGTTTTTGTAGCAAAAGGTTCTGTTCTGAATTCTATTTCCCTTGCGGTATCTGTGTGGTTTAGATGGCAAATGTTGTGTTTGTACGTGCAATGGGTGATCCAGACTAGCCCCATGGGCTGCATATAAATAAAGAGAACCATTTTCTAAAGATAATCTAGATTGGTCCCTATCTCTTCTCCCCACATTGAACTAGCTAGGTATACAACCCCAGTTCTCCACACTACTCCTCCATACCACAGTGTGACAACATGTATATGTTTAGGGCACAAATCTAGTCCAGTCACTGAAATCAGTGCATTAAGCCGTGGAATTGAGGCACCCATCCACTGATTGCAGTCTAAAAGTAGGATACAAAGGTAGTAAAAATCTTAGCCAATGCTCATTTTATTAGTCTTCAAAAATTGGACTACAATTACAGTAAAACTGTGTCCTGACAGATTGTTAAATTGTCTGTCTAGAGACTCTGATATTGTGTAGTTGGAAAATCTTCGTGGCTGAAATCTCCAGACTTTTCTGATAGAGAATTTTCAGTGTTCTAAAAGCTATTCAAAATATTTTTTTCTAAAGCTCCATGTTTCAAATTTGTTTTCTCTGTGATGTTTTCCTCATAACAGAAACTCAGTGGTGACAGCAGGAGTCTAGTGATACAAGACTTGATCACTGTTCCAGCTTCCGAACTATTCTTCCTGGGAGTCAAAAGCAAAAAAACCCAACAACAACAAAACAAAAACCCAACTCATGTTAGAAGAGTTTCTCCATTAGTTGAGAGCTGTTCTCACAAAATAAAATGTTAGGAGGTAGACAGTTATGGGAAATATGATAATGCCATTCTATAAAACAATGATATGCCCTCACCTGGAATACTGTGTGTAGTTCTGGTTACCATATGTCAAAAGGCTCTGGCAGAACCAACGGGGTTCAGAGACGGGCAATGAGAATGATTAGGGGAAGGGAACAGCCCTCATATGAAGATAGATTGAAAAAACTGGGATAATTTACCCTCCAAAGGAGATGAAGAAGAGGGGGCATGATAAAATTATGCAAAATACCAGATGATGTAGACTCCAAAAACACAAAGCTTATGTTCTCTTTGTCTTGTAACCCAGAAAAAGGACAACAGTAAACACTTTAAAAAGAAGTTTTGAGTGGGATATAAAACCTCATGCTTTAGGGTTTAAGCCAATCTCTAATTATTATGGATTAGGATGAGATTTTTCTGGGGAGCAGCCTAGCTCTCATCTGTCTACTGTGGGGTTTCTTTCACCTTCCCCTGAAGTATCTGATACTGGACACTGTGAGGCAGAGGATCTGAACCAATATGGCAATTCTGATGTTCCTGAATTCCTATTTGGAATCACAGTGTCTGCATTTTCACTTCCCAGGTACCCGGATCAAGGAGCCAAACTACACTTTATCAGGTACAGTAAGACCTACACCCCTTTTCCCTGGCATCTTGTGATGAACTCCTCCGAGATGGATTCCTAGTTCATCGGGTTCCACTTACAGTAATTGAGACAAGGGATGCTGTTTCAGGGGAAACCAGCAGAAGGTATTTCAAAGCTAATTCTCAGGAGGGTCCTGGAGGTAACAATCGCACTCTCTCTCTCTCTCTCTCTCTCTCCTTACTACAAACGCCAGCTGCTTTGTCTTCCTTTTGCAGAGCAGTGATTACCTACCGAAATACAGCCCTACCTGTTATGGAGGAGGGGTTCATTACAATCTCCTCATTTACCAAGCTGTTTGTGTCATCTTCCAGCTATACATCATACACCCTCACTTTTTTTAATCCCCAGGGAAAACCTTCACTTGCTGGAGGAAGGCCAGGGTCTCCCCCGGGAGGAGCTGGACGAGCGAATTGCTAGGGAGGAATTCAGGAGGCCCAGGGAGTCCCTACTGAATATCTGCACTGAGTTCTATAAGCACTGTGGCCCTAGGCTGAAGATATTGCAGAACCTGGCTGGAGAGCCCAGGGTAACTTCCCTGGAGCTGCTGGATGTTAAGTCTCACATGAGGTACTCCACTCACTGTACAAATCTATGTGTGCTTGTCTGTATAACGGTGAAGAAATGCACGCTCTGTATACAGAATGCTGTATTCAATTCCAAGGGCAAGGCTGACTGAGCAATTTACATCGCTCAGCCTTGAGAACGGGCTATTTCAGTAGGCTTCCAATCAGGATATCTTGTCAACTTGCTTCAGTTCCACAAAAAGGGAGATGAATCATGAGGAGGAGGGGATGGGGAAAGACAGCAAGTTCTAGTACCCTAAGGAGTGGAAAGTGTGTACTAGAGTTATGAATGCAGAGGGAGGAGAATTCTGAACACAGACATATAGGGAAGTGGGTTCATCTCAGGGATTTGCCATTTTCATTCCCTGATTCTTAATTTTTCATAAAACCAAAGTAACCACTTGCTTTTTTTTTTTTTTTTTTTTGTTCTAAGAAGCCCAATCTCCTTCCTTATCCCACAATTACTCTTGTCACGCTGGCAGAGTCTTGCAGAAAATGTATTCGGTGTTCCCTAGATTGTGTCTGATTCCCTGTGCATTTTCTGGAGATTTCATACACTCACAACCAGTGGCAGAAGTTCATACTATGAAGTACTTTGCTGAAGTTGGCAATTGTCTCGAGAGTCACTAAAACATGCAGTACTTGCTTGATCATTATTTTTCCACGTGGGTGGGGCATGTATAATATTTGATATAATAATGAAAAATAATCTGCAGGTGGAAAGACATCCTATTGGGTATTTTTGGTTCTATCTGCGCTGCAGGTGTGTTCTGATCGCATAGGTATTTTCGGAGTGATCCCTGGTAATAAAATATATTGCCCCTATATAAATCCATGGTATGCCCACATCTTGAATACTGTGTGCAGATTTGGTCGCCCTATCTCAAAAAAGATATATTGGAATTGGAAAAGGTTCAGAAAAGGGCAACAAAAATGATTAGGGGTATGGAACGGCTGCTGTATGAGGAGAGATTAATAAGACTGGGACTTTTCATCTTGGAAAAGAGACGACTAAGGGGGGATATGATAGAGGTCTATAAAATCATGACTGGTGTGGAGAAAGTAAACAAGGAAGCTCATAACACAAGAATTAGGGGTCACCAAATTAAATTAATAGGCAGAAGGTTTAAAAGAAACAAAAGGAAGTATTTTTTCACACAACGCACAGTCAGCCTGTGGAACTCCTTACCAGAGGATGTTGTGAAGGCCAAGTCTATAACAGGGTTCAAAAAAGAACTAGATAAGTTCATGGAGGATAGGTCCATCAATGGCTATTAGCCAGAATGGGCAGGGATGGTGTCCTTAGCCTCTGCCAGAAGCTGGGAATGGGCAACAGGGTATGCATCATTTGATTACCTGTTCTGTTCATTCCTTCTGCGGCACCCGGCATTGGCCACTGTCAGAAGACAGGATACTGGGCTAGATGGACCTTTGGTCTGACCCAGTGTTGTCATTCTTATATAATTGTCTGTACTGTATCTTGTTATACAATGAAAACCAGGACTAATATGGGGCAGTTTTAATGTAGCTCTCACCATAACTTGAGAGTATCTGAATGCTTTCAGAGGATATCATTGGACGCTTCAGGATTGTTCCTTGAACTAAAAGCGACTAAACACTGATAGGCCAGATTCACTGGGAAGGGAGCAAAGATGGTTTTAAACCAATCTTCTGCTTCCCCATTCCTGGGGCTGGCTTGATCTCCAGAGTAAAGTAGAGCTCTGAATTATATTAGGCTGCCCACAGTCCCAAAGGGACATTCTGGCAGCCAGTTATATCCAGGCCCCAATCAGATATCCTTTCACCCTTACACTGGAGGTTGGGGTATAGGGGCTGGTGTAGACTCACCAGTCCAGCTCTGTGCCACCCAGAGATTCCCCTTACACAAAGGGAATCCTCAGAAGGCAGATCTGTGCTTTTTATGGACAATTTGCACCACTGGAGACATCCAGAGGTGCTGCAGTGGGATGCAGAACCTATCCCAAAGAATTTGCCAGACAGCTTCTTTCATAGATAGAGGTCTCTGGATGAAAATCACAATATTTTTGTGTAATATTAATTTAGATTTTGTTTTGCAAATTCCTGCAATTTCACCTCCATTTTTTATGTACGATCCGAACAGAATGCCTTTTTCTGTACAGTAAAGAGAGTCGTATTTAGTGGTTAGTGGTTAACTCTTCAACACAGGACTTCCTTCTTACAGTAGATGCATGAAATTCTTGTGTGGTGCATGGCTGGAACATAAACTGATTTAAATACAGGTGGACGTGTGTGGTCTGGCAGTGTGTAGATCATTGTAATATATTCTCCTCTGGAAAGTAAGTGCTAGAGAATATCAAAAATAGGAAGGAATAATTATTTGTATGGCCCTATTTTGTTGCAGTACAAATTCTCCAAATATTTCATATTGACTTCAGTGAGCCTCAGGAATGTACATCCAATGCAAGGATTTAGCTCATAGCATAACATTAAGTGAGGGGTGTGGATCTTCCATATTACATTGATATCCTTGTTTTGCCTTTGCACACAGTATAAGGTGTCTCAATTTGCACAGGCTGGGACTATTTTCTGTTTTATACTAATATGGAAACTTTATTTTCATGAGTTTGTATGTGTTGGAGTCACTGAACTAAGCCCATCTTTGTATCGTTCATCAGATGACTTAATAGTGTCATCAGTGAATTTTGTTGAAAGATTATAATGAATCAGGAAGTAGGGGAGTAGGTGGTAAAACTGCTCGTGGTCATTTCTGCCTATTTTCCAAGGTGGAAGTCCTTAAGAGATCAGAAGTTATCATAATGGAGCTGAGGGCCTGAATCACTGAAGTCACAGTGTAAGCTAGCTATGAGTAATGTGACTCCTCTACTGCTCCAGGAAATTGCTGGTTCAGTTTCAGTGCTAGAAATGACTGGCTTGCTGGGATTGAAACAAATACAGTCTCATCCATAGTTAGCATGAAATCAAATGGTGGATCATCTTTTTCTCCAAAGAATTTATAGTGGAAATGTTGAGGGTTCCCCTTTGAGAGCTGGGAGGGTCCCTGGAGCTTTAGTGGACTGTTCTGAGGAAGGGATGGGAAAATCCAGTCTCAGATTCAAAGAACAAATCTCAGCTACAAAGATTTTTTTTAAAATACACTTGTACGCTATAGACTGTCTTTAGAATTTAAAGCTTGCCGGATAAAACTGATTATAGTCACATATAATAAGATACAGTAGGTGACTATTTTGCCTAACCAACTTGCATTAAAATCAGATCCATGCTTAGGGTGTCTAAACAGCAAAGGGAATGTGTTTGGATTTATTTCAAGTGCCATTGTTGAATCAAAAGTAAGAAACTTAGCCACAAAAGCTGATAGCCATTAGGATTCTCTGTGTAGATCTAAACTCCCAATCACCTTCGCCAAAACAATATATGACTGGGGGGAGAGGGGGAGATTTTTGTTAATGTGCAGGTAAAAGAAGATCATGGGGCTTTTTCAAATCCCTATTACCACATTGTTAATAATATTATAAATGACCATAAAATAATCCCTACCTATGCAGAAAAAATATGGAATAGTGCCAAGCTTTTTAACCATAAGTTAAATTCATTCAAGAATGACAGTGCTTCCAAAAGGTGGATTTCACAGAGTTAAGGAGCTGTGGCATTTTGGCACTACATAGCAACAAGATTTCAGACAGTACATTCCCTACGCTATCTGGGTTATGGCTTCCTGCTAGGAGCTGTATCTCTGCTTTAGTATCCTTCAGCCATTGCATAGTACATTAATTTCAGCCTGAGACAGAGCTAGAAAAGCACCTGAAGCCTAAGAGGAAACACCCTTCCAACACACAGTACTGGTCCCCAAGATTCACCTTTCCAAGGTTGTTACTAGAGCTAGCTGAGCAGTTTTCAACAGAACAGTTTTCTGTTGGACAATTTAGTTTTGTCAAAATGGAAACATTTTGTGGGAATGTGTCAATTTCAGCACATCAAAAAAAATTACAGCAAGTCTTCAAGTATCTGTTTAACTGCTTTTCATATTCCAAGCATGAGGTAAATGCTGCCGGGGCGCTGGTGGGAGATACTGAAACCCCATAAGCATGGCTATCTGGGAGAGTCAGAAAGAGCCAAAAAAGTAATAAGTGAGGCTAGTGGGAGAAACAAAATGAAGCATGTTGGGAGAAATAATCCTATATACATAACACAGATTACATGGATCTGTGAACCACATTATTTTTTAAAGTTAAATGCATCTAAATTGCACAAAAATCCACATAGTCATCCCCCTATATTGACCTGGTAACATTACAAAAAGACAAACCACTCCAGCTTCACTGACACATTACAGGTGATTGCAGCAAGCTAGCAAATACCCTTCACTGGGATTGCCCATATTATATATTATTATCAACTGAACACAGATACTATGATACCACTGTTTTAATAACATGAACTAGCCTTTCTTTATGTTCCTTTTGGTGCAATTTACCAATCTACTATCCACATGATGATGTATTCCTTATATACCATACATGAACATGAATAAATATTGGTTCCACAAGAAGCTTCTTAAGGGGCCAGGAATGTGTGATCATTTGACCTAAGAGTTTAAATTGCAGTGCTCTTACCTCAAATATCCTTCTGTTAAAAGAGATTGGTGATACCTCCACCAGGCGGTGGAGAAGCTCACGTTGCAGAGTATCAGATTTCCCTCTTAACAAGCCATAATTTTAGGTTGGCAGAAATTGCACATTCCCTTCTGAAGCTGGCACCTTATGACACCCAGACGATGGAAAGCCGCGGGCTCCGGCGCTACATCATGGAGATGCTGCCCATCACCGACTGGACAGCCGAGGCCGTGAGACCTGCCCTTATCCTCATCTTAAAGCGATTGGATCGTATGTTCAATAAAATTCACAAGATGCCTACTTTGAGGTGAGCAGGTGTAACGGAAACCTTTGGGTCCGTTTCTGATGTTGCAAGCCTTGAAGTAAGGGTATGTCATTTTATTGACAGTGTCATGCTGCACTGAATTTTTACAGCAAAACAAAACAAAGACGCATTTCTCCTGTTGGTGTATATTTATGTCGCCATTTTTCTTGGTGCCGGCTTCCGGGCAGCAATAGAGGAAATGCATATTTTACTGAGAATGACCCATAAGAAATCATGGAAATCTAACACCACCCTCTCTCCCAAAATAAGTCTTGAGGCTATAAAGATTCTCATTATCTCTCTGTGTCTTTTACATTTGCTGTTTTAAAAAACATAAAGTTAAATTAATGGGAAGAGTATTTTTAAAGTCCGTGGTTACAATATCAATCCTGTAAGGCTCTGTACAAATGATCAAAAATAGTCTTGGCCTGTAGTACCATTCAAATGCACCTGGCAATGGAAGACATGAGTGTAGGAAGTTCCTCTAGCAGGTGAATGGTGAAAGCAGCATCACAAGAAGCAATATGGGAGGCTCCAAGGAATGATAATTGAACATGGGGCCTTTCGACCTCACTCATGTGACTCCAGTCCAGGTTAGTAGCATAAAAATTCCCATCTGATGGCCTTTGGGTGGCCTGTGTCAAAGGAGTTGGTGGTCTCAGTCCGATCCCTTCTGGACAAATGCCCACATTGCAAAAACCACCATGACAGTTTCCTTGAGTTGGTAACCTTGTTAGTAGTGTTAGCTGAGAGTCCAAGGATGGAAGGGTATGGAGACTGAACTACTCTCTTTCAAATACCATTGATCCCACCGTAGAACATCTGAAATTCTGATTATGAGGAATGCCGCAGGCACCAAGCGAGATGGGGAGATATGATCTTTCTCCCTGCCCCTCTTCTCCCGCCTTCCTACTGCATTCCCCTTCATTAAAAGAAACCTTTTTTATAAAACCCTGCCTTGGCAGGGAATTGGGACCCACTTTTAATGCCGCCTCATCTTGCCAGTGCTGTTTTTTGCCATTATCTTGCTGTCTTTTCTACCATCCCTTCTTCATCTTGGGTCCAAAAAAGCAGCCCAGGGTTTTTAAAACAAATTCCCAAAAGCCCCCCTCTCTTTGTAACCTGTTCACAGGTTGCTGAGCAGCTGGAACCCCTGCCATAGCCTCACAGTAACTCCAGCTGCACCTGTACAAATCCACCTGACTAGAATCGCTCCTTCTGACAGGCCCAGGCACAGGAGGAGCTGCTGGGTCTCTCGCCTTCCTTCTACCAGCTGACCCAAATGCACGAACCAGCTTTCACATAGTTTGGCCAGTCAGCCTATTACATGGTGAGCAGGGCTGCAAGCACCGGTCCAGCTCAGTGCTGCTGCTTAAAGGAGCAGGCCACTGGGACTCACTGGACCCATTTGTAGGTTTTGAACAGCTTCCTATAGGTGTCCAGCTCAGAAATGGGAGTCTGAGTCTGATCTGGATGGTATACGCGTCAGAGTACAGGTTCGCTATTGGAGGGCATTCCTGTTAGGGGAAATCCTGACAGGGATTGACCTACGTGTCCCCAGGTATATATCTGTGGTACAGTATCTGGCTTACATACTGCATACCTGGTACTCCCTGGGCAAAGGAACCTTTTAAGAAGTCTACCATGGAATCTGACTGGGAATCTGATTCAGTAGTACCACATCCTCTAGTAACACAGTGTCTGCCTCATCCTTGCCCCCAGCATCCAGGGATTACTCACCCTGCCGCACAGACTTGGGAGGTATACTCCCATCCAAAGAGACCGCCTCTGGGGATCAGGGCCATGGGAAGCACATGGATGCTGCCTGTGTTGTAACTGGTAAAAGAGATCTTCTGTCTCCAGGGCTCTCAATCTGGCTCCTTTTACAGACTCTAAAATCACTATAAAGGAAAAAGCAATCAGTAAGGGATGTAGTTAAGGCAAATTATTGGTTCTGTCCTGCTGGGGGGAGGGGGGGGTGCAGAAGGTGAAGTCTGTAGTGTTCCGTCTGTCTGTGCTCTGGGCTCAGGCTAAGTGGGAGTCCCCACAATATAGCAGACTAGGCTGTGCAATAGTGGGGGAGGAGATATTCCTAAGTACTGGAGTTTGTTCCACTCAAGATTTTATGGTGAAGTCTACATTAAATCAACAGGGATTTCACAAGCCCGAGTGGAATGACTGTGTCAGTCTGCCTCCGCAATGGCAGACCAGCTTCCCTAAGTGTAAAGCAAGCAGCAGTCATCAGACAAGTTCATCTGAGCTGGCTGTCTCGTGGATGTCCCAGCTTGCACTCACAGGCTCGCTTGCAAAGGGGAAAAGTTAGGGTTTGAATCGCAATCCATTCATCCTCTCTCTCTCTCTCTTTCTCTGTTTTTGTTGTGACGGTTTTTGTGTCACTAATCCAGCGGGGCAGGAGTGCCTCTGCTACCTTCCCAGTCTCATCTCTAACTCCCAGTGTGTTCTCTGAACAACGTGGGTAAAACTGTTACCCCTGGAATGCACCTTGTTGCCATCATGGATGTCGTTGCTGTCTTAAACGTTCCTTGTTGGAGTCACCGTGTATCAGTCACCTTGTTTCGGTGTGTCTGGTGGGGGAGCCAAACAGCTAACGGCAACTACTGTTGTATTCCAGGCGACAGGTTGAGTGGGAGCCTGCCAGCAATTTGATTGAAGGGGTTTGTTTGACACTTCAGAGGCAGCCAATCATATCCTTCCTGCCTCACCTTAGGTCACTGATCAATGTCTGTGTCAATCTGGTGAGTAGCCAAGTGGCAATATTATGAACCTTTGCTAAGCTTCATTCTGCTGTTGACTTTTCTGGACTGAAGATTAAAGTTGATCCCTTTTCCTGTCACCTATCCACCTGTGCAAGCAGACTTCCCAGGTGACACTAGAGATAGTGAGGTACATTTTTAAAGTGGTGCATGGGAAGATACAGGGACTGATCCCCAGGGTCAAGTGATTTATTTGTGTTACTTCCCACACACCACTTTGAAAATCCACCTCTGCATGTTGCGCTGAGAGTTGAGGGCTGCAAGTTGGAGAGTGGGGTGGTGGAGACTGCACACACCTGGTAGCAATGGGAGGGTGGGACTAGGGGCAGTTTCAGTTTATAGCCGGGAAGGAAACTTTACTGCTCTGTAAAAGGGCATTGAGTGGCTAGTTAGAGGGTTACATGAGTAGATTCACTCTGCCATTTGTAATGTCCCTGGTTTGATCTAGTGCAGGCTTTTGTGTACAATGTTCAGTTCTCATCCTTAATCAATACACAATAATGTTGGTGTGTGTTTTATACTTGAGCACAGACAGCTTTTGTGGTTTTCGTGACTAGAGAGATGGTATGCCCAGAACTCTTGGAGCCTGTCTGACCATTTGATAGTGATAAGCAATAGTTACATGTAATATTGCTTCTAAGACCATGATACCTAGGAAGTATCAAGTCAATGGAGCTATGACCGTTTATGCCTGCGGAGGATGTTTCAGTCTGAGTTGGAAGAAATACCAATATTGAGGGAAATGGATATAGTAGCATTTTTAGTTTCATTTGGGTTAAAAATATCGACTTTGAGTTCTAGAATGAAAATGTGTGGCCTTTTTTTTTTTTTTTTTTTTTTGATGCTTTGGAAAAGCTGATGAAGTCGATGATTGCGCCGAAGAGCTTAAAAACAAAATAAAAACGCATTTCTACCTTGGCCATGTTGGCATTCATCCACATTTTTATCTTCATTCCGGATCCACAGAGCGTTTACATACAACGCAAGGGGGTGGCGGGGAGCTCCAACAATGGCAGGAGTTCTGGTGGCTCCTTCGTTGTTGTGGCAGCCATGTTTGCTCAATGGCTATTTGGAGACCTTTTGTCTGGAGCCAGCTTTGAAAATTTGACCCTTCACACTACTCAGTGTTGCACCAGTAGCAGCAAACAGCCCCCCCAAAAATGGTAGCCAGGAACATGGGGAAGCCTTTAAATGAAAAGAATAGGGGGTTTTCACCTCTGAATTTAAGCCTAAATTTGTCATGTGGGTTGAGAGGTTAGTTCAGTTAATTTTACAAACCAGAGTCCCCAATAATACATTGTGCTTACGGAGAGTCTGAACATTGTACAAAACTGGGCCTGGATCTGGCTAATACTGGATCAACCTCAGGACATTATTCTTCCAAGAGATCAGCAAGGGAAGGAAAAGAGTTACAAGTTAATTGCAAACTTCCTGCTTGTATTACATTTTCCCATGGAATACAGTAGCTACATGGCATACCCACCAACTCTACCTGTTCTACCAGTCCAGTGCTGGTTACTCAGGGCTGGTACTGGGTACATTCATGAAATGTACCAGTTTCCCTGTGTGCTCTGTCCACCCCCTCTGGCTTCCCTGTAGAGGTTCCCTATCCTTTCCACCCTTTCCCTGCTAGAACCATCCCTTCTCCTTTGTGGCCCCAGCTGCCATGAGGCATTCGGAGGCACTCCTGCTCCCCGAGCACCCCAGTCCCACACCATCTGAAGTGTACCTGTTTCTCTTTCACAAATGTTGGAGGGTATGCCATGGGTGGAATTGCAGTAGTCAGTGCTGGTGATGTGCTTTGTTTGTATTGCAGGTGATGGGAGTAGTAGGACCTTCCAGTGTTGCTGATGGATTACCCCTTCTTCATCTCAGCCCTTATCTCTCGCCACCTCTGCCCTTCAGCACAGCTGTTGTCCGGCTTGTAGCATTGCAGATACAGGTGTGCCTGCCCTGCCTGGTATCAGGCCCGTTTAGCTTATGGTTGAGACACCAACTCATAGGTGCTCTTTATTCTGCAACAGCTGGGCAAAACCTGTGGAACAAAATGTCAGCTCTCCTCTGTAGGTCAAGGTTTGGAGCACCAGAACGGAGCTCAGGTCTTAATAAGCAGCCAGATCCTCAACCAGTGTCAATTGGCGTAACACCACTGATGTCAGTGGAGCTATGCTGAATTACACCAGCTGGGAATCAAGCTCCATACTTTGATTCCTCTCAGGATCCAGGAACCGAGCAGAAAGTCTTCTATTACCTTTTGTGAACAGTCCTATCCTCGGTCGCCCCCATGCAGCCCCACCAAACTTAATGGGGCGTCATTTGCGTAACTGAGATTACTGAGTGGGATTTGGGCCCATTGAGCCAGTACCAAACTGGCGCTGTTTGTGCAAGCAATACATAGAAGAGAAAAAAGCCCAAATGCACACCGATGGCTAGCCTTTAAACTGCTTATCAAATATCATCCTTGACTGTCAAGAATAGTGAACACACGGTGATCCCATTGGGAGGAATTTCATCAGTATACTCCTTTTCAGCTCAGTGCCATATGTTTACTATTTTGGACACGAATAGGTTTTTAAAATACATTTGCAGGCAGCTATTCCATGTGCACTTGGACCCTGTCTGCTTCCATATGCTTTATACCTCCATGTTGGCATGAAAACAAGGGAATAGAGAGCTACACAGGGGCAGAATGAAGGTGCATGTTTCCTGATCCTAATCTGTATTTCAGCGAGTCAGAAGATACAATGACCTCATTCGGGAATATTGTGCCCGTGGACTAGTGCACCTGTGGAACAGACATTTCAGTTTATGTCCTGCGGAAAAGGACCTAGGGGTGACAGTGGATGAGAAGCTGGATATGAGTCAGCAGTGTGCCCTTGTTGCCAAGAAGGCCAATGGCATTTTGGGATGTATAAGTAGGGGCATAGCGAGCAGATCGAGGGACGTGATCGTTCCCCTCTATTCGGCATTGGTGAGGCCTCATCTGGAGTACTGTGTCCAGTTTTGGGCCCCACACTACAAGAAGGATGTGGATAAATTGGAGAGAGTCCAGCGAAGGGCAACAAAAATGATTAGGGGTCTAGAACACATGAGTTATTAGGAGAGGCTGAGGGAGCTGGGGTTGTTTAGTCTGCAGAAGAGAAGAATGAGGGGGGATTTGATAGCTGCTTTCAACTACCTGAAAGGGGGTTCCAAAGAGGATGGCTCTAGACTGTTCTCAATGGTAGCAGATGACAGAACGAGGAGTAATGGTCTCAAGTTGCAGTGGGGGAGGTTTAGATTGGATATTAGGAAAAACTTTTTCACTATGAGGGTGGTGAAACACTGGAATGCGTTACCTAGGGAGGTGGTAGAATCTCCTTCCTTAGAGGTTTTTAAGGTCAGGCTTGATAAAGCCCTGGCTGGGATGATTTAACTGGGAATTGGTCCTGCTTCGAGCAGGGGGTTGGACTAGATGACCTTCGGGGGTCCCTTCCAACCCTGATATTCTATGATTCTATGAATTAACCAATGAGTGGCACGTCCACCATCCAGATGAGCGCTGGGACAGGTTTTTCAGAGTATGGGGGGTGTTATGGGAAAGAGGGGTATAGGGCCGAGGCATCAAAGCACATCACAGTCCCATTTACCATGAAACCGGAGATGGCATCCATAAGGTGAACATTGGCACTGATCGGTGCAGAGACATTGCAGGCTTCTTCCTGGGCTGGGTGATTTGGTTCTTAAAAATATAAAAGCCACCCTTACCTTCTCTCAAATCTTTACCCCTGTTTAGAACCTAACTCCAAATGAATCTTTTTTTTAAATCAGTCTGGGATCTTTGCATATGTGGGTTTTTTTGTTTGCTTTTTTTTCCATTTTCACATGTTTTTCCTGGGTTTCAGAAGGGATCAAAACTGGAAATGCCATAATACCACCAGTATTTCCAGCAGGATCTGAAGTGGAAGTGCTGGAAATCCCACAAGAAAAACCTCTTCTCCTGGGAATTCCACCCCAGTTTTGCAGACTCAGGTGGTTCTGCGGTTCAGTTTCAATTCACACTGAAGTATCTAATAGTTTGGATGCTCTATCCAGGCTTCGACCCTTCAGAGGTTCACCCAACATATGTTTCTTTCACTGCCACTAAACTTCTTCTGCCTTGGACACAGACCTGTTCAGGTTGCGGGGGCATTTCATTCAGACTTGAATAACTGTCAAGATCCAAGTGTGGGTTTCCCTTGTTTTCAGGAAGGGAGGCTACCATAACATCAGGGTTTTGTGGGTTAGTGAAGCAAAGTGAAGAGGCTGGGAAGTGAGGGTGAATCCTGGAGTAACCTCCACATTCAGCAAATGGGGAGATGTTGTTTTTGACATTGGTATAACTCCCTCTGCTCTTTTTTTCCAGGTAATTCAGGCTGGATTCTGATCTCATTTGTACCACTCTCGATTTGGAATTACAACAAATTGACTTCGAATAGATTGATCTGGATTTATAATGGTGTATTTGAGATCAGAATGCCCTTTATCACTTGATTATATTAAAAACAGGTGACATTTAGATGCTCTACTCCTATTCAGGCCGCCTCAGAGCTTGTAATTTTATCAGTCCATCAGCTGTGTTATGCTATGTAAACAAAGCCTATGAGAATCATCATTCTCCACAGTGGTTTATATTTCTAATCTTCTGATGAAATCATTTAATCCTTTCTTATTATTACTGCACAGGCTTTGAAAGAAGATTTTCCCTTAAGCCATGTGATCTCCCCATTCACCAATCAGGAGAGAAGAGAAGGAATGCTTTTAAACCTACTGATTCCATTTGTGCTCACAGTAGGATCTGGAAGCAAAGGTCTGATGATTATTTAACAAAAAGAGTTCCCCCTTCCCAGACAACAAATATTTGCCTTTCCTACTGTTGTTGCTTCTTATTTGGTTTCTTCTTGGCTTGGTTAGAACTCATCGGGGTGGTGGAAGCGAGCTACAATGGGAGCTGTTGTTTCTCCTTTTTGTTTCAGCTGTGTCACAGATCAGTGGTTCTCAAACTCACTCTTTAACAGATGTGCTCCTCCTTTTGAAATCAGAGCAATGACAGAGTTCTGGACAAGACAAAATTCACCATAGTGTAAGATACAGAGCTACGGGGGCAGGAATTTGCCACTGTTGGTTGCTGTTCACGCAGTTCCTTGCCAGTTATCTGGGCCAAATCATGCTCTCACTCCCGGTCTTCTTCTGTAGATTGTGGTCACTTCTAAGCACCTCCCTCAAATGCAGGCGTGAAAGCAAAGAGTGAAGGGAAGAGACGAGGCTGAGTCATTACGCTCATAGGGTTTGGTGCTGCCACACAAGCGTGCATTTTGGGAATAGAATAACTTTGCCTTTGCTTACAGAAGGAGAAGCAACATAACAAGGTTGGGGATGGGCTTGGTTTGAGGGAAGTTCTGATTACATCACAGCTGGGAACTGAAAACGAGGCTGTGGCTTTTGCATGGCTTTGAGAGGATATGGCCTGATCTATTTTATTGCTTTCCTTTGCCTGCCACCCGCTTCGATGGATTTTAGACAGTCCCTGGCTGGAGCAGCCTGAAGTCCTTCTGCTGCTCCAGACTGTTATCAACATCCTCCTGCCGCCTCGGATCATCAGCACTTCCCGCAGCAAGAACTTCATGATGGAGAGCTCCCCTGCACATTGCTCCACCCCAGGGGAGGCTGGGAAGGACCTGCGCAGGGAAGGGCTCGCAGAGTCCACCAGCCAAGCGGCTTACTTGGGTGAGTGAGTGCTTCCCCTCACCCATCAAAAGAGAGAAAAATAAAAGGGAGCGTTTAGGAAACCCCTGGGAAGGCAGAGACAATCCTCACAGGCACCAGCTGAGTGGAAGTTATGTTTGCCCTGCCGCCAGAAGGTGTCATTTCCAGCTGGAGTAGACACATCCCCCCCAAAAACAGAAGTGTAGCCATGGCAGTGCATGCAGCAGGAAGGGCGGTGATCCCGTCCAAGCCCCTAGATACTTACTTGGGGCCACTGGCCTGTCCCACGCTTGGGCCACTGCAGTTGTGTGCTATTTTTAGTGTGTTATGTCTCCTCAAGTTGGAAATTATACCCTCGGCTGCAGTGAAGGCATACCCTGAGCTATTTACAGCTGCTTTAGCCACAGCCATGAGCACTGAGTGGTGCGCATGCTGCACCAAGCCAGGAGTAGCTCTGGCAGGCATGGTCTTAGAGATACTTCACCGATTGATAGTTCCTCTCCTGCTCCATTTGCTCTTGGGAGGGGTAATTGGCTGATGAGCTACGCTAGCACTCACGCTGGTCAGCTAGTCTGGGCAAACTTGCAGAGAGAGGTGGAGTCAAATCTGCCCCCACTTCCCCAACTGCCTTTTGTTGGGGAAGGAGCAAGGAGACACATAGCCCTGCTTATTCTTCTGTGCCTGGGCCCAAGGTCTGTGTAGCCCGAGTGGGAGTGTAAGGGCAGTTCTTTCTGCCCCACTTGGGGATATACCCCCTATGTCACAATCTAGCCTTTAATAAGCAGCCTCATTTCCAGCCTAAACCTTGTTCATTTGTAAATTACCTTTTCAAAGGGTTGTGCGAATGGATTCTGATACTTGGCTTCTTGGATCCAAAATAACCTTTGGTGTATGGCTCTTGCAGCTGCAGTACTGGAAGGTCTCTCTTCGTAGCCTCATTAATGACCTCCTGACAGCAGTTACATGGCCATTCCCTCTGTGGGGTTGCACAGCCTAGATTTCTCTCCATGGTCCTTGATCAGAGACTGGAATCTATCCCCACTCTGGACTGGTTTTGAAAGAAGTAAATCCTGAGGAAGAGGAAAGAATTCTTTAGTGCAATCTAGGAACTTTGGAGTGGGTGGTATCTCATGGAGAAATTAAAGGAACATAGTTGTACAGAAGGAAAATCTTCCAGTAACTCACTGGCAGAGCTGGGAACAGAACTCGTGCTTCCTGATGCCAAGTCCTGTGGCTCTAACCCCAAGACTGCCCTACTCCCCGGTAGGAGTTGGCAGCTGATGGTAAAGAAACTGACCTAGGTGTGTGTGCACTCCACTGCTCGCTGCGAATACTCCAGCTGTTAAAGGCTGGAGTTAACGGCTCTGGCTCTGGCTCTGCAGCACTTTACACGTGCTGGCGTTTGTTCCCCTGCAGCCCTGAAGGTGATCCTTGTGTGCTTTGAGCGCCAGCTTGGCAGCCAGTGGTATTGGCTGAGCCTGCAAGTCAAAGAAATGGCCCTGCGCAAGGTGGGAGGGCTGGCCCTCTGGGACTTCCTGGATTTTATTGTTCGCACCCGGATCCCTATCTTCGTGCTTCTGCGGCCCTTCATTCAGTGCAAGGTAACACCAGTTTTCACCCTAGTGTCAGCTGCGTCATTAGATAATATTTTTTAGGCAAGACACCCCATACTGTCTTGCAAGGAGAATGTGACATGGGCTTTGGGGGCAACCGCGGTTTTGGGGAGAAGAGTATTTTTGCATAGGAAATGACCCCTGACTCTGTGCTTTGTCTCGGAAGGATGGCTGGAGGCATTTCCGAGATCTTGGTTCTCTAGTAGACCTGTGTACAGACTCTATTGCAGCTAAGGAGCATCCATTACAGTGGATTTTAGGGGCCACTCAAAGAGTAAGTTACAATGATGGGAATTCTAATGCAGCAGATCCACAACACCACATTGGTGCAGAATGGTACTCATCACCTCCTCCTGAAATTCCCTTGGAATTTGGATAGGTTGATGATGATGTCGATGATGTAATAATGGATATTAGTGTAAACAACAATTATCCATCAGCTCAACCTCCGCCTTCCAGCTGGGTGGTAGCTCTCTCAGGCAGACGTACAAGCACAGTAAAGGAAGCCTTCAGCATTCCACAAGCCAGGAAGATTTCTCATGGGTCAGCATTCAAGGTGCTAACAGGGGAATCCTTACTCACTGGGCAGGCATTTCACCTTGCATTGTTAGGGCCTTATCCCACAAGGCACTGAGCACCACCCCGTGACTTCAAAGGTAATTGCAGGAATTTCGTCAACTCCTGGGATCAGAGCCTTAGAAAGGAGGTCACAAGTGGCCACTATTGAGGTGACTTTATATTAATTGGCTCAGCTTTGGGGCTAATGTTTATAGTAATGTCAGATTAGTGGTTGCAGGTGTCAGATCTGTGTATGGAAAAATCCAAATGCTAGTCCCCCATAAACTCTGGCTTGCCAAATAATATGGTGAAGCCTGGGATTGGTAGAGAGATCTCATAAACCAGCTATCCCCTCATGAATTAATCTTGCATGAGGGACCTTCTGACCCCAACTCAAAGGCCTGTCTAATTCCTGGATGGCCCAGTGTCAGAATGAGAAACATTTTAAAAGTATTCAGTGGGACAGGCCAGAGGGGCCTTACACTTGCCCCACTCTTTTCCCTGGCTCTTAGCAGTAACTATCGACATCTGTGACACTGGAGATCTGTGAAGGAGTGAAGGAGTGAGCTGCAATTCCTAGATACCCTGGTGACAGGGTTAGTTCTCTGCCCCAGCCAATAAGAGTATGTCTTCACTGCAGAGTTAGCCCGGATGATCAGCACCTGACTTAGCCTAGCCTGGGTGTGAGCAGCCATGCTGCACGGCACGCCCAACATTGCTTTGTGGTCACTGGAACTTCTAGGGGACATCCCATGGTTCTTTGTGCTGCTGTGATTCTCTCCCAGTGGATTGTGGGAGAACTTGTCTGTCTGTTTTGGCACATGATGGAGAAATTATGAGAAGGTGCTGGATGACACTTGGCACTCAAGTGGGTTAGCCTGCATACTCACTGCAAAGTGGATGGGTTATCCACCTTAGTGAAAGCAGAATCTGGGTTTAACCCGATAACCCAGGATGGGCCAGTTAACCCGGGTTGGAAGCACCAACCTCAGGTCAGAGGTTTTTGTGTGTGGATGGGAGCTGGATTAGGGGCAACGCCCAGGTAAGAGCCTCGGCTAACTCTGCAGTGAACACAAGCCCTGAGAAACCAGGCCACTAGGGGGTTGTGTGGGTCTAATGAACAGGATCTGGGATGGGTAGCATGGTGTATCAAGAGAAGATTTTTTTAAACAGGGTTGTTGGTTGGATCGGGGGGCGAACTTTGCACTGACTTTGTCTGACGGGAAGCGCCTTCCACTTTGTTTTGGCTTTGAGCCAAACACAGCTCTTGATAATGGACAGGCACTCGGTGTGCCCAGGCTGCTACTACTTACGCTGACATGTATAGATGGAGTCCCCATCATTGGAAGCCTTTAAAAACAAGTTGGACAAACACCTGTCAGGGATGGTCTACTTGGTCCTGCCACAGCGCAGGGGTGTGAACTCGATGACCTCTTGAGGTCCCTTCCAGCCCCACCTTTCTATGATTGTAAGCTCTTTGGGGCAGGGACTGTCTCTTATTGTGTGTAAATGTATTGCTTAGCACAAGGAAGCCCTGATTCCTATCTACTAGTATATTAATAGCAACAGTGACTGGTTTCAATGTACATTGAATCAGATAAACATACAGTATTCCAAAAAGCTGAGAAAAAACCTACGTGTTCGGTTGTGTTTTCACATGCACCTACAAAGCTCATCCCTAGGTAGATAACATTCCTCTGCTTGTTGTTGTATCAACTTCTTACATACAAGGACAAAAATCCTCAGCCTGTAGGTGTACAAGCAGCCAAGGGATTCTGATGCCAGACACTCATGAGCTAGTTGGAAAGGGACAGAGTGTTTCTCTGTGATGCTGGAGTGTTCTTTTGCTAACAATGGTTGTTATGCCTCTCTGTCAGCTGCTGGCCCAACCTGCAGAGAATCACGAGGAGATGACTGCCCGGCAACATATCGCTGACCAGCTAGAGAGGCGCTTCATACCACGCCCTCTGTGCAAGAGCTCCCTCATCACGGAATTCAACAGCGAGCTCAAAATCCTGAAGGAGGCAGTGCACAGTGGGTCAGGTAAGGCTGTTCTGGGAGGGGGAGGATGCTTGCACACAGAGGAAAGAGGATTTCTTACCCCTCTGTGTGGGTACGCACCGCAAGAGTCAATAGTTTTGCCCACAGTATAGCACTCTGTGTGCGAAACTTGATTTAATATATGGAAAGTTAAATGCATAGAAATGTGCAGCTCTCCCTTCTATCGCAAATACATGGAATTTACAAAAACAGAAATGCACTGCATGGAACTGTTCTGACTGCTTCGTCCTTTCTTCTGGGGTGCACTGGGGTACAACAGCAGACCCACAGCAACAGGTGCTTTATGCATGGTAATTTATTATGTTTTTAAAGTGAGTTTTGTGCTTGCAAAAGGTGCTAGCCTGGCAGCCCTGGAGTCTGAAGCCCCTTCTTTATGAAAAGATGAGGTACAGCATACAAAGCTCCCCTGCACTGCCTCGTTAATGTGCTGCAACGCACTGAGGGCGACAGGGTTGGTTTTCATGCCCTGTCAATCACTGCCCCGTCAGCTGAGACAGCCAACGAAAGTGCAGATTACGGCCAGTTGTAGTGGCAGCCTTGTTACATTCACCTCTCCACTAACTAAACTAAGAACACCATCTCACTTCTCATATGCCTACACGCAGCTGTCAGGTGGTAACCTCTTTCAGTCACTACTGACCAAAGTGCACTGTAACCAAGGCTGTAGAGGTGAAAGTAGTTTTTAAAATCTAGATAGTCTCAGCTCCCCTCTTTTAGAATTAGCTACTTGTTTATCAGCAGCAGATATTTATTTTCTTTTTTCCTTGTGAAAGGACAGCTGAGCATTTTTTGGCCCAAATCTACGCCCTTGAAATCAACGGGAAAACTCCTGACCATTCATGAAGTGGCCACTTCTGCAAACTTTCTCCTTTGCTGTGTACATTTGCTGCCACTAGAGAGCAGTCATTACTTCCAGACTGTGGGAAACTTTATGTCGAGTACTTTGTTCTCAGAAAGAAAGTAGCTCTACGTATTTTGCCCCATAATAATGTGCCTTGCTTGCTAAACGTCACAGAGGGGCAGTGGATGTGGCAGTGTGGCTCAGGGAGAACATAAGAAATCTTTGCAGTGACAAAGGTGTCTTGCAGGTTAGCTGAGCTGGTACATTGTACTGATCTGGTGTCGAGTAAGCACAAGCAGTGGTAGAGTTCTCTTTCACAGCCGCTGCAGAAGGCCATTTGGCCCTCTGACTTTCCCACTTCTCTCGCCTTTCCCCTAAACCCAGGCTGAGGAAGATGCCCTCGCCCTACGGGGAACAATATTTCTTTCAGCCTTGGAACTGACTCAGCTTTGTTTTCTCCACTTTGTGCAGCCTACCAAGGGAAGACCTCCATCAGCACCGTGGGCACTTCCACCTCCGCGTACCGCCTCAGCCTCGCTACCATGTCCCGCTCCAACACGGGCACCGGCACTGTCTGGGAGCAGGACAGCGAGCCTTCCCATCAGGCTTCGCAGGACACTCTGAGCCGCACCGATGAGGAGGATGAAGAAAGTATGTGGCTGCCGGGGCAGGATCAGAGTACAGTTGCGGCCCCTCGTTGCCCAGGCCCAGCTCTGCTGTACAGGCAGAAGAGGGTGTTGTTTTGGGCAGTAGAATGATCAGGGACTCTTTACTGCTTGAGGCCTTAATGCTGCAAGCCCTTTCTTCGTGCACAGCCAGGAGGAAAAGGCTGTTGCTCTCCAGCGCACGTGTGAACAGAGGGTACATGCGGGCACATGGTTCAGCGTTAGGGGTGGTCGCCGCACTATGCAGTTGTTAATGTCAAGTCCTTACGTGCCTCCTTCCATACTCTTGAGCACAGGGCTGAGGAAGGGTAAGGTGCAGGTGTAGACCGTGAATAAAGCAGAAGAGACATGGCAGTCCTCACAATGCTGATAAGGCATTTATCTAAACAGTCCCCTCTTTGGCCTGAATCCTGCTACTAGGCAGGAGCAATTTGGTGGCTGTGTAGCAGGCATCACATTGCAGCAGTATCAGCTCGCTGTGCACTTCCTGCTCATCTCTGAACCACGGGCTTCTATGTGTACCTGTACCTGCACTGTGTGTGGTCAAGCCGTGGCTAGTGTCTATGCTGGTTGGGATGTAGGACCTAATCAAGCATTTGTGCGCATTTTGTAATACATTAGCTGATCAACAGAGGACATCAAGCCTTAAGACTTCTGTCAGCCAATACTCCACTCCTTTATACCCAGTGATAGAGGCAGAAAAGGTTCTGAGTTGTATGAAACATCCTGGTGTCTCTTTGCAGAGAGGGTTTAGTTTTTTATAGTTTGTGTGGATTTGTACAGTCTGAGTTTCACTTTGAGTTTGAAGGGAAGCTCATTGAAACCACTGAGTTTGCCTGAATTAAGTTTTGATATCAGAAACATCCAAGAAGCTCCTGGCTTCTTTCAAAACCATCAGCCAGGAGCCCTTGTCATCTCTATCCAGGAGGCTTGGGCTTCCCACTCATGTAGCTTTTATTGTCTTCTGGTGGTACAGAGGTTGTCCTAATGGCTTGAAACCCTTGCCACTCACCTTTGGTGCTTGGGGACAACTGCCTATTCCCAGAAAACTTCAGACATGAGAGAGGCAATGGCCCTAGAATATGAAAAAGTGTAGGAGCTTGTTGTGTGGAGATGATGTCCCTAACAGAGAGAGTGCTCCTCCTGAAACTTGATACATAAGGATTTATTACAAAACATTGCACAGCTTGTGTCCTGGTTTCTATACACTGTAGTTGGTGACCATGGTATCTTCTGGTGACAGTCTTCGATTCATTACAAGTGACTGCCAGCTGTGATGAATAGACATCTTCCTGTTTGCCTAGGCCAGTAAAGACTCTAGCACCAGCACTGTCCCACCCCAGTCTGATTTAAAGCTGGCTGACATGCCGAAAGAAGCATGAGAGAGCCACCAAAATAACCCAAGGAAATGAACCTAAATTCTCCAGGGAAAATTAATTCTAAAAGAGAAGCTATTGAGGCAGTTTAGTTAATGGCATGTCGGAGGAACAACATGCATCATGAACCTTTCTATAAGTAGTATTTAAACTACTTGTTGGGTTGCAGGTCAAAAGTGATCATTTGATTAAAAGAATCCTCCAATGTCATAGGAGAGTTATTGTGTTTGTGTTACAAATACACAGACTTTTTTTTATCAAATAAATGCAGCAGCGTTGGTATAGCATTCAAATTCACATAATTAAATGCAGAAAAACTTCCACATCTTGGTGTTCATAAGAAGAAATTAAAACTTCAACAGCTTTCAGGTTCCCTTGGGATGTAACTGAAAATATAGGTAGTACTGGATTTATTTTTGAATGATACATGCCCTCTTTAAATCCAACTACAATATAAATATGCAATATTTTTTTCTAGAAACAGGAATTTATCAGAATAAATTCACCCACAGATTATCCCAACATATCAAAATTAGAGCTGGTAAAAAATGTGGGGGGGGGCCTAGAAATATTACATGAAAAATTCTCCAGTTTTTATTTTGAAATGTAAAAAAAAATTAAAATATGGAAAAATTTCAATGAATTTGTCCTCTGTTTTCCGACTATGTATAGAGTTGGTCAGGTTTTTTTAATTTCAGAATTTTATTGAAAATTTCAGCCAGCTCTAATCAAAATTAAACATATGTGACAGACTTATTTTGTGCAAGTTCACCCATATTTTCATGAATATAAGATCAGCATTTTGAGAAAATACTGCATTTTGCAAGTTAGACACTGTTGCATCTGTACATCTCTTCCTCTTTCCTTTAATCTTTTAATAAGGTTGATTTTTCTGGATCTTGAAATGTATTAACTTTTTTATGAGCAAAATGTCCAGTTATAGTTTTCATTCTCAAGAGGCCTCATATTTTGTTGGATAACTTAAAAATAATAATTGTACTGTGGTAGCATCTAAACGCCCTGAACTCATTGTCCAAAACAATGTTCAAATATATAACAGAGAGAGGGTCCCTTCTCCAAAGGGCCTGCAGTCTAAAGCCCTGAGCTTGCAAACATTTATGCACATGTGTTACTTTACTATGGCTACTTGTGGTAGAAAAGTTAAGCAGATGCACATGTTTGCAGTGTCGGACCTGAGTGACTTAGAGAGTTCTGCGTGCACTAGGCATGAACATGGGACAGGATCTGGAATTACCTGGAAACTTTTAAATGTGTCATTGGTGTTTTGGATGAATTTTTTTCTTTTTTGGTCTCTTTCCCATGTCCTTTCTAGATGACTCAGTGAGCATGCCCAGTGTGGTAAGTGAACAGGAAACCTACCTTATGGGTGCCATTGGGAGGCGGCGGTTCTCCAGCCATATCTCCAGCATGTCTGCACCTCAGGCTGAGGTGGGCATGTTACCCAGCCAAAGGTAACAACATGTGCTTTTCTCCTTTCCCACTCTGTTCTCCAGAGCAGACATTCCAAAGGTATATTGTGTGTAACTCAGACACAGCAGCAGGGTGAGGGTGGTAAATTCATTACCCCAGTACTAAAAGGCTAATCATCCACCTGCAGTGCTTGCTCACTCGAGTAGTCCCATTGATGTCAGTGCAAATACTTGCCGCAGGTTAGAACATAACAATTCTTCAATGCAATGTATACTGCATAACCTTCATGAGAACGACATTTCATTGTTAGAAACGTTCCCTTGAGAAACTGACAGCATCTTTATTGTTTCTCTGCTAATGCCATGCCTGTTGATGTGGTGGATTTCAAAGATATAGGCATGATTTCAGGGTGCAGAGTACACTTAGAGGTTTCATTCTGAGCCAGAGTCCTGCATACAACACTTAAAATGAGTAGGGAGAAATCCCAGGGTGCTGGAAAAGTTTCTTCAGTACAATCTCAACCCCAAGTCAGAACAAAAATTAGTTTTCCTCTGGACATTAGCTAATGGCAGAAAGAGAAGTGGGATTATTCTAAACCATAAATTTCTCTGTCTGTTAGAGCTAATCTTGGATGCCTCTTTTTAGAGTGAGAGAGAAAGAGAGAGAGAGGATTTGGGTATTGGACATTGCACTCATTAGTCAGGTGTGTGACATAGAAGATGATGAACAAGAATTTTTCCAGTTAAATTCTGTTATTTTTCATTAAACAATGTTTATTTTTTATTTATATGTGACATAGATTTGCAAAGAGCGCTGATAAAAGGTCAATGTATAGATTCATCTATGTCATTTTTTATAAACCTTGAAAATGTGAATACTGCGTTATCTTATGACTGGCCATTGTCCCTTTGCCCAGCCTTGTTTGTAATTCAGTTAGAAATCCCTCAGTGTGTGGAGCATGTAACAGCTAAAAGAAACAGCTATAGTACATACCGGCAAAGATAAGGGAGGTAATTGTTGAACTAGAAGCCATTCCAAATTTTATCCCAGAGTTTGTATAAAGGGTACTTGTAAGCAGGGCCATCCCTACCCATACGCAAAGTATGCAGCTGTGTAGGCCACCAGGAAATTTGGGGCACCACATTTCCTGTGCCCTGCACAGCTGCGTGCTGCTCCAACCCCTGCTCCACCTCTACCCCATGGCCCCCACCCCTCCTCCGCCCTAGCCCTTCCACTCCACCCCTTCCCCAAAGCCCCTGCTCCGCCTCAGTCCCGCCCCCACTCCCCTGAGGAGTCGGGGCCTGCACTCCCCGCCGGCGGGAAGTGTAGCAACCCGGCCCCAGCCGCACCACTGGTGAGTGCTGGGGGGGCGGTTCCCCCGTGCCCCTCAAGCCTGCTTTTGCCCCCGCACGGAGACCTGGGTCCAGCCCTTCCCTCCCCCCCCCAGAGAGGCACCCCCTCCCCCATGGGGGGGAGGCTGGGCTGGGCTGCGTAGGGCCCCAGAATGGTTAGGGATGACACTGCTTGTGAGGACACCTTTAAACTCATTTCATTCCATTTCCTTAGTGTCTTTAAAATAAGTATATTTTACTATAAATTTTTTCCTGTGGGCTTTGGTGCTTTTTAATTGGTGATGCTCAGAAAAATAGTGTAGTGTAATTGCAATATAGATTTGGACTCTTAGCTTTTTAAGCATGCAATCTAATGTTTAAGGTAGATATTTCATTGGCCCAGCAAACATAATCCTTGTTCTCAGCTGCATACCCATTTTAGTCATGGATGAGCAATGGTCTCTGGGATTTTTTGAGTGTATTACACATGCAAACTAATAAATGAACTAATACATGTATAGTAATATTATTGCTTTCCTGCTGGTAATCCACCAGACCTCTTTCTATCTTTCATATTTCACATATGAGTGAACAGGATGGAATACTGCTGGTTGCTCCTGCTTAACAGGGGAAGTAGGCTGCTGTTGAGGCAGCGTGACTGGGGACAGATTTGCCAGTACACATTCCAGCTGTTTACTTACAGTTTCATTACAATGCAAGATCATGCTTTCCTGCAGTTTGGCCTTTTAATGGCATCAGAACTAGAATGTTGTTCTGCAGCTCATGATAAATTGATTCGCGCTTCAAGGAGAAGCCTGAATAAGTGAGTTTATGGGGTGGTTGTAGGGGGAAGATCTTAAATGAAACTGGAAGTAAACAGAATACCATCACAGGGAATACAGGCAGCAACATGGTTTGAAAACTTTCTAAGCCCCATCATCCCCCTCCCTTATTTGCACTAGAATCACACCTCAGTGAGGTTCTTAGCTCATGCAATGTATTGTATCGCTTTGGAGGTCTCCATGTATCATAGCCTCCATTTGTAAATTGCTCCTTTTATCCAGAATTAGATTGATCAGATGTTCCTCTTTCAACGCCTTGAGTCATATGTTCTGATGACCCAGTGCAAGACCAAATGATTTTACCGTCCTCCTTTTCCTTTCTTATTCCGTTGATATTTTTTTTTCTTGAAAACAGAGACAATTGCATGCTTTTTGCATTTTCTTTCCCTAAATGCTTCATCTCCCTGCCCCTCCTGCAGTGAACCTAATGTCCTCGATGACTCCCAGAGCCTGGCCGCTGAGGGCAGCCTCTCTAGGTACAGTGTCAACACTACCTGTCTGTCAGTGTCTGTGCTGGGAAATAATCAGTTCCCTATATCCTCTGTCTCTCTCTCTCTTTATCCTTTGTCTCTCTTTCCATGTCTGTTTCTTGTTGTTCATCGATACTCAGGCCTGCAAGTCAAAGGTGTAGTAACCCGACTTCAGTTTTCAGCGTTGATTGCCAACAGCTTTTAATTCCTAACAACTGTGAGGGAATTAAAAAAAGAAAAATCTTCCAAGCTAAAATATTTGTCTGCCTGTTGTGGATTTTTCCATTGCTAGCTATTGCTCTGAAGACATAAGAAAGAAGCATTATTTTCACCACCTCATTAAATGTAACCTTTTATGAGAACCAGTTTGGGGACCTCCTTTTTTAAAAAATCTGTCCTTATATTAATCTAACATTACCATCAAGAAACACTTTAATCATTATTATTTTCTTTAGCATTCATTAATAATACTAATCCTCATAAGCCATGTTAAATACAGTTCCCTATGAATGCCTTTATAGGAATCCCCACTTATTACAAAGTTTTGTCATTCTACAAACACTAGCCTTAGAGCTTTCAGGCAGATGCTATTAACAAACAGTGTTATTACTGTGCCTTTAAAATACGTAGGTCGTAAGATTTTAAAAGGAGGACTGCACCTTTAACAGTCAGCTCAGCCATGTTAATCATTCTTCCTGGTGTACTACTATGGTCATACCTCTCAACTGATCCTCATGAGGTGGGGAAGTTCTCACTCATCACAAGCTCCTTATTTCATTCTCAGAGAGCATTCCCACATACTGGGAGAATACAGTCTGCTCCCTGAAATATACCACATCACTCTTTGTTATTTTATCACTCTTGCCTAAAGATGAGGATGTGTTGAGAGGTATTCTTGTGAACTAATTTTGTTTTGTTTGAGATTTCTCCAGTTTTATTTTAATGTTGAAAAATGGAAAATGAAGTCTGTTGTTGGATGTGTCATTGAGATCAACCCCATGATTCATAGTGTCACTTGTGTTTGTGTGCCCTGCCTTGATCAGTCTCTGATTGGTGGTAATGTGGAAGGTGTTGTAAAGAACAGACATTTGTCCTTTGGCCGAGGCAGGGATGTTACTTTATAGCAAAATGTATTACTCTTGCAAAGAAGATCATTAAGAACCCGGTCTTCTTGAGAGTCAACTGAGCAATAGTTCAGAAGCCTAGAAAAAAACAAACAAATATTTCTTTATAGAGGAAGTTAAATGCATTCACTTTATTAGTGTGAAAACCTGATTACCTTTGGCGGTTGACCTGCAGATTGAGTCACATCCTAATGTTGATTGTGAAATGTCTTGACTCTGATAAATGGGAGTCAGGCTACGCAGCAACTCTTGGTGACAAGTCCTGGAGTTTTAAGACAGCTGAGCCAGCTGACAAGATCAATGTCAAAACAATTCATGTTGATCTGTGAAGTCTAAACATATGCACAGTGAGTTCCGTTCGCTACTAACGCATCAACCTTTGCCCAGAACAGGTTTGTATCTCCTGTATTGTTCTGTGTTACAGAGTTTCAGTAAAGGAGAAGATCAGTTGGCATGTTCGGTGAGGTAGATTTCTACAGAGAGACTATTTCTGATGGGGTTTGTTATTTTTTGAAGACATAGTCATAGACTTCTTTGTTTTAAAAAAATGACACTTTTATTCCACACTTTTATTCCACAGTCCTTAAAAGAGACTCAAGATAATTAACCTGATCTCTGTGAAAAGGCTACAATTATAGTTCTGTGAAAAAAGCAACATTTTAGCTGTATTGTGTGTATTTAAAAGTGCAAATTGCATTCCTTCTGTAAAGGAGAGAAGCAAAAGAACAGAGAGATAGTACAGCTGCTTATTGAGATCATTGTTGTAGCAGAGGATAAATACATTCTTCTATTCAGGAACACTAGTTTAAATAAAACAGGCCAAGATTTTTCTTTAGATATCTTTGATCTTCACTAGAGCACAGGAATAAAAACTGCTTAGGATAGCATACTGAATTCAGAAGCTGATATTTAGTCACAATTGATGGAATGAAACAAACAAAGAATAGAACATTATGGAAAACAGGAATTTCAAATAAATCAAAAGAACAATAATAAATAAAGACAACAATAAAGTAATTTTTCTTTTGTGCTTGTACCAATTAGAGTTACATAGGTAAATAGCAATGAACACAGGAAGAGAATAACGTTCAAATTCCCAAGATTATGCAGAAAGGGTGTGGGGGGGGGGACTCTTTTATTGAGCATCATGATTTGTTGAGGTTATAACTTGACAAAAGATGGAAGATTTCCCCAAAGCACAAGGGAAAAGAGAATAAGAACTTTCTATCATTGAAAGCTGATGCACAAAAAAATTCCATTTCAACATTTCTAATTATGCTTGTTTTAAATTATTCATGATTAATAAGGAAAACTAGAGCAAATTAATATCAACAGGGCAAGTGTGGAGGAAATTTCACAGTCTGTTGAAATCCCAGGTCATGCCTGGTGTCTTGAGAAGTTCAGCAGGTGCATTCTGGATGTTATCTGAAGGTCTGGCAACCACTAAAGTCCATTTAATATAGTTTAACAACTACAGTACTTGCTTGCTTTTTCTGGTTTTTGTTCTTCTCCCCTCCCTCTTCCCCCCACCCACACTTTTATTTGTTGCATTATTTCTTGTTATTCGTGAAAATAACTTCTCATAAATGCCAACCTGAGAATGCTTATTCCAGTGTGTTCTGTGTGGTATGAATTTTACACTGGCCTGACATTTGTTGTACGGTTGGCAATAATTTTTCATGAACAGCTTGTTTGTCTGTCTGTCTGTCTCTGTGCTAACCATGTAACATGATTATGGGGACATGGCACCTTGTCATAGGTACCCAGTAGAGCACACTTGATAGACAGGAAAGTTTACAAGCGTGTTCTGCTCCAACAAATGAGGTTTATCTTCTCCAACAAAAATCCTCTAGTAGATGCCAGGTTCACAGGAGAAGTAGAGTAAACTATGTCATGTGAAAATGGCATTGGATTTGATTCAAAGCAGTTCAGTAGCGTCTCCACAAACTGACCTCCCAAATATAATGATTGCTCCAAACCAAGAACAAAGCAAGAATGCACTCTTGGTCCTGTTTATTAGACAATGAAAGGCAGAAAAGAAGGGGAGGGTACGTATGGAGTCAAGAGACCCTTTGGAACTAATTTTCACTGAAGCCAGATTATTGTTGCTGTTCTGGAGGAGGAAAAAACAACCATAATGGAATCATAACTATTTTAGGAAATTCAGTCATTCATCTTACACTTGCACTCTTTCTCTCTCTCTCTCAAAATGTGGGGTGAATCTGAGTATATAGGAAAGTAAAAAGGACAGGGCGGGGCTCTGTGCAGGTTTTCCTGCCAAATTCCACTGTTAGCACTCCCCCAACTTTTACCTCCAGTCTGCCGTTCACGCTCATAAGATCACTCTGAATTATGCCAATTCATGTGACGGCATAAGTCTGTCCACTAGAACACTAAACTCATTTCACATCTGATGTAAGTGAGGCTTAAACCCAGGCCAACAGAGAGGAAAAGCAACTGAATCCAACCTTTCTGTCACTCATCTCTTTTTGTTTGTCTTTAATGCACAGATTAGTCCATGGGAATCGTTTTCTCCTTATGTCTAACATACATGTAGTATGGTAACATCACACTCACAAGTATAATGAATTATCTTTACCTAATGAGTTTTTCAAGGTGTTTTCGTTATGTTCGCCTTTTGACATGCCTGTTCCATTGCTGTAATAAGAAAAGGAGTACTTGTGGCACCTTAGAGACGAACCAATTTATTTGAGCATAAGCTTTCGTCATCCGATGAAGTGAGCTGTAGCTCACGAAAGCTTATGCTCAAATAAATGGGTTCGTCTCTAAGGTGCCACAAGTACTCCTTTTCTTTTTGCGAATACAGACTAACAGGGCTGTTACTCTGAAACCTGTCATTGCTGTAATAGACTATTTACATCAGTGGTTCTCAAACTATTGTACTGGTGACCCCTTTCACATAGCAAGCCTCTGAGTGCGACCCCCTTTATAAATTAAAAACACTTTTAAATATATTTAATACCATATTAAATGCTGGAGGCAAAGTGGGGCTTGGGTGGGGGCTGACAGCTCGTGACCCCCATGTAATAACCTCGTGACCCCCTGAGGGGTCCTGACCCCCAGTTTGAGAACCCCTGATTTACATTTAACATAATTTTAGTCTTTCTGTCAGAGGTCGGTCTCAAACTTCATAGAACTAAATGTCATCATTTTTCCTCAGAAACTGTAATAACAATCTTACCATAACTCAATGGTATTTAGCTACTGGGTTGAACAGAAACTTTTTATTGCACCATTTTAAATATATATTCTGCAGCCTCTTCAGAAACAAATTGAGGTTCAATATTTTTTCTATTTAAAGAAAATATTCACATGTTAATATCTATCTCTGAGTCGCTAAATATTTGCTGGAGCCAAGTTCTCAAGTAATTCTAGAAGCAGAAAATTAACAGAATGTATACATATAATGTCAAACTGTCTGGATTTCTTACGTGAGGAAAAATGTAAATTCAGCCTATTTGCCTTGATACCCTTGAGGATGTATCACTTTTGGAGTCTACTGCAGTCTAAGCAGTTGTATGTGCTGTAGGGCCATTGTCTGGGTCAAGAATGTAATGCTGGCAGCTAGAAGTAGCTTGTGGGATCATGCAGATCATAGGGGCATAGTCTCGTCTTGACATTTAGAACGTTTCATTGTAAATCAAATTGCACTGTGCTGAGTATTTGCTCTAGAGGATGGTGATGTCTTTTGAAAGGGTTGTCCAAGAGAGAAAGGACCCAAATATACATTATTTTCTGGTGTTGAGCTAAACTACTCTCCTGGCCATGCTGTTGTAATGAACCCACAAAAGTATTAGCTTTGTCTTTTTCTCCTCCAGTCCTGGTAAGGCTCTGTGTCAAATCACACCTCCCTAGAGGCTCTGACCTCTTTCCAGGGAAGATCCAAGAAAGCCCCGGAAAAGTGAGAAGAAAGGGAATGTTCTTTTTCTTACATTAAGACATACCAATGCCAGAACGCACTGAATATTCAGCAGTGCATACTAAACAATCTTAGAAGCTGCTTAATTGGGATGCATGCCTCAGTGGTTCGGATTTGTCCCAAGTAGGCAGCTGTCCCTTTTGAAAGAAGTTCATCTAAGTGTTACTTACCATTGCAACCGTACCTGTCTCAGATTCAGCTCACTCAACTAAAACATTTGTGACCATTGCCTGCTAATGAGTAACTCTGATTGTGGTTGAACTGGGAGGAATAATACAGTATTGTGAAAAGGACTGAGGAGAAGAACAATCTGCTACACATCTCAGGTTAACAGAGGAATTAGTTGAACAGTAATACAGACTACTTTACAGCATTTAGCAGTCTGTTCTATTTTAAAGCGCCTTTACTTTTAATTCAGTTATTCAGATTTCTTTGACAACGTATTAAGGCCTAAAAGAATACTGTAGATTTGTTTTTATATTTAATTGTATTTATTTTGCTCATTAGCCACAAAGAGACTTGAGGCTGCAAACATGCTGAATGCATCCTGTTTGCATAAGTCATGCACCCTTTATGTGAACGGAACCTTTGTCAGTTGTGTTCGTTTTTCGTTTTCATTTATTTAAATGGCATTGAAACCAAAAGACAAACCTGAGGTGAGGGCTTTGGAATCCAATTGGGAGAAATAAGCCTGTGTAATTACCCTCACCAAAAAACAAACGGAGATAATAAAATGGCGTTCTTGCCCTTTGTCTGTGTAGGCCAATGTGACAAAGGACACAGAGAAGTGGGTATTGCAGAATGGGATGCATCAATCAATGACTGAAAACTGAAAATCTCAATTTTTATAGCTCTGTGCTACCTGTGTGTGGCCTAGTCCTGAATGCCATGATTCCTACTCCCATCCCCTTCCCAAACCCTGGAAGCTGCAACCCAGCGGATACTTTCCCCCATCCTTCAAAGACGATGCTGCTGTCTTTGAAGTGACTGTGCCATTAGTGTTTTTTAGTCATGATTGCCAGGGATTATTCTAATCAACCACTGTACTTTTATGGTTGTGCTAATACTGTACTGTCAACACTTAACAGGGTAACAAGTGTGCAGAGCGAACCTGGACAACAGAATCTTCTTCTTCAGCAACCACTAGGAAGGAAGAGAGGCCTCCGGCAGGTAAGATCACAGGACGAAGTGAACATGACAGTTTCCATTTGTTGCAGTCCATTTGCTACTGAGATCTTCTATCTTCTGTTCCCCTTGCCCAGAATGTATTACCACATCACAATCCTCTGAATTAGCAGGAAGTGCGTGGGCAAGCTGAACCATTCAGGTCTGCCAAACCACCGAGCAAGAAGTTATGCTTCATTTCAAATCCCCAAACCCTTTCCCCTATAGCTATATTATTTGAGCAAAGGTCACTGCATTAAAATTGAATTGGTATGAAGTGCCATTATTTCATCACCTGCTTTTATACTACACTGATGTCTAAATTAAAGATGCCAAAACATGTATACCCACAAAAAGAAAAATTGGTGGCTGTACGTAGGAGAATGGTATAAATGATATGACTTAGTCACATAAAGGTGAATATTTCAGTTGTACATTAGTATCTCCTTGGTCTAACTTTACTCTGCTTTGTGTACCTTAGCTACGAAGACCTCTTCTTTCACGTCAGAAGACCCAAACTGAATCTCGTAGCCATCACGGGGCTCGACTTTCAACTACTCGTCGAAGTATACAGCCAAAAACAAAACCAAGTGGTGAGACAACTTCTGCTTTTCCACAGCTGGCATCTAATATTTTAAAGTAGGAGCTACTAGATTTTGTTTTTCCTTCTAAGACAGGTTACTGTGTGTGAAATGTACATAGGTAGACCGGGGTGGGCAAACTGTGGCCTGGGGGCTGCATCCAGCCCTTCAGACATTTTAATCCAGCCCTCGAGCTCCAGTCAGGGAGCCCACTCCGTGCATCCCGCATCTCCGAGCGGCTCCCGGAAGCAGTGGCATGTCCCCCCTCACTCTCCTATGCGTAGAAGCAGCACACTGCCCCTGCAGCTCCCATTGGCTGGCAACCAGGGCAGGGGTGGTGCCTGCAGATGGGGCGGCACACAGAGCCTCCAGGCTGCGCCTCTGCGTAGGAGCCGGAGGGGGGGGACATGCCGCTGGTTCTGGGAGCTGCTTGAGATAAATGCCGCCTGGAGCCTGCACCCCTGACCCCTCCCGCACCCCAACCCCCTGCCCAACCCTGATCCCCCTCCTGCTCTCCGAACCCCTTGGTCCCAGCCCGGAGCACCCTCCTGCTCCCCAACCCCTCATCCCCAGCCCCACCCCAGAGCTCTCACCCCCCCACCCACACCCCAACCCCCAATTTTGTGAGCATTCATGGCTGGCCATACAATTTCCATACCAGATCGGGCCCTCGGGCCAAAAAGTTTGTCCACCCTTGCTGTAGACTGTTCTGAAGAGAAGTTCTGGATCATTTCGGGGGATTGGTAATGAGATGTATAGTCTTTTATCAGTTCATGTCTAGCCCTGGCAGGTAGGAATTGGCAATTATCATCCAGCTGCTCTTCAGTAGTCCATGTGATGTGAATTTTAGTGGTTTCAGTCTAGTTTCTGGAGGGCAGACATCACATCAGAAAAAAACACTTCCACAAAATTGGTAGTTTCTCCAAAGGCCGACATCTGAATGGACATAGACATTGAATTATCTCCTCACCCATAGATAGAGGATTTAAGAGTCAGGTATCCTCCACTGCGAATGCCCTGTCAACAGCACTCAGATGTGCAACTCTAGAGATTGCTTGTGAGAGTGCCTCTGCCAACACCAGGTGTCCTGGTGGAACATGGGAGGAGAGAAAGTTTCTCAAATAGCGAGGACCTAAACTATACAGGGCTTTAAAGGCTGAACATAGAAGCAAATAGGGGAGCCAATTTAGTCTTTGGAACACTGGTGCTATGTTCTTTTTGTGGCTAACATTGCTCAATAGGGTAGGCAGTTGCTGAATTCTGCACCTCCTGAAGCGTCCAAGTGGTTTTCAAGGGAAGCCTGTGCAGAGCACATTGGTTAGTGATCTAGCAGGCAGGACTTTTCCTTGCATTAGTGAATCAAGATGGTCCTAAGAGGAACAGTGCTGCAGGAGATGTGCTACAACCTAAATCTTTAGCCATAATTAAAAACAAGGGCAAGGATATTAACTTTAATGGGTACATTTCAGTGTAGGTAACTATGTTTTGCTTGCTCTTTACTCCCGCTTGGTGGCCTTCTAGGTAAGGTTCAGAAATAGGAGTCAAAAGCTCTCGATTGTATTCTCAGCTCTACTACAGACTTCCTATCCAGCCTTTGGCAAGTCACTTAACCATCTGTGCCTCAGTTTCCTCATCTAAATGAGGATCATAATAGCTAACTCACATGGGCAGTTATGAATATATGTAAATCACTCTGGGATGAAAAAAGAAAAGGAGTACTTGTGGCACCTTAGAGACTAACCAATTTATCTGAGCATAAGCTTTCGTGAGCTACAGCTCACTTCATCGGATGCATACTGTTCGGATGCATACTGTGGTTCCACAGGATGCATCTGATGAAGTGAGCTGTAGCTCACGAAAGCTTATGCTCAGATAAATTGGTTAGTCTCTAAGGTGCCACAAGTACTCCTTTTCTTTTTGCGAATACAGACTAACACGGCTGTTACTCTGAAATCTGGGATGAAAGACACCGTATAAACATAAAAGCATTTGTTATATTCTGATATTTTTTTCTACATTGGAGTAATTTTGTATTTATCCTTCCCCACATCCTGGTCCCCCAGTGGATCAAAAGCGATCAGTGACTTTCACTGAAACTCAGCCAGAGGCAACAACATCTTCAACAACAGATGCTACACCCATCCCAGCCCTGCAACCTAGCTGCAGCAGGAGCAGCCCTGCAGAAGTCAGCAAGCCAGAAGCTGTGAATAAACTTGTGCTGACCACCTCACCTGCCATTGTTGTTGCTGATCTCCATAGCCAAACCACCAGCCAGGTAACCCGTCTCTGACAAGTCAGAAAGTAGGTTAGCTGCTCAATCTCTAGTGGGTACATGCATATGCAGTACCTCTCTACTTAGTGATTTAAGCTGCTGAAAAAATAGTGAAAATGGCTAATGATCTCACTTGTGGCCGTAAAGAGAAGGGGTTGGTGTGTGAAGACTGCAGAGTCTGTTTTCTTTACAGTGAGGTGGTTACCCATGCCACTTCTTGTTTAAATTGCCAGCTCCCAGATCTTTGTGTTGATTCTCTTTCCTTTCACTTCCGTTGGCACTTCATCATGACATGTCCTTAGCTTGACTGATCCTATGTCTTCCTCCTCCTGTCTGTACAGATCTTTTCTCTCACATCCTTCTATACCAGGAAAATTTTAATTCAACTCTCTCCTCAGCTACATTGGTCTCTGAGGAATGGGGGTTGGGGTAGGGTAGACTGATGCATCAGTATGGAAGGATTCCTACCAAAACCACATTATTGCAGTAGCAAAGGTGCCAGACTTTGAGTATGTCGACAGGGTGTGTGATTGCAGCACGTGTAGACATACCTGAGCTAATGTTAATCTAACTAGCATGAGTGCCCGTAGCAGTGGAGCTGCGGCACATGGGCTTGAGCACGGACTAGCCACCCGCGTAAGTACCCAGGGTCCAGGACAGGGTTGTATAGTGCAGGCTGAGAGCCATGCCACTGCAGCTTCACTGCTAGTGGTACTCACGCTAGCTAGAGTAAATCATATATCTGATTGCAGTAGGATACCTTTAGAAAGAAGCTATTTGTCGTGCACTGACTGCTGGAAAAAGCAGGTGTTAGACATCACTAATGGGTGGAGGATGCTGTGTAAGTAAATTACAAATTGTAACCCAGAATTTAGAGCCAGCCCAATGAGACAAAGGTTTCTTTTCTGATGTCTCTTTATCTGGTTCCCCAGGGGGATACATCCTTGGCTATGTGCAGAAGAGACAGAAAAAAACATTTTGGAAAAGTTATGAGGGGAAAAAAATAATTTCAAATTGCGGTGTCCTTTTAAGCAATGTCATCTTTGTAGTTTCCACTACAAATTCACCAGCCAGAAAAAAATTAACTGTTTTTGCATAACATTTTAGGGTTTTATACCCTTTTAAACATTTCAAATAAACCAAGGGGCAGTTATGGATTAGCCTTTATTAGTTTACAGATCTGAATATATTTTGCACATGCTGGTTTATATTCTGTCCCCCACCCCCTTCTCTTCCCATGAGTGGAGCCTGACCATAAGCTCTCCTTGATTTCAGAGTGAGGCGCTTCCCACTGAGAAAGAAAAAGAAACAGAGGAGGATTTGGAGCCCCGGCCAGCACAAGTACATAGCACCCCACCCACACAGCTCTCTGATACAGAGGACTTTGCAGGCCTTGAGACAACCAGCTTACTGCAACATGGAGACACTGTCCTTCACATCAGCGAGGACAATGGGATGGAGAATCCCCTCCTTACCAGCCACTTCAGCTTCACGCATGTTGAGCTTGGTGAGACTGATGTTGACTTAGATGAGTCCCATGTTTAAATGTCAGGGAACTGCATTAGCATGGGAGGAGAGAGAATGTAGAGTCTTGGTAGAGAAACTGTACCTTCTCCATAGAGTTTTTTGATAACTATTGATGAACTAATCAAAAAGAGCACTTTATATCCAACAAGGGAAAATATCTAACAACCTATTTGCTACAGATTGGCAAATATGTTTTAGAAAATAAGCTAAGCCTTTTTGGCAAATCTAATTTGGTTCAGGGCAGACTGCAAAGACCAGGAGAGAATTCTAAAAAATTCTGCGGCCACATCTCTGTTTCCCAAAATCTTGATCTGCCAGAAATCTACTGCAGTCTGCAGCTTCTCCAGTAACATGCATTAGTTTAATATAGTAGACTGAAAAAAACCCAACCTTTTTGAAGTTAGCCACTTTAACACTGCCCCCCAAAAGTTTATTTTTGTAATTTCAGAAGGGTTATATAGTATCTGAATCAAAGACTCGCATGACTGAATATTGACAGTCAAAATGCTGACCAGGGATATTGAACTAAAGATTGTTTTAAATAAACAGGACTGTGACTGTGTTTTCTAATCCTCATAGCAATGGCACATACCACTGAATGATTAGAAAGATATTTTTTAGCACTGCAGGCTTTAGCAGTGTTTACTTTTGTCTGCTGGTTTCATTGCACTCTGTAAGATAGTACCTTAGTGCTAGAAAAATAGTGATTCTGTATAAAACTAAATATACTACATACTACAGGAAAGAATGCACATGCTGTGCTCAAAGATAGATGGGCAGGGGGTGAGTGGTCTGTAGATGACATAAATGGTACTATCTGTTCTGCTTAAATATATTAAGCAATTTATGTACACAGCTAGAATGTGTGGACTTTCTAGTACAGGGCAACAACTTAATTGATGCAAATATCTACTCTGTGTGCACTTGGAAATGTATATTTTAAGTAAACATATATAATCCATATTTTCACATTCCTATAAACTAGGAATGGATATTGCAGAGAATAGACCTGATGAAAGAATATATTTTCTGCACACTGAGATTGTATTTAAAAAGGTGCCATTCTATGTGTGTTATATGAATATGCACTAATTATGACTCTGCATGTGTAGATATAAATGCATAATATTTATATGTATATCGTGTCCCTTTTGGGAATTGACTGAAGTCGTGGTTGAGTTACGATCTGTGCTTCAGAATCATGGGATTAAATTGAAACCGGACTTTAGTCACTGACATATGGGAAAGCTGCAGAATAGCTGTGAGGCATACTGTGAAGTTGCAAGCAATGCCCATATTTACGTGTCTGTTTGTGTGTTCACATAATACATTTTCAGTTCGTCACCTTGGTAGAATGAGATATTAGACCTTATAATTGTGGCATTATTATGCATAGAAAAGTTATTTTTGATCACTTTTAGAGCTTTCTAAAATGTATTACTTACCATCTTCTTGACCTTTCAATCTGGACTCATGGTATTAAGACAACATGATTTTAGAGTTAAAATGATATGACCAAAAACAAAACAAAACTCCCACTAAGCAAACACCACCACCCAACACCACCACTATATATTTTTAAATAGCTATTTTTTTCTAAAATCATTTTTCTGTGAAACACTCATACACAGCCTATATGCTGGCCTGGTGCAGTATTACAGAAGTTTTATTGGCATTAATTTAGGATCAACTCCAGAACTGACTGGTGGCTTTGGTAATTTCAACCAATCAAACCTTTATACCTCACCATCATGTAGCCTCTACTATACATATGAGTCAATAGGAGCCCTGTGTGTACATCAGAGCACAGAATTGGGTCCTATATATTATTCACACACACACACACACACACCCCTAGCAACAATAAAATGTATTCTTTTCTCAAGTTTGTCTATCTAGGCCCCAGTCCAGAGGTGTTGAGGACCCTCTACTACTGTTGTGTTCATTGAGAGTTAAAGGCACTTTGCAACTCATAGGAAGTGCTAGTCACCTTGTAGGATTAAGCCCTTGCTCTATAGTGGGCAATCTTAAAGTGGTTTGTGGTTAAAAAAAAAAAAAAAAAAAAAAAAAAAGCGTCTATGTAAAAATGGCAGCTTGCTCAGCACAGATCATGGGTATTCTGAATGATAGTTGCTTATATCGCTGACTTAAATATATCTGACTACTTCTTACGTCTCTCAGAACTACAGAGCCTGTACCACCCATCTGTAGGAGACTGCACTGGACTCTTTCCTAGTGTTGGCATCATCAAAAGAATTATTAATTACCTCCCGCATGAGGAATTGCTATTATTAACGATGACATACAAATCAGAAGGAACACTGCTTCACTTTCAGATCCCAGTTTGGGTTAACTGGCAGTTGGAGGGGAAACTATTTTACTCATAAACAAAGTAAATTTGATATAGAAATGACTGAGAGACAATAAACATGAAACCCCATGATGAATTTTGTAGTCACTTTTTCACTGATCATATACTTTGAAAGGAGGCATTTACATTAATGTGAGATAGATGCCTGCCATGATATTCTAATCTAATTATAGAAAAATAACTGATTTACTACATTAAATTCAGTACTGGTGATAAATGTTTCCATTAAGGTTGCCCACTGTTACAAGCTGAATCCATCTTAGCAAGGACTAAAAATGCCTTTTTGAAGTCCACCCTCCAACCAATCAAGTGCAGTGTATAAATGAAGATTACATTATTCAGGTGGCCCAGGAGAGGGCTATAATTTCATTAGGTAGTTAAGACAGGCTGATCAGTCTGTGTACTTGTAAATTTTACTTTCATATAGGTTGCACTTAATATTGTACTAATAAGGTGCATAAACATGTAATTTAGCAGAGTTTGTGCATTTTTCCAGTATCTCTATAAAGTGACTGGTATATTTATGCTGTGAAGGAAAATTATGCTGCTTAATTAGTGTTAGAGGCCTTAAGTGCATGTCAGATGTCTGGCCCTTACAAATGTCTGTCAGTGTTTGGTTCTGTTGTGTTGCCTCAAAGTTTTAAACTAATTTGCAGTTGTCAAAAGGATTAAAGATAGAAAAGTCTGTTCACACTGATCATGTTCAACAAATAGTAATTAAAAGACAAGGCTCTGTTTAATCCTATTGTACAACATTAGACAAGTCTCCCTTTTTAAAAGGCACTGTATCCTGCTTTATGAGATTACTTTGCTCTGTTGCCAACAAAGTTTGTTATAATTTAATATGTTTATCTGTCATCTTTTAATATGTGCCTCGCTAAAACTTGCCATACATTCCCCAGCCCCGCCTTTTAGAAAGGGGGGGATTATTGTACTGGGAACTTTCGGTGTGATCCACTTGTTGTTGTGTGCATTTGTGTCCTCTTAATGTGACCTTAACTGTGCTGAATGTCTAGGTGTATTTATATGTACATGTATGTGCATAAGAATGTCACAGGATGTATTTGAAATACTATTGCCTCGATTTTTGAAGGAAGGAAAACTGTGTTCCAGAAGGAAAATATGATGTAGGTTTGAAACTGATCTTATCATTTGTTTGGAAGTTCAAAAAACATCAAAACTAGAAACTCTTGTTGAGTTCGCAAAAAGAAAAGGAGTACTTGTGGCACCTTAGCGACTAACCAATTTATTTGAGCATAAGCTTTGGTGAGCTACAGCTCACTTCATCGGATGCATAAAAGTGGAAAATGCAGTGAGGATGTTTTTATACACACAGATCATGAAAAAATGGGTGTTTATCACTTCAAAAGGTTTTCTCTCCCCCCTCCCCACTCTCCTGCTGGTAATAGCTTATCTAAAGTGATCACTCTCCTTACAATGTGTATGATAATCAAGGTGGGCCATTTCCAGCACAAATCCAGGGAGAGAAAACTTGGATTTGTGCTGGAAATGGCCCACCTTGATTATCATACACATTGTAAGGAGAGTGATCACTTTAGATAAGCTATTACCAGCAGGAGAGTGGGGTGGGGGGAGAGAAAACCTTTTGAAGTGATAAACACCCATTTTTTCATGATCTGTGTGTATAAAAACATCCTCACTGCATTTTCCACTTTTATGCATCCGATGAAGTGAGCTGTAGCTCACCAAAGCTTATGCTCAAATAAATTGGTTAGTCTCTAAGGTGCCACAAGTACTCCTTTTCTTTTTGCAAATACAGGCTAACACGGCTGCTACTCCGAATCTTGTTGAGTTGAAACCCTAAAGCCAAGTATAAGTTTTTATAAATGGTGTAGTTCCCTCCCAATCTCCAAATAAGGGCATTCTCTTTGAAATTTGAACAAATCTTAAGCTTTAACAAAGTGTTTTTTGACTTACCCATTACCAAAGAAATGTTTAGAGGGAAAGAAAATATCGGAGAAAAAACCAATTACAATAGACCAACCTTCACAACCAAGTGGATATGTGATTAAAATATTATCTCAGGGCAGTTAAGTAGGATATTACCTTCTCATTTGCATTTTCTGTTGTATGGGAAGTAGTTAAGTCTTGCACTAAAAGGAAGGCAATCGTGCTGTGCCAAACAGAGAATAGAGTTTATTTGAAGCAAGTGAGATTTGAGGGCTTTAAGGCAAATTCTTTACATTGAACTGGATAAAAACATGTCAAAATATATAATTTCCCTGCATTACAACTGTGTAATTCATTTTCAGAATCAATGCAACTGGAGAACAAAAATCCGCATTAGAAAAATGAAAGCCCTTTAAAAATAATTTGAAGGATTACAGACCCAAAATCTTAGATCTAAAATGAGAAAACCATCTACTGTACTTCCCAAAAATACCTAATAGCAAAGTCTGTGATGTGTACCAAGTGACCAAAGACCAGGGATAAAATACAAATAACAGAGATGTGTGAATTATGTTTATGAAAGAGATTATAAGAGTTTAATGTTTGAATATGCACAAATAATAAAATATATCACAAATATTTAATGTGGTGTGAGATTTTTGTTAGGGCATTACCATGGCTACTTCTTCCAGAGGGGGCCTCTGTCTTTCCAAACTTTGTCTTTGCTGGAGCTGACATTCTCTGATAAACTTTTCTTCCTGCAATTCCCTCCAAATGCCCCACAGCTAACAACCACTACGGTGTATTTGCCATGTTTGGAGGCCTGTCCATCATTTTTTGCACTCATATATACACTTCTTAATGGGTTACTTTGGAAGTCAAGCAAATACTCCCCCTTTCTTGTATTTTTCCTAAATATTTGACTCTCTCCGCCTAAGCTGATGATAACCCATCATTACGGTAGGTATAAACCTCTGCTTTGGCCTACATGAGATACAAAGCTGGGTGAAGGCGGCTGGCTCGGCACAGCGCCCCGGTGAGTTTAGTTGATGACGGTATCGCCGGAATTTGGTGACTCTCGATGGCCACATTATGCGGTGGAAGCCAGTACCCAACCTCCATCCAGGCAGCAGGGTGACTTGGTGTGGGCCGCGGGCAGGCGAGCTGCAGGTGCAAACCTCATGAAGAAGGAACAGCAACACGGCCACGCTGGGTCAGACCGCGGGTCCAGCAAGGACAGGGTCCCGCCTGCTGCCAGGGGCTGCAGAGGCAGTGACCAGAGCAGGGCAGCCCAGCTCAGGGAGGCCAGCCTGGGCCAGCTGTGTGCTGTGGGAGGGGCTCGCCTCTCCCCCCTCCCGCCCATCACGGCCTTTGCACCGCCCCTCAGGGGGCGGGGTCTCCACTTCTGCCCCGCCCCCTGGCGCCGGGAGGGACGCAAAGGCTGAGGAAGCGCGCCGGCGCCACCCTTTCCCCAGGCGCCGTGTTGCATTGTGGGGCGAGTAGTCCCTGCCATTCGCAAGCCGCGGGCGGCAGAAGAACTACATGTCCCAGGATCCTCGGGGAGCGGGTTGTGGCGCCCCTCAGGCTGCGGCGCCTGCGCCCCGCTCAGTTCTCGGGGGCGGGGGGGCCATGGCGTCGGGTTGCCGGATCGGCCCGTCCATCCTCAACAGCGACCTGGCGGCGCTGGGCGCCGAGTGCGGCCGCATGCTGGACTCCGGGGCGGACTACCTGCACCTGGACGTGATGGACGGGTAACTGCCGCCGCGCGCGCTGCCGCCTCGGGGCCGGCTCGAGCCCGCGCCCCTCCCCCCGGGTGCCCGGGCTGGGGCGGCTGCCGCTCTGCGCGCGTGGCGGGCTGGCTGCTGAGGGGAGGCTCCGTGGGGCGTTCGCCGCCCTGCCCGCCCGCCCGCCGGGGGATTGCTCAGCGCCTCGTTGCGGCGGGGCTGGGCGCCCTGTGCCGCCCCGCCGTGGGAAGCCCGCGCCCGCTGACCGGGCGGGGGCTGGTCGGTCGTGGTGTCGACGTTTGGGCGCCGGCCGTAAGGCCCTGGGAGGCTGCGAGGGTCCCAGAGGGGCAGCTGCCGCCGGAGCCCCAAACTCGACCTCGCAATTAAACAGCCCCCGCCTCCGCCCGAGCCCGGTGAGCCCGAGGCAGCTGGCGTGGGCCGGCCGCGGGCGCCGAAGTGCCGTGTAGACACACCCAGTGCGGCTGCCCCTAGGCGAGAGGGTCAGGCCGCCTGGAACCAGTCGCGGGATCAGGAGCTGTTTTGGTGCAGCGCCCTGTCCGGTCAGCGGTGTTTATGATGCACCCTTTTCCTAATGGTTAACGAACAGGAAGTGTGTGTGTTTTTCGTGGTAATGTAGGGCTGGAAGGACCTCAAGAAGTCATCAAGGCCAGCCTCTGTGCTGAGGCAGGATCCAGTAAACTGAGACCATCCCTGACAGGTCGTTAGCTAACCTGTTCTTAATTTCCAGTGGCGGGGATTCCACAACCTCCCTTGGAAGCCTAGTCCAGGCTTTAGCTACCCTTATAAAGTTTTTCCTAATATCAACCTAAATCCCTCTTAATGCAGATTAAGTCAGTTACTACTTGTACTACTCCAGCGGTTGTGAAGGACAAGTCATCACTGTCCTTTTAAAAACTCCTCTTAACATAAAAACAGCCGTACTGAGTCAGACCAAAGGCCCATCTAGCCCAGTGTCCTGTCTTCAGACAGTGGCCAACGCCAGGTGCCGCAGAAGGAATGAACAGAAACGGTAATCATCAAGTGATCCCTCCCGGCGCCCATTCCTAGCGAACAGAGGTTAGACACGCCATCCCTGCCCATCCTGGCTAATAGCCATTGATGGACCTATCCTCCATGAATTTATCGAATTGTTTGTGAAGCCTGTTATAGACTGGCCTTCACAACATCCTCGGGCAAAGAGTTCCACACAGTGCCTGTGCATTGTGTGAAAAAAGACTTCCTTTTGTTTGTTTTAAACCTGCTGCCTATTGATTTCATTTGGGTGACCCCTTCTTCTTGTGTTATGAAGAGTAAATAACACTTCCTTATTGACTTTCTCCACACTAGTCATGATTTTATAGACCTCTGTCATATGCCCCCTTAGTTCTTTCTTTTCCAAGATGAAAAGTCCCAGTCTGACTAATCTCTCCTCATACGGCAGCTGTTCCATATCCCTAATCATTTTTGTTGCCCTTTTCTGAACCTTTTCCAATTCCACTATATCTTTTTTGAGATGGGATGACCACATCTGCAGACAGTATTCAAGATGTGGGCGTACCAGGGATTTATATAGAGGCAATATAATAATTTCTGTCTTGTCTATCCCTTTCCTAATGATTCCCAACATTCTGTTCGCTTTTTGACTGCTGCTGCACATTGAGTGGATGTTTTCGGAGAACTATCCACAATGACTCCAAGATCTCATTCTTGTGTGGTAACAGCTAATTTAGACCCCATCATTTTATATGTATAGTTGGGATTATGTTTTCCAATGTGCATTACTTTGCATTTATCAACAATGAATTTCATCTGTCATCGTCACCCAGTTTTGTGAGGTCACATTCTAACTCTTCGCAGTCTACTTTGGACTTAACTATCTTGAGTAGTTTTGTATCATCTGCACATTTTGCCCCCTTTTTCCAGATCATTTATGAGTATGTTGAATAGTACTGGTCCCAGTATAAACTGGGGTAGACCACTATTTCTCTCACCATTCTGAAAACTGACCATTTATTTC